CTTAAGCCTGCTAAGCAGGGCTTGCTAAGCTCCTCTAGACTTGTAGAATTTGCGTCCTGTCCTCTTATTAGACAACGCATTCTTCTATAATCTTGGGTTGTCGCGCGACTTCTGCGTCCTCCGCTTGGTCTGTAAGCGAGTCCCGCTCCAACCGTACCATATTGTGGAGCATCCTGGGTGGAGTTACGCTAGTCCAACCGTAGACTGTAACACTTTTTTAACTAACTAGCGCTATTTTAAAGCAGGTCTAAAGTTTTTTAGATAAATTTATTATTTAAATACTTATTAGTAATAATCTAATTAATTATCTAATTTATTTTATTTAGGTTAAGGTCTAAAAATAGCTTAAATTAAAGTAGAGTTTAGTGTTAAGCCTTTTACACTTTTTTTTAAGTAAGAATGTTTTAGAATTGCTTTATAAAAGTATCTAGTTTCTCTTTATCTTAACTAGAATAATAAGTAATCTTAAAATTAAAATAAAATAAGTATTTAAACTAACAGGCTTATTAGTAGCTAAGTTGTTTTATAGTTACAAAGTACTACAAGTTCTTATAGTTAGATAGGACCTATATTAGATGCGCTGCACTTTCTAGTTTAAGTTGCTATTATTTAAAGCAGTGTACTATAGCAAGTAATTCCTTGTTATAGATCTTATAATTACCTTCTACAAGACTTATTCTTTTTAAAAAATATGTAATAGGCTTAATAGTCCTATCTAGCTTAGTCTAGAAGAGAACTTTTGCTACTACATAGTCTAAGGCATTAGCTTCTATAAGTATTAGTAGTTTAAAGTTAAAGTAGCAAAGTATTAGAGCTTTAGTAAAGGCTTTTTTTAGCTAGTTAAAGGACTATTAGTAATTTAAGTTAAAGTTAAATTAAATTTTTTTTTTAGTAAGTGTAATTATAGAGCTTACTTACTATAAAAAGTTATTAATAAATTATTAGTAAAAGTTAGTAAATCTTATAAAGGCTTAAACATTCTTTATGTCTTTTAAGTATTGCTAATTTAGCATAGTCTAAACTTTAATAGGGTCTATTTAGATGCTATCTATAAAGATTACATATTCTAAATATGTAACCTTTAATTAGTAAAACTTGCATTTATCTATGTTAAGTTACAGACCTACTTTTTCTATAGCCTTTAGCACTAGGCGTACATGCTGTTTATGCTCTAAAAGGCTATTACTGTAGATTAGAATGTTATTAATATACATAGTGTAGAACATGTCTAGGTAGGGTTAGAGCAAGTTATTTACAAAATATTAAAAAGTACTAGGCGTGTTAGCTAAGCTAAAAAGCATTACTAGGTACTTAAATAGTCTATATTAGGTCTAAAATACTATTAGCTACTTATTACCTTTTACTATCTTTAGCTTATTAAAAGTAGTAATAATATCTAACTTTATAAAATACTTTGCTTTACTTAGTTAGCTTAGAGTTTTCTATAAAAAAAAAATTAAGTATTAGTTTTTAATAGTAACAGTGTTTAGTCTTTAGTAGTTAACATAAAATTAAAGCCTACCTCTAAGTTTTTTTATAAATAGTATAAGTAACACTACTAGTAAGAAGCTAGCTTAAATAAACCTTTTTTTTAAGTTCTTATTAAGGTATTTTTAGAGCACTTTTAATTTATTTAGTAATATCTTATATAGTAGCTTATAACTAGGTTATTTACTAGGCTTAAAAGTTATTTAGTAATTATACAGATGTTATATTAAAAGCTTATTAGACTTATCTTAAAAAAAACATGTAACAAGTTATAGTAGTTTTAAAGGACTATTATCTTTAAGTTAGTGTGTTTTTAAGAAGCTAAAGCTTAGTCTATATTAGAAATTATAACTACATAGATTTTATAATCTAGTTATTAAGCTAGAGTTATAAATAAGGCAGGTTTTATATAGTAGATGTCTATTTGCTGTTTAAGTTCTAGTTTATGTTTAAATTAAGTAAGTAAAGATTTTTTAAAAGCTTTTTCTTTTTTAAGTTTAAGTAGTTATTAAATTATTTTATATAGCCTATCTTAGTAAAAGGCCTAGCTTATTAGCCTTACTTAAGTAGTTTTTTTCTAGATTATTAAGAAGTAAGTCTAGAGACCTTTTATATTAAGTGCTACTTAAGTGTTATTTAGGTGTAAGCGTAAGCATATATTTTAGCATTAAGAAAAGTTAAAGTTTAAAACTTACTCTTAGTAATTAAAAGCAACTTTATGCTAATATAGCTATAGTTGTTTTAGAATTAAGTTATAACATTTTATGTTTATTACATAGAGCTTAATCTGCTTCTTATAGTGTTAGTAAGTAATTATAATAGTTATAGTATAAAAGATAGAACTTTTTTTAAGTTATTTTCTATTAAATCTAGTTAGGTAAATTATTTAAGTAAGTAGTGTTAATTAAAAATTTAGTTTACATACTAGTTTTTTATTAATATAACTTATACTATTTACTCTTAAGTTAATAAAAGCTTATATTAAAGCTAATATAGTTTTTTATTATAAATATATAAGAATATTAACTTAGTACTTCTAGTTATTAGTAGGGGACTTAGCTTATAGGTTAGCAAAGATCTAGTGTTAAATTAGTCCTAAAGGGCAACTTAGCCCTAGAACAAGCCTTTTTACAGGCTTCTACTACTATAGCTGCAGCTATGTTAAGAGTAGTAAGAAGAATTAGAGCTTAAATATAAGTTAAAGCCCTTATAAAAATAAAATTAAAATAGTAAAAATCTTTAATAAGTGCTAGCAGCACTACTTATATAGACTTAAAAAAGAGAAATAAAGTAGTTTTAAAAAATATAACTATGCTTACTACACTTAAAGTATTAACTTTTTTTTTTATAATCTTTACACTTTCTAGAACTAACTAAAGCATAATTTAAATTAATTTTTATTACATTAAGGTTCTTATTTATAACTGCGCTAGTTTAGAGGCGTATTAAGGCTTGTATAGGGAGGAACTTTATGTTATTATTATAGGTAGTAATTAGGTTTGCATACGTGTTAAGGTTGTTTAGAAGGGGTTCTCCTACTATAGCGCGTTACAGTTTAGTTAAGAGGGAGTTATATAAAGCTATAATTAAACTTATCTTATTTAGGCCTATATTAGATGCAAGTTAGTAAAACTTAGTAAAGTGTAAAGTAAAGCTTTTTTTATTTTATTATAAAGTGTTTAAGTAACTTAAGGCTATTAACTCTTTATTTAAGTCTTTATAAGTTACTTATAAAAACACTATAAATTAATCTAGGTTAATAATATTCTTATTTATTAGTAAGTTAATTAAGGCTGTTATGTTATAGTTAAGTTAAAAGTAAGTATATAATAACTAAAAGTGTTTAAAGGGGAATTAGTCTATATTTTTTTAAGTTTATATTAAAGCTTATATAGAAAAAAAGGTAAGTCTTTTTATTTTCTATTAAACAGTAAAGGATTAGAGAGTTAGTTAGATTTTATTACTAAGTTAAAAAAGTTATAAGTTATAGGCAGCATTAAGTAAGAAAAAGTTAAGCTATCTCTAGACTTCTAAGTAAGCTTTAAGGCTAGTAAGTTCTTAGTTCTTACTACTATAATAAAAGTTAAGGCAGAAATAAACTACTTAATAATATAAAGCTGTTTTTTAAAGTCTTTTTAAAAAGCTTTAAAGCTTATAATATAGTAGCTTTTTTATAAAGTAAGTGCTTTTTAAAAGGCTTTTTAGCTTACTTTAATAGCTTAGAGTTATGTAAGTACTAAGCTTATTAAATTAGATTTAGAAGCTATTTTTAGCTAAAGTTTTAATATAACATAATGTTATAATTATGCATAAGTAAGGTTATAGAGCTTTATAAAGGTCTAGTTTAATTACTATGTAAGGTATTATAGTAAGTATAAGATGTTATGTAAGAAATAAAAAAGTTTAAAAAAAATTAGTAATTAAATACTTAGCTTAGAAGTCTAAGCACTTTAGGTATAAATTAAGCCTATTCTAGGTTTAGTTAGTGTTAAGGCAGTTTATGCTTAAGTTTATGTCTGTGTTGTGTTGTGTTTATGTTAGACGTGCACTAATAATACTCTAGTACACGTCTAATACAGTTATGTCTAGGATCCGGGGAGGATACTGTGACAAGCTATATGTGCAAGAAATTTCCTTTTAAATAGCATTTATAGCTAATATAGCTAATTCTTTACATGCTAAGCATAATCTAGGCTATGTTTACATAAACTAGCCTAGTATATTTATAAAGTGTTATTTAAAGCTTAAAGTAAAGTTTTAAGTATAAGTATAGTTAAAAAATATTTAGCTAATTATAAACCTTATTTTACTAAAGTTATATATGTTATTATCTTAAATACTATACTTAGCTTTAATATTTTTTATAAGGCTAAACTTACTTTAAATTACTTTAAAACTTTTATAAAAAGCTTTTTTATAGTTATATTTACACTTAAATATTACTTTAAGCTTTAAATAACACTTTATAAATATACTAGGCTAGTTTATGTAAATATAGCCTAGATTATGCTTAGCGCATAAAAAATTAGCTATATTAGCTATAAATACTATCTAAAGGGAAATTTCTTACATATATAGCTTAAGTATAGTCTTAATAATTACCTACTTTTTTTTATTACTTAGCCTTTATAATTTAGCTGTAGAATTAGCTTATAAAGGTTATCTAGTGCTATAGTTATTTATTATTTTTTATAAAACTTTATACATAGCTATAGCACATTTTTTTAAGAGTTTTATATCTTATTTAAAAGCTTAGAGTATAAGCTGTATCTAATATTCTTTTAGCACATTTAAGTAGTGTTGTAGGGAATGCATTAGTGTAGGAAGAGTAGTTTAGTAGGGTCTTAGTAAAAGTAAGCAACTTAGGTGTGTAAGCAACTCGCCTGTGAAGTACGTTAAGAGTGTAGATTAATTAACGCTATACTGCCTAGCTACTGCAGTATAATTTAGTAATTCTCTAGGTTTTAGCAATTTTAGCGACTCTAAAGCGGCCTTAATACTGCCCATATTGGTTAAGAGAGAGGTGGTTGAAGTTTTGACAGCTTCGCGCAGAACCGTGCATTACGCGAGGCTGTGCATTACACGCTAAAACACAGTATCGTTAGGAAAGGCGACAGGCACATCTAGAGACTTATAATATAATTTATATAACACTAAGGAATGGTCTATATATAACTAAACGTGCTAATGTGGCGAACATAGTAGGAATCCTGTCTAGCGCAGGGGGTTCCCATAATTGGGCACCCCGAGGTGGTCGCGTAGAGTTGACATCTTTGGTTAGACACGGCACACAGACAAGGTGGGCCGCTCGGGCAATTAAAGGGTCCTGGAAATGGGAACCTGAGCGGGACCGACCGGACCATAAGAAGCCTGAGCTGGACTGAGCCGACCATGAGTAGTGGTGGTGCAAGACTGAGCACCATTGAGCCGAAGTTGAGCCGGGCGTATTTTTGCTGAGTCGACAAGTTATAACAGACCAACTAAGTCAGAAGATAGGTGAGGGACATTTTCCTAGGATTTTAGCTAAAAAATATATAAAAAGAAGCATATATATCATTATTATCACGGAGCGGAAGTAGTAGCAGTTGTAGATTACAATTTACGAGTAACTAACCGTGCTAGCTGATAACTCCGTGATGAAAAGGGGATCCAAGACGTTCCGTGAAGAAAGGAAAAAGAGAAGAGACTATGTACAAGCGAGATGTCGAATCTCCACCTACAAGGGTCATATGACTTTCGCGTCACGTGACTAGTGTCAAGCCTAAGTACTCAACAGCATCATCAGCATGGTGAGGATGCTGTGTCACGGTGTAGCACAGAGGGATAAACGGGTATAAAACTAAAAATTACGCTAGGATCGAAAAATTACAAGGCTGCGTGACAGCGCTAATCGCCCTATGTCTTTCGGGACTTACGACACATTTTGCATCAATAAGTCGAACAATACTGAGCTCTCAGAAGTAATCAATTCTATGTTTCGATGGTATCGCAACGCGGATATATGCTATGTATATCTCTCTGACGAACCGTCTTTGCAACCTTGGGAAGAAGCATTCTCAAGATGTCGATGGTTTACCCAAGGCTGGACACTTCAAGAGCTTCTTGCTCCGCCGCAAGTTGATTTCTTCTGGTCACACGGCAAGAAACTCGGCAACAAGGTCAGTTTAGAGAGACTGCTTCAGGAAATCACAGGTATCCCAGCTCGGGCTCTCCAAGGAACGCCGCTATCTGAATTCAGCGTCGAGGAGCAACTAGCATGGGCAACAAACCGGCAGACTAAGCGCGAAGAAGACAGGGCTTATTCATTGTTGGGACTTTCGATATTCACATGCCCCTCATATATGGCGAAGGGGTGACGGGTGCATTTCTTCGGCTTCGGGATGAAATTGACAAGAGAACTCACCCTGGACAGCATTGTAAGTGCATAAAAATGACCCTTTCGTGGGGGCGCTGTAATGGAGATAGGTTACTAACTAGAAGCGCATAACCAGGCAGCCTACTCGATCAGTTACGGTACACTGACGAAGCGGCCTTCAATTCATCTACAAAGCAACATGATCCCCTTTGCCTTCCTAATACTCGTGTTGACCTCCTTCAAGAAATATACAACTGGGGTAGTGGACAAGACGAGCGGTTGATATTCTGGCTAAACGGCTTAGCAGGCACAGGAAAATCTACGATTGCCCGGGCAGTCGCACGGACATACTTCAACAAGAAGCTTTTCGGCGCGAGCTTCTTCTTTTCACGTGGTGGTGGAGATGTTGGCCACGTAGGCAAATTCTTCACCACTATATCGAAGCAGCTTGCGAATAGCATACCTACTCTTCACCAGCACATCTGCAATGCTATTAAAGCCCGGGGCGATATCGCTAAGTTGTCATCCCAGGATCAATGGCGCCATCTAGTCCTTGGTCCTCTTTCGAGACTGGCCAACAATTTATGTCCCCCTATGTTTACTGTTGGAATTGATGCACTTGACGAGTGTGATAATGAGAACGATATTCGGACCCTTTTACATCTCTTGGCAGAAGATCGATTCCTAGATAGAGCCCAGCTGCGAATCTTTCTAACGAGCAGACCTGAGGTTCCGATTCGATATGGGCTGTACCCGATGCCAGATCCAGCACACCGAGACTACGGACACCGAGACTACGTACTCCACAATATATCACCACCAATCATAGACCAAGACATCTATACCTTCCTAGAAGATAGTCTCAAGCGCATCGGATATGAATGCTCTTTAAATGTTGGCTGGCCGGGCGAAGGAGTTATTAAATCTCTAGTTAAAATGGCAAGTGGGTTGTTGATCTGGGCTGCAACTGCTTGTCGTTTTATCCGCGAAGGAAAGAAATTCGCAACTAGAAGACCTAGCACTATTCTCACAAGCAGCCGCAGTGCTGTCACTGCGCCGGAGAAATACCTCGATCAAATCTATATCACTGTCCTCAAGCACTCCATCTTCCCAGATTACACAAATGAGGAGAAAGAGGAGGTATACCATATGTTAAGAGAGATTCTTGGAAGCACGGCGCTTCTCTTCTCACCGCTCTCTGCATGCGCTTTAAGTAGGCTGCTTGTCATCACAAAGAAGGATATTTACCAGACATTGGACGATCAGCACTCTGTTTTAGATGTTCCAAAGAGTGATAATCAGCCTCTTCGTCTTCACCATCCTTCATTTCGCGACTTCCTTCTCAGCCACAAACGATGTGAGGACCAGAACTTCTGGATACATGAGAAGCAAGCACACCAAACGCTAGCTCGTAGCTGCATACGGCTTATGTCAGCTTCCCTTAAGCAAAACATCTGTGGCTTAAATAGTCCCCGTGAACGTACGTGCAACCGAAGTTGACAGCAGTGTAGACCAATGTCTTCCTCCGGAAATTCATTATGGATGTCTATACTAGATACAACACCTTCAGAAGAGTAGTGCTCAGTTGCGTGATAATGATCTGGTGCATTAGTTCTTAAAAGAACATCTTCTTCACTAGCTTGAAGCACTTGGCTGGATGGGGAAGATTTCTGAAGGAATTCATGCAATATCTTCCTTAGAGAAGATAATAATGTAAGCAAGCTTCAATTATTGCAGTCCATATTGCGAATACATAGACCAGGCATAGGAGTGCCCTCAACTGTCTAAATATGCCCATGATATAAAATGGTTCATACTCTACAACCGACTAGCGATTGCAATCGCTCCCCTGCAGATATACTGTAGTGCACTTATATTTACGCCAGAGATGAGCATAGTAAGAAAACAGTTTTCCTATTGCATACCTCGGTGGATACGAAGATCACCAAAGGTGGAAAGAGATTGGACTGCGGCACTCCAGACGCTTGAGGGCCCTAGCAGTTCGGTCTCCTCGGTGGCCTTCTCTCACAACTCGACCTGGCTGGCATCGGGGTCGTATGACAACACTGTCAGGATCTGGGATGTGAGCAACGGCGAGTGCCTCCAGACGCTCGAGGGTCATAGTAGCTCGGTCTCCTCGGTGACCTTCTCTCACGACTCGACCCGGCTGGCATCGGAGTCGAACGACAACACGGTCAAGATCTGGGATGCAAGCAGCAGCGAGTGCCTCCAGACGCTCGAGGGCCATACCGGTTTGGTCTCCTCGGTGGCCTTCTCTCACGACTCGACCCGACTGGCGTCGGGGTCGGGTGACTGCGCGGTCAAGATCTGGGATGTGAGCAGCGGCGACTACCTACAGACGCTCAAGGGCCATAGCAGTTCGGTCTATTCGGTGGCATTCTCTCACGACTCGGCCCGGCTGGCGTCGGGGTCGTACGACAACACGGTCAAGGTCTGGGATGCAAGCAGCGGCGAGTGCCTCCAGACACTCGATGGCCATAGCCGTCCTGTCTCCTTGGTTACCTTCTCTCACAACTCAATCTGGTTGGCGTCAGGGTTGTACAACAATACGGTCAAAATCTGGGATGCGAGCAGCGGCGAGTGCCTCCAGACACTTGAAGGCCATAGCGACTGGGTCTCCTCGGTGGCCTTCTCTCACGACTCTACCCGGCTGGTATCAGGGTCGTACGACAACACGGTCAAGATCCGGGATGCAAGCAACGGCGAGTGCCTCCAGACGCTCGACGGCGATAGCAGTTCGGTCTCTTTGGTAGCCTTCTCTCATGACTCGACCCGGCTGGCGTCGGGGCCGGGCGATTACACGGTCAATCAAGGCCTAGCTGTAAGTACAAATGGGGTATGGATAACATATAATTTAGAGAACCTATTATGGATGCCCTCAGGGTTTCGGCCGTTACGTTTCATAGTATCAGAGAAGGTGATTGGTATTGGTACTACAGGTGGAAAGGTGTGGACATGTCATTTTGAGCGTAACACATCCTAAGGCATTGGAATATTTATATCATCATTACTATGCTACGTTTCTATTCTCTCTATTTCAGAGAGGATCAGGGATCAGCATGGATATATAGCTCGCCAAACTACCACAGCGAAATTTCGAGCATACCCTGGATCAGGTAATCAGATGTCCATGTATAGAATTACGTGTTAGGTAATATCTGCCACATGAGCCTGACTAGAGGCACAGTAGAAAAAAGCCTTGATCACGCTAGTAGGGAGGACAGTCAACCCGCTCTGGACAGAATCCTGTGGTAGTGTAGAAGATGGGACTTGGGGATGGTACGAACGGTTTAAATAGCAGTTAGAGTACAGTACAGTGTCACGACATGCCACTAACCAGCCAGTCGGCTCGCACAGTAATCACCATTGTGGCTGAATCGTGTGAGCTTGATCAACGGGGAGATACTAACTTTCGCTTCTGAATCGTAGGATAGACTTAATATGGAAAAGCTTATCTTGAGCTTTTCATGATCCATACAGGATAACATCTGGACTGTACACAGTGCTGCGAGTTTTTGTATTGCATAACAATACCGCTATGTCCGCTTTTGTCGCTATGGCTTACTGAATTTACCGCCCCTGTAGCTGACATGCGTCTGGCACAGCGTACGTAGCAAATAGTAGCCTAGTAAGAATTTATAAAGAAGTACATGCTCCTCAGAAAGTACTATCTCAAGCTCAAGCAAGCAAAAAGACGAAATAGATATGTTATGCCAGGAGTAGTATTGCTCAGTTTAAGCGAGCTGAGCACAAAATAACTAGCAAGACAAGAAACTGTATGTGATTTTTATATGTAAGCTGTAATATAGATTAACTGCTACTTGCGTATAACCCTGCTAACATTTCATTGATGCATTAATGTACAGGTAGGTTAAAGTTGATGCAAGGTTAGGGTACCTTTTCTTTCTTTCGGCACGCAGGGGTCTTTGGCTACTCGAGGGGGAAGGTTAGAATAACACATGCATCGCAGTCATGCCCAAAGGGACAATGGCCCTTTCAACAGAGTCATAGGTCATCTCTTCTTAGACTAAGACTGCAAAAGTCAGCCATTCTTCCCGATGAGCACCCCAAGAAATATTTCCTCAAAATACATATCCAGTCCCGCTCAGCTAACACCTAAGACATTACTACTGTAACTAAAACTGAAACGTTGGTGTGTACAGCATAGTGTGGAACAGGCAAGACTGTCATGCCATTGCCTCAGGCGAATTTCACTCCGCATCCGCCATCGACACGGTCGTCCCTGGGTTCTGCATGAAGCCGGTTGGAAGCGGCCAGTATCCCATCAACGTGGAAACCCGCAACTCTATTTCCCAGGTATCTTTCTTCTTGATAGATTTCTAGGATATGGATTTCTCCAGGGTTCCGGGTCCAGACCAATTCACCGCGAGGCTAGCGCATCATCACAAGAGTAGATCCTCGCCGAATGGAATGCTTGGATTTCAACATCCACTACGATCGGGAAATTAGAACGTACAGTGAGATGGAACCTCGCTGGCCGGATGCTTTCGCACACCAGCTCAAGGACAGCGTTTCCATCAGGAAGTAGTACGATTCGACTCAGGCTTTCTAGACAAGTTACGTCTCACTTATCATATACTTTTGTTTGCTTCACCTAACAGTAGGGGTTAATATAATTAAGTTATAGTTTAATTAAAGCTGCTTATACTTCTTAACTTTTTACTAAAAGTTACAACATAACTGTTAAAGCTTTTAGAGTAGCAAAGTCCCCTTTACTTTTAATATAGCACATAAGGTTATTTAATTTACTAAAAATAACCTTATAACATAGCTAGTTCTTCTAGAGTTATAAAGCTTTAATTATAAAGCCTAAGAGATAAGTATAGTTATAAGTAACTGTTCTTTTCCCTTTACTAAAGGCTCTGTGCTATCTTTTTATACAAGAGACTGTTATCTTTTGCTATAATAAAGTTGTCTAAGGTTGTTGTAGTATAGGGCAAGCTCTAAGGCTACACTAACACGTAAATAGTGGCACAAACACGCTCCCCTAGCCCTCACGCGCGTTAGAGACTGCAACCTTAAAAAAGTCTACCTTAATTATATACTACTTACTTTTAAGCCTTATTAATTAAATTGTAATAGTTAAAAATGTAGTTACGTTTGTTTACCTCACGTGATTGTAGGTGGAGCAAAAGTATCAATTATACTACTTCCTGTTGGAAACGCTGCTCAAGGACGTTATTCAATACATTAATGAAGCAAATAACACGCGGTCTGAATACAGCCCCGCTTACATCCAGTTGATCAATATTATCATACTTCGGCTCTTGCGGTGCTGCAGTCCAACGGCTGGAGTATCATGCCCGCGACAGCCCGCGGGGATTTCTGGGCAAGGAATGTGGGCGTTGATAACCAGATCGGGGAGACAGTTATCTTCGATCCAGGATGCAGCTGCGGGCATGATGAGATGGAATTTAGGATTTGGATGTGTCGCGTATGCTGAGAGCCTTGGCTGGGGCTCGGAGCCTGGGGCGCGGCTCGGGATCTGGAGATAGTATGTTCCGAAGCTCGGTGTATATAAGGAGAGCCTTCAACTCTCCTAGATAGCAGAGTCACTTCATCCGATCTTCTGAACAGCTACTGCCAGGCTATTTTATCCTCCACAGGATGTGTGAGTGGGTGAATTCAATTTAATGACCTCGTGTGCTTGCGGCTTTATTAACGTTTTGTCGAACCCCTAGAGCCCGTGGATGAGTGGGATGATAAAAATAGGCGTTATGGTGATTTTCTGAATTTGACAGATTCGGCGGGACACCCAAGGAGTAGGTCGAGGGAACTATGAGTATGACTTTGCGTTAAAAGGCTAAATCCCAATGGGATATTATAGAGCGTATAATGATATCTTGTATCTCTGCGAGCAGCATGGACCCTTGAATAGTCTGGAAAATTAGACTCTAGAGAAGGAAATATGTGTGCAGCATCTATGTGCCTGTTGCAGTTGACCAGTTATCGTGAATGTGGGTACCTTATGTACGTGCTGAGATTGTGGGCTTGAGCTTGATCTCCAAGAATTTGAGCATTAGTTGGAAATGAAAGCTTGAGGTAGAACTTCCCTCCCCATTGAGAATGTGGTCCGACTCCTGTGTCTATAGCGAGGTAATTTGAACGCGTAAGCATGTACCACACGCTCCTCTCTCTGTACATGGGTGATCAAAATACGGCTTGTGAGGGTTTGTGGACTGAGAAAAGTTTCGACGGTGATGGCCTTGGCTGGCTTCAGCGAAGTGCGTAGGCGCGTTGCTGGATTAAGATGCGGATCGAAGCCAGTTTAACGTTGATGAGGTACAAACCTTAAAGTGAGGGGAGCCATCTTGATAGGAAGGGTTAGGTCGAATGTAGGTAGTTGTTGCAGATTGGCCGTTTGAAATCGTCCCGAGAGATAGAAAATAGTGCAGACGGTGCGACAGAGGCGTATTGAATGTCGTTGAGACAGAAAGATTAATGGAAACTACAGCCGCACCTCGCTTAGCGAACTGATAGGTAATAAATAACTACAGCACGTTACCATGTAACGTGAAACATGACTAGGGTGACGTCTGTCTGTTAAACCTATTGCTGGAATGAGGGAGAGCATTAGTAGGATGCAGAATTGTGTCTTGAATCCTCTCCTGTCATGTTCTACGTTAAGTAACAAGATGCAGTAGAAGGGATTAGAAAAGACTGATGAATAAGTAAACAGATTGTCCACCAGAGAACGTAGGGGCTGAAACGGAAAGTACATGGAGAATGAAAAGAAAGCATGAGAGCATCCATGTGCGGGGAATATATTGAGACCAACGGACTGTGGTGTCGACTTGGGAGGAACAGAGCGGAGCACAAAGATTCGAACATGAGAAAGAGTCGAACATCGAGGTACAAAATTGTTCAAATATAACGCTACCTCCCGTATATTTATTTCGAAATTTTCGAGAGGGCTCTCAAAGAAGAAAATGGTGACAATAAGTAGAGGAAGACCAACATAAGAGACACTGTCAATCCTCCAGAGAAGACATTCAATAGGGGTAGGAAGTATAGCGTTCCAGCCGATAATATGAGGCGTGCTGAAGAGAATACAAGATATCAGAGAGAAAAACATGTGTCCGATACCTTCCCGTACTGTCTCGCCTACCTGGCGTTGGCAATGCGAATCTATCTTTCAAGACTTCTGCTTTCCATGTTGAACCTTTGGCTATGACCCACTTATTACCTCTAACGAAGGAAGGACATGACTGCAGAATAGCCAGAACCTGAAAGTGGAAGTGCTTATACAACCAGAAAGCGTAGACCACAAGGGCCAGCTGACTTAAACAAGAGTAAAGAGCCCTAGTTAGGGTGGTGATGAGAAGATGGGATGCAGTCTACCGACTACATGAATTAAAACCTAGGTAATTTGCAGAAACGAGGTTATCCTGCTGAACCAGTTTGACTTGCTCTTGTCCTCGATTTCTTTGAGGCATAGCTTCTGGATATCGAAACTGTCATTTCGAGGAAATGGCGTACACGATCTGGAGGAAGGATTATTGTCTCCAGTTTTATCTTTGGTCATGAGGTCAACCATTATGATGAGATGGCTGATTGAGTCATGCCATTGGACTTTCTACTATGCGTTAGGTCAATTGTGGCTATTTGGGGAGTGAGAACCCAGCAATTGTTGGCCTATTTGGCGATACACGTCGCTAATATGTGGTCTTTTGATGCCACCGAGGCAATGTATTCAGGAGCGAGTAGAGCTACTACTATCCACTTTAGTTTCCGAAGGAAGAGGGACATTTTTGAATATTTGGGCCCGGGCACATTTAAGTGGAGGGCATTCCACGTGTTGATGACAATCGTGGAAATACAACTGAGCACAAGAGACGTTGTGCCGCGCGTGGTGGGTCCCGAAACCCACCCGAGATTCCCATGTGCGTCCATAATGTTCACCACAAGCGCGACGGATGAGGCTGAACGAGGTCGAGTGTCGCAGGACTCCGACGGATCACGGCGGCTGGCCTGAGAAGCCGCTGAGTGGCTTGCGGTTGGATTTCTCCCGAGAATAACCAGATGAGGAGGCAGACAGACAAGCATATGACTTTCAAGACAGAGTTAACGAGAGCAGGACACGCGAGAGAGGAAGGTTTAATGTGACAACGCATCGTGACAGAAGGCTGAGGAGTTGGCAGGCTGAGTGGCTCCTGGCACGCCTCCCTCTGCCAGCCGCAAAGCAAAGCAAAGTAAACCAAGCAACGGGCGGAACTCAGGGACAGGGACAGGAACAGGCGAGTGAATATATCTTGTCGCAACCTCCTTGCAACCCGAACGAATTGTTCACGACGAACAACAGCGCCGGGAAAGGCCAATTTGGGCTCAGTGAATGTGGAAGTGCGGAGGCAGAGCCGTGATGATGCTCTGGATGTGCGCCGAGGAGACTAAAAATAGGTGTTGAGCGGCGAGGGTGGCGTTGCCTTCCCCGGCAACTAAGCCCAAACCTGCCCGTCGTTCTTGCCCCTGTCCGCTGTTTTCTGGCTCTCCACCTCCCAACCAAACACTCTCACCACCAACCTCTCTTCACTTCACCCACCCCCTTCGCTACCGCCTGCTAACTTCTTTCTCCTTCATCAGTCGCTCGTTTTAAACGGAGGAGACCAGCTCGCAATTATCACCGGCTGTCGCGTTGTTGTTGATAGCTCTTTTTGTACCGCCAAAACACGCCGTGCGAAGCCTTACACGACACCCGAGAGTGCGATTCACAGCTCGTTTCTCCGCCTCGCAGGCTCCGAAGAAGGCATCTGCGACCTGCAATTCACTTCGCAACCGCTATTGTCTGCCCACCACCTCGCAATGAGGCCCACCCAGCTGCTCGCGGCCGTCGTCGCCCTGTCGTCGCTCTCTGCGGCGTGGCCTGAGGCTTTTCATAATGCGAATGCACTGGCTGATGTGCGTGAGGCCCTGTATGGACGACAGGACAGTGAGTATCTCCTGCTACAATATCCTCGGCAACACCCCTGACAGTATTTCCTTCCAGACTCAGGTTCCTCCAAGCCCACTGCCACCGACGATGCCAAGTCGACCGGCGACTCGCGGCCCTCGAACAGCGATGCCAGCCAGACGGCCGAATCGACAGCCAAAGAAACAGGCAAGCAATCCGCATCTGGTTCAGACTCACAGAGCTCTGGCAAGGTCACTGGCTCCATCACCAGCTCAGCAAAAAGCACAGCAACCAAATCCACCAAATCAAGCTCCATCGATCCCCGATCGCCTGCCGGTGCTGTCTCCATGGTGACCCCATCCGCCCTGGCTGGTTCCCAGTTCTACAAGATCGGAGATTGGGTAACGTTTGCGTGGAACTACACCAACCTTCTTGTAACGCCTGCCGCTGTTGACGTGCTTGCAACATGCACCGCAAACCAGGCCACATATACACTCGCTGTGAACATGACGGTGCACGAGACAGGCCGAGTACTGTGGGATACCGGCGCCTACCAGAGTAGTGCAACTGTGCCCTTGCTAACCGAAACGTATACCCTGCTCATCTACGATGCCGAATCCAGCGTCAGCGCGACGGCGAAGCCGGGCTACCTCGGTGTTTTTAATCAATTCCAATTCGGCATGTATACACCGCAGCCATACACGCCATGGGCTGGTAAGCTACCCCTCCCCCCTTCTCCCCTCGGTCACAAGCTAACATACGTTCCAGACTACAAATGCTCAACTTGCAACTCCGCCCTCTCCTCCCTCGAACGCATGACGCTCAAAGCCCTCCTCTTCACTACTGGCACAACTATCGCTTCACTCCTCTACTTCACCTATAGCTTCGGGATGTGGTAAACGCACCCATCAATCTACTTATCACAGCCCCTTTCCCTACCCTCCGGCTCGACTTCGGATCGAATTTGCATACAACCCGGCGTTCCTTACGTTTCAACCATGTTCATATATTCACTCCTTAGTTATATCATAAAAAGATGGAATGGTGGCGCTGTTGGAGCAAAACAGCTTGGTGAGAGATACATGGGAGGGAGTCTTACGGCGTTTTGGGTGTCGTTGGCCAGGGCATCTTTGCATGCCCTGTGTTTGTGGTTTTGCCATCGATCTTGGTTCCCATGGGAGTTTCGGGTATTAGCATGGATAAGACAGGTAATATTTGGAAGATGCGTGAGAAGGAAGAAAGTGAAATCGAAGTCGTTTGCAAAGATGCTGTGGTGGAATCGTAATATCTACTTATTGGAGAGCAAATCACACACGATGTCACGAAGTGAGATACGAAGCAAGCAAGTAGGCAAGCAAGCAAGGCAGAGTTATTAATATGATAGGATAGGATAGGGTAGGTTACTATAGTGAGCCTTCAAATAGCAAGTTTTAATAAGTCTTTTTTCAATTGTTTTTCTACGACGGGGAGTGAATTTGTTTGATGAGACAAACAAACCAACATTTCTACATATCAGTCCGTGAAGTATTCGATGCAGGGTATGCTTGGCGAGAATGTGAAAAGTGTGGTGGTATCTCAGGGAAATGGAACAGAAGCGCGGTACTCGATTCATGCACCCATCCAATGCTATGTGCAAAGACCTCCTCTCCATCATGTAACTGGAGCCTTCTTCAAAATTGTGGCGAAGGCCGCAAGATTGCGCCTCCCTTCCCCAAGAATGATGCTGGTATCTATCAACCGACTTAATCATGCGCCTAAGTTCGAGCCCTTCTAGCACCTCCAACCTGTCCAACGTTCAAATCCCTCCATTCCTCCTTCAACACCCACCGTCCCCTCCCACCACCACCTCTTGCACTCCTCTGCGTACGCTCCAGCCGCGCAATTGTCCTCAACATCTCACGAAACTCGTCGCTACGTCCTGGAACCCCTCGGCAATATCGGTCGAAATGATCAACTAGCATCTGCGTTGGAACAGTGCCACCATGCGTGAGCATGAAGTCACGGATCATTTCTAGCATTTGTTTACCGCGGGGTGTGGGAGTGCCGGAACGGGACATGCTGGTCGTGCCGGGGGTGGAAACTCTCGAGTTCGATGTGAATCTATTGGGATCGGTTCGGGCCTGTCGGGCTGCGAGGTTGGATAGGATACTGCTTGAAGAAGGACCCCCTCGTGCTGAGAGCGCGCCTCCACGACCTCCTCTACCGCTACTACTAAAGCTGTCCCCGCGGGGGCGATGTTGCTGCGGACGTCCTGCTTCGCCATATGTTCCAGTCCAAGTCGGTACCCCAATAGGCACATTCATAGCTTCCTCCCTCGCCCGTCTCAGTTGCTCAGCAGCTTCCGCGGCTGCACGTTTAGCTTCTCGCTGGATGAACGCCGGGTCGACCTGGACTTTTCGTTTGCGGCCCGAAGCCGTCGAATTCATGATTGCATCGTGTTCGAGCGCCGAGTGCACGCCCGAGCGAGCGAAGATTGTGGAGAGAAGACGTTCGTCGGATTTTTCTGAGTCTTCTGCTCCATTCTGTTTATCCTCGTCCTCATCCTCGCCAGGGGCTTGGAATTTCTCGGTGTGGTGGATGCCGACGACGGTTGCGAGATCCTCTTGGGCTGTTGCATTGCTGACGCTGACGGGCTGCTTGCCTTTTCCATTTGGAGAGTCGGATGGAGGGTTTGGCATAGCGTTGTGGTTTAAAGTTGGCTCGTTTTTGAATTTGACTTCTGAGCCGCGGAATAAGGTAGCGGTCTCGGTTTCCTCAGCATCGGTGCCAAATGAGAATAGGTCGTGCAGATCGCTCATCTGGAACGTCTGGCGCTGCTTTGGGTCTTTCAAGACCTTGTTAGTGAGGAATTGCTTGAAGATTTGCCGATGATAGATCTTCTCTTCAATCGTTCCGGCGGTCATGAGACGGTATATTTCAACCTCTCGTTTCTGCCCAAGACGCCACGATCGCTCGCGGGCCTGGATGTCAGTCGATGGATTCCAGTCAGGATCGTAGATGATGACACGGTTGGCGCCGGTCAAGTTTACACCGAGACCGCCAACCTTCGTCGTAAGAAGAAACACGTGAAGATCTGGGTCGTTGTTGAATTCATCGACCATGCTCTGTCGATTCTTGATAGGCGTCTCTCCGTCCATACGGCGGTAATTGAAGCTAGGGAGATTCTTGATAAACTTCTCCAGAATGTCAAGCATAATTCGGTGCTGAGCGAAGAGAAGAGTCTTATGACCACCCTTCTTCCACATCTCCAACAGAGCCTTTACAACCTGCATCTTGCCTGACTTGCTTCCCGCGCCATAGTTGTATGTTGGATCCTTCGACAGCGTCTTATGTTGAGTGAGATCAGGGTGATTGCATACCTTACGCAGGTAATCGATACCGAACAACATCTGACGCCTGCCATCAATAATCGACTTCATGTCGCTCGAGTTCAAGAACATTTCATAAGCCTGGCGCTGTTGCCGAGTCAGCTTGCAGAAAAGCACTCGCTCAGTCTTTTCGGGCAGATCGGCTGCAACATCGGCCTTGAAGCGTTGCAGAAGATAAGGGCTAATGGCATCACGAAGCGTCTCAGCTGTTCGCATGCCGGTCTCAACTTCGAGGTTCGAGGCGTTAGCGTATCCACCCCGTTTGATTGGGAACTCGAATTGAGCTCGGAAGTTAACAAGAGTTCCAAGACGCATTGGAAAGACAAAGTCAAATAGAGACCAGAGCTCGGTAAGATTGTTCTGCATCGGAGTGCCGGAGAGGATAATGCGGTTGGGTGTTCGAAGCTCCTTGCAGTGAATGGTGATGGAAGTGTTAGGATTCCGAATCTTGTGCCCTTCATCTAAGAAGGCGCACTCCCACTCCGTTGGGATGAGGAACTCGGCGTATGTTTGAAGGCCAGAATAGGTAGTCACGAGGACATGACCGTCTCGCTTCACCTTCTCCACGATCTTTTTTGCGGCCTTTCCAGCTTTGGTCAGAGTGGTATCGTAGTGGCCGTAATCACGTAGTTCCATCTCTTGTTCCATACGCTCCTCACGGCTCGTGTCGAGCATTCCACTACCGGACGTGTGCAAGATCGAGACACGTAGCGCTGGCCACCAGGTGTGGAACTCGTTAACCCATTGCTTCATGACGGTGGCCGGACAAACAACGATGACGGGTTTGCCGAGCTTCTTTGAGTAATGCAATCCAGCGATGAAAGATATTGCTTGGATAGTCTTGCCGAGTCCCATTTCATCACCAACGATTCCTCCGACTCCCTGAGCGTGTAGCTCGCAGAGCCACTCTACGCCAGTCTTCTGGTAGTCGAACAGCGCAGGGAAAATGTCGCCGGGAATACGAAACCCACCATCAAACTCTACATCAAGCTCGGTCGGATGAGGCTTGTGGAATTCTTCGTCTTCTTCGTCTTCATCAACATTGACGCCTTGCCGCTCCCTCGCTCTCCTCCGCGCAGCTGAGCGATTCTCCGTCCATGCTTGTATGCGACTCTGGTAGACTTTTTCATTGCCATCGTCAATGCCGGCCAAGTCCTCCACTTCCTTCCCGGTCACTTTCTCAGCCTTCGCTATCTTCTTGTTGGTCCGTCTGCTGCCAGCTTTACGCTTACGAGCGGAAGGCTCTTTGTCATACTCGTCGTCACCGGAAAGCTGATCAGAGTCATGTTCGGAGTCGCCCAATGCTGCGAGCTCACGGTCATCCATGCCGGGCACAAATGCATCTTCCGAATCCGCGGTGGGACTCTCGGTTGAACTACTTTCGTCCCGACCTGGTGTGATACGTCGACGTTTCGTTGGACGGGATGGAGGACTCAGGGCTTCTGAACTAGATCTTGAGTCACGAAACCCGGGTTTCATCAGATTGCGATGCGACACAGGTCCTTTGGGCTTGTCATATAGCTGTTCCTCGACTAGATTCTCCACCTCTGCATCGAGCATGACTTCACTAAGACTTGAAGGTGCTCCCCTATGGGCTTGTGCAAGCTTTGAGAATGGAGTAATCTTTCCAGTGCGGATCAAAAAGTCCCGCCGGCTCTCGTTGGGGAGAGGATGGTTGATACCACCCATCGCAATGTCCTCTCCTCCTAGTTGTGACTTGTGCCGGTCATTGATGCGCTGCTGAATAGAATCTAGCTCCTCATCGAACTCGTCAATCTTCTTCTGGTATTGGGTGATCTCTCCCCGAATCTTGAGCTTAGCGGACTCGACGGCAGGCATTACCAGACGACTCCGTAGCTTGCTGATTGCCGCTTGGCAACGCCTGATCTCAGCCTCAGTCTTGTTCATACGCTTCTTGTCCCGTTCATCTGCCTGCTCCGTGAGCATCTGGTCCGCTTGTCGGCTGATGTCTCGTTCCAGGTCATCTTGATCCCGAGTACCCGTTGTTAAGAACTTGATGCGAGTCTCTTCATCAGCATCTTCATCGAATTCCGAGTCCAGATCTGGCGCGACGATTTCTGGAGTAGTCTGCACATTTCTGGAGGGTGAGTCTACATTATGCTTTAACTGGGAAGTGTTTGGGGGGGAAGCCGAGTCGGTGGCTGTGCCGTCGTCGGTCAAGGGAAGCATCACTACCCCCAAAGCCTTTGGAAACAGGTTGGTGAAGAGTGATTGCGAGAAATCTGCGTGATGTGTGGGTGTGGTGAACGAAAGGATGAAAGACGCTTTGCGGAAGAACGAATGGCCGAAGCAACGGCTCCACAATTCAAGACAAGAAGTCGGATTGTTGAGGGCTCTGTTACAGAGAGGCAAGCATGAAAGAGTTCAAGGCGGGTGCGGGGCACTGGGGTAAAAACGAGGAGGATCCATGAGTAAACTTTGACTCTCCAGGCAGTGAAGTTGAAGTGAAGTGCATGGCGTCATTGGACAGCGACGCGCCAAGGCCGGGATTTTGCCGCTCTAGTCACCTGTCCACGCGCTATCACGCCTCACAACCTCAAACACCCTGCCATCAACGCATTTCGCCCACCTTCACAGTCCACTGCATCTCATAGAAATACTCGAATCTCTGATCCTAAATTCACACGTCTGTTTTTGCGCAGAGAACAGACCCGTTTGCTTCTGAGAGTCGAAGATTGGATACTACATAACCTCCCTCTGTTTAGGCTCGGAAGAAAACTTTTCGCTCCGGTCGCCTCCAAATAGGCGACATGAAGACGGCTTCCAAAACATCGCTCAGACGACCAAGGTCAACCTAGAGCCATGACCGAACCTAGACGCCTATCGTATCCATGCATAAACTCTAAAGGGTAGTAGTAGTTGGAGAATAGATTTCGTTGCCCTAGTTGAGCCTAAAACTTGATTTGTACTTCGATTTTTCCAAGAGCCTAGTATTGAGCCTTCAAAGACCATGTGCATGCCGAGGATACATCCGATTTCAAACTGCCATCGGCCGGATGGGTATAAATTGGACTTGGGGCATCCAGTCAGAGTCGAGTCGAACAGGGAGTAAGCCCATTATTGATGTCTGTCAAGTGCATTCAGGGTAGGAACACGAAAATTTTAGCAAACTGAATTTTTGTATGCACACAAGAATAAATCTTGGATCTTTGTAGGTAAGAAAAAGGTTATACATGTTGAATGGGCTCTTTGAGCTAGCTGCTTATGGTATGAGCACTTAAGTAGCAAGAGTAAGAGTAGTGTACGGTGTGCATAGCGTACGGAGTAGGTAGGGTGGGCAACAGATTTCTGGTCATTGCCTGTCTTCTCTCTTGCGTACGGAGGAAAAGGGGAATATCTACATGTTCGCGCACGGAGGTTCGCGCACGAGCATCATGTGACATAGTTACGTGATCCTTCTCGCGCGATAACTAGTATCCAGACTGTAGCGCTGCTGCTGCGTACGGACAATACAAGATATACATGGAATCTTCTAATATCTTAAAGGCTGTATTTGCTAGTGTTGTAGCGGGCGCAAATACAAAAGTGTGATAATTACAGGTGAGAATCTGGCCCCCTTCAGTCCAAGCACTATATCAAGCCTCGGAATGGGCTCTGTGTCGCTGAGTAAATATAATGGTGAGCAACTGCTCATCGAGGTCGTCGAAGAAAAAGCGAAATGGCTTAAACACCATACATTCTTGCGATATCCTGCGGATAAGTGGAAGAAAAATGGATACTCCATAATGACATGGGGTCAATTTGCTGATGCCATCAACAAAGTAGCGCACTGGCTAGATCAGCAGCTTGGAAAGTCAATGGATAATGAGGCTGTTGCATATCTTGGACCTTCGAACGCAAGATATTCTATTATTCTCCCGGCTGCAATCAAAACGAATAGAAAGGTATGTTGTTACCCCCATACTTCACCTCACTAAAACTGAGCTAGTGTACAGATCCTGATTCCGGACGGCCGTGTGACGAAGGAAGGCATCAAAAATCTAATTGGCGAGAGCCAATGCAAGGCTTGGATCTATGCAGAAGATGATGAAAATCAGACGAAAGCACTCGGCATTAGTGACAGAGGCCCAAAATTGCTGACTTTCCCATCACTTGAATGGTGTTTGGACAGCGAGGGCCATGAACGATACCCATATGATAAAATATACGATCAGGCGAAGTTCGAAGAGATCTTATTCATACATACGTCGGGGACAACTAGTAAGAGATTCCAAGTGTTTCATCAGAACGAAAGGCTTACATGATCCCAGGTCTTCCTAAGCCAATTCGCCATATGAACGGATTTTACAGCAACTTCACAACTTACTACTATTTCTCCCGAAACACTGGCCTCGTGGCGTTGCGTACGACTCTTAGTTTGGAAAGACTATGCTAACCTCGTACCCTCCTCAATGGCTGGGGGCCTTCATGCGTACATCTTTGCACCAGCCTTTAATGGTACTTCAATCATTCCACCTCATGACGAGATTGGCATTTCGCCAGCCATTTTCAAGAAAATTATACAGCTCAACCCAGTTGACGGTATCCAATGTCCCCCACATGCGATCGCCCAACTCTACAATGATCCGGAAACTCAACCCCTCCTGAAATCTCTGAAATATATTATCTACCTGGGGGCGTCCCTTGGCCAAAGGATTAGAGACGACCTCTACGAGCTAGTCATTGAGTGACCAACTGACGGGACTCTAGTCTATCAATGCGCCTTCTTCAATGTCGCGTACAAGGATGTTGACAGAATTGAAACAAAGGAGCTATATTCCCCTGTGAGGGATCTGGATGGCATCACAAGATGAGTTTTCTCCGCTCGAAAGGACGACTTGACGAAGTTAGACTGGCTTGCTAAATTTCACGCCCAGGATATCAAAACTCGTATCAAACAACATCCCGATGTCCTAAATGTTATCGTTGGTGGAGAAGGACGGTCGGTGCCATATTTTATCATTGAATCTCGAGACGGTGTGCTCGATCGGAACTGCCTAGATTCGGTATTGGATGAACTGTATTCTGATGCGATTGTCCAGGCAAGCAAAGACGACATCAAGGAAATTAAGATTGCAAAAAAAGACTATGTTGATTGCGAATAAGGAAAAGCCATTCAAGTTGAGTGGAAAGTAGACCCTTCTGAGGAAAGAAATTGAGAAGGACTATGTGGCAGAAATTAAGGATGCGTATGAACGATTTGGGAAGGCGAAGAACAGATGAGGTGGAGTGGAAGGGACAAACATGTGCAAAATGGAAAGGGCTCTGACATACTAGCTATCCATGTCTTTATCTACTCTAAATCCACTCCAATTATCCATATTAGCACCACAGTCTCAACATCGCTCGCTATCGTTCCGCATTCATTTCACGCTAATATTTTACTTCTACAACTTCAATTGTCCGTGAACTAGCAGGCAACCCCATCGTCCGCGCTCAGGCTTACTCGTCATTTACGATGCTAGGTGTGTTGCGCTCTTCTTGTTTGTCTAGTGCGTCTCTTCACATCACTGAACATGACAGGAATCGAGTAGTACGCAATATTTCGCACCGTATTGGGATACCATTCACGTAACAGCCTCTCAGCTATCAAGCCCATTCTAGAACAAACGAGATCCGGCCCGAGAACTATCACCAGTAGCTTTCAACCTCACGAGCCCCTAAAGCACCATGGTTTCTAGTCTGAGTAAAAGAGAGGCATCACCTGCCGATGTAGCAATCGTATTCGTTATAATTGTCTCCACAATCCTTCTCCTCATCCTAATCATCTCGATATTCATTTTCAATGCCCGAGTCGAGTTCTCCCGAGAATTCTGGGACTATCTCCTCGACTGCCTGAAAACGGCCTGGAACTATATCAATGGGTTTTTCAAAGCATGCTGGCCCTGTAAGGACAATAACATGGACGACGATGGTAACCCTCTCGCCAACCAAGAAGCCAACGGTGGCGAATCGGGCAACGACGGTGAGCTAGATGAACCGCTTCCCGGATGCCTTGAAATCGAACTAGAACATGAAGGACATGGGTCAGTACAAAGACCTAATCATTGCAGCAGCCCCGGCCCTCACGATTATTACGCCACCCCTAGCCCAGATTCCTCCTGGAATGATGAAAATAGCATCGAGTGTATCGATCAAGATGCCGGCAGATCTACAAACACACATCGCCGTCCCCAAGGCCTTGCATCTGCGATGAAAGGTAGAAACACTTCATCACGGCACTTTCATTTATATCGTGGAACCGCATTACCAGGGAAGAGACAAATCAAATTTGCAGCCACGAAATCTCCACCCAAGAGTGGTCGCAACAGCGCCGCCGCTACAATCCGCCAGCCTCGTTCTGCTACCGCACCTCACAACACTTTGTCTGATTTCACAAACACTGATCTATCTTTTGGCGAACCCGATGCGCTTGGTGATTCAGATGGAGGTGTTCCGACTGCCTGTTATCGACGCATGAGCAATGACAGCGGCATTGGAACCATACCTATCAGCCGTCTCCAAGACGAAGTTGAAGTCGAACCGAGTTATTACCCAGAAGCCACGGAATTCCTAGAGAACGGGGGCTCCCCAACTGAGAGCACTCATTCAGCCGAGAGTTACGTATATCCGATTCCAGGTCGCCTCTTCGAATTCGGTCGTCTAAAATATGGGAAAGGTTTGAGAGCCTCAATTCATACACCGAAATTATTAATCGCGAGAGAGGCAATGCCGACAGTTCCTGCTCAGGCGGTTGCCGGGGGGGCTTTACTCACTATTATCTCAAGGAAAGATTCACGGTATTTTGAGGAGGGTGGCGGAGGGAGGCACCTACAGCCAACCGAAGAGACTCCATTATTGAGATCGAATAGGTTTATCGCGGCGCAGCGCGGAGATGGAGGATCTCAAGAAGAGCATACTTACTCCATGGCAGAGGACGTCTTCTATTAAAGATTAGCTTAAGGAAATGAGACAGGGCGTCTATCAGCTCTGTCGTCCAAAGCATTTTCTACCTAGGTTAGTCATGGACAGGTTAGTGGATAGTGGCCTTTCTGCCAAGGAAGTGACACTTGGTTGAGTTAGATCATGCAATGCGCAGCACTGAATAGATTTCTCCTTGTGACCAGAATATCTACCATCATTGTGTTATTGACGCACAAATGAAACCATTAGAAGTAGGCAGCAGATTACTCACCAGAGGGGAAATTTTTACACTAATGGAAGGAATCAAAGCAAGGGAGATTCAACCCAAATATATCCTTTTTAAAATGATCTCTAACCCTCGGATACCACTTCAGAAACAAACCTCAGTCAACGTAGACCTCAGATTCTCTCAGCAACCCTGACGACCTTCTGAGATAGAAAGCAAGACCTAAAGACTTGTAGGAAGGGGTTGGGTGTAAAATTGCCCGTGTGGCCCCTCGGGATCGAAGTCCAATCCACCAAGACCCAGCCCAACAAGCTTCTGATCGAAATGCTTGTTCACATATTCAGCCATCATATCAATACCTAGAAACGTGTTAATACCTCTCTAAATACCTCACTAAACAATGGACAACCTGAGAAGAGGATTAACTCACCACATCCCGCCCCTCCCGCGGTCCAAATCTCCGTCCCTTTCCCCTCTCCCTCCTCAACTACCCACCTCTGATCACACCACTCCACCCCAGGAAACATTTCCTTCGCTTTCCCCAACAACATCCTATTCGTCGTCGCCTTCCTCCCCTCTAATACCCCGCTCGCCGCTAACCACATCCCCCCGGTACAAGTCGTCATAACGACCTTCGCCTTGCCTTCCCCGCTCCCCACCGCCTCCCTTAAAAAGGTCAAACTGTCCGGATGCACTTTCGACGGGTCTGGGCCTCCAATCAGGATAACATCAAGGTCTCGGGGAGCAGTTGCATATGTGTGCGTGGGATTGACGGACGTTTCGGGGGTCATGGAAGCTGGGGATAGGGTGGAGGAGATGTAGAGGAATTCCATGGGGGTGGCGAGGGGGAGCATGGGGGTGAGTTCGGGGACGAGTGAGCAGACGGTTTGCATGTTTTTGACGGAGAGGTTGCCGATAATGTCGAGGCCGACGAGATCGGCCATTTGGACGTCTTCGTGGAAGACACCGATGCGGAGGGGACGTTGGGGGGTGGGGTCGGACGCCATTGTTGATGAGTGAACTTAATTAATAGTAGAACAGACAATAGAGAATGGTGTATGAAGTGTTCAGAATGGAGACGAGTTTCTGGTGTCGATTTTGCAGCTAAGTCAGGTCCCTTTTATAACATCCACTGTGGCCCCCAATTTTGCGAGAAGGAACATCCGTTCCGTACCAGCTCTCTCCGGGCCACATAACTCTGACACACAGCTTGAAAGGAGCTCAATAATGCTTTGCCAATTGTAGGTATTCCAACCAATAAGGACGACATAAATCTGGCTGCCTTAGATATCGGGAATTGGAGATCGGCACGGAAGCACACTGACTTCCGTCCCGGCCGATGGACCCCCAGAGGATTATCCATCTGCAGTGCCACATGTAAATGCATTGTTAGCTTCCTTTACATGCTGCTCCGCTCCGTTATACTGTATCTAAGACACTCTTTTGACAGGATCAAGGAAAGAAACCCGTTTCCGACCCTTAGCCTCCACGCAGATAATTCTACTTCAAGGTAGTTTCAGATCTGATTTCTTCTTCTTGAATCTCCAATACCGCCAACCGAGCCACACACCAAATACAATAATCATAACAGGGATAGTTGTTGCAGGCAATATCCACCACTGGCGAGAGACACTGAGTCCCTCCGGTCCGAAGTCGAAAAACGTTGTGCTAAGTATAGCAGAAATGAACGTTCCGGGGAGAAAGAACATTGTGACAGTGGCTATGGTGATCATGGACGAAGAGTCGCGTTGAGTTTGTTCGGCAATCTTGGCCGAGGATGATGCAATTTGCGTGCTGGTGCGGGATTCTCGCTGGTTGGCAAGGTGGAATAGCTAGATTCCGTTCAGTTAGTGCCCAGGTCCTGACTAAGCGAAGTTCGAACTGATGGAACTTACGAGGTTAATGCGAATGTTTGTCCGGTCTCGATAAACCGAAGTCCACCGAACGAAGTTATCACATTGGGACTTTAGAACCTCCAAAGATTCGTCCGTGTGAGAGAACTTGTCTACCTTCCAGCCGTTCTTTGGATCTTGAATATTCCGCATATATTTCATATACGCATCCTGGAGAAACTGGAGCTTCGTGTAGAAATCCTGGCAGTCTTGTCCAAGTGTATGCCAATCTCGAGATAGTCGGTGTAGTGCCGTTGTTGCGGTGTTAAAGTCAATGTCCTTATCCCCTTTAGTTCGCTCCTACCGTGCTGTATGTCAGCATTGGAGAATTACCATAAATCCCGACTAAAGGTGTGGCATACATGCTGCACGAGTAGTTTTCGTCGATCGCCAATGTTGCGCTGAAACTCCTTAAGACACTCATCCGCAGCTAGCGCTTCCAGAAAGAAAGGGCGGTAACCAAGCGCTGAATTCTGTTTTAGATATGCGGTTAATCGTTGCATAGAAAGCGCTGGATAATTGATGCAAAAGTATCTACATCGGTGGCGCGTTCGGATGAACTGTGTGTAAGCTATTCCAGTATCCCAACCACACTGATAGCGGTATGACGACTCTAAATATTCACCAATTAGCACATCGGACTCTTATGTACAAGTCTACACTTATAAAGTGGCATACCGAATGATGCTAGTTTCCCATGATCGCCATGCCGCAGGAAGCATTGGTTTCCCATCTTGGCCCAGAAGCCTTCAGACGAGTACATGGAGCGCAGTATAACTCCCGATAATCCACCTCGCCGCAGAGAACGAACAGTACGAGGCGGGATGCTGAAATTTCCAGGGAGCCAGCCAAACATTGACTTCCAAGTATTGACAAAGCTATAGAACATTAGCTATCTTTCTAGTTGGCACTTTCATTCACTGCACTCAGGCTGCCGTGTTTATCAGAAAGATGTTGAGGTTTCTGAACCCTTTGACTAAATACATAATGTCTTTTGGTTCCCGGGAGAGTGATGTAATGGGTAACGTTATGTTTTCCTCGGAGATCATCCCGAGAGACATGATTAGCCGAAGGCCCAGGTGTCAAGTATGAGGAGAGAAAAACATCACAATAGCTAATCTCCGGGTGTCCTAATAAGAAGGACTCGGAGAGTGTCTGCAAAGTGAAGAGAGTTGAAACACGTACAATATTTGAAGGGACTCTTCTGAAGTATCGTGTGAATTTGTGAGATCATGCTGCTCCGAATCCTATTGTGTTCTGTGAGAGATCAGCTGGAAGTGCTTGTAACAATTGACCTACTGATATAATGGCATCCAAATAGTCATCATCGACGTTATAATGCCACTCTGGGAAGTTATTCAACTCAAGGTATATCGTTCGGGGTTGATGGGGTCTTACTTAATTCCATCCCACGGCCTTGGAGCACAGTGACCGTGGCCCTGAAATACGAGTCTTCCAGCTCACTCTGTTTGAGGCCCCAAGCAAGTAGCGACTCATCTTCTAGTTCCGGATACTGAGAGAGCTCAAAGTCATTGGATACCTGATAACTATCTGGAGGAAGGGGAGGCAATGGCCATTGTTTCCAGCTTCTGTTGCGGTGAGGTTGTTTCAAAAAGGTTGGGCTAGGAGGAGATGCCATGTCATCAGAGCCGCAGAGAAACTAGGAAACGAGAAAATGTTGCCTAAACGTGCGACCGAAATTCGATGGTCTGACAAGGCATGGAGCGACTCATTTCTATCGTTTTAGGACTACGTTATTGTAGGTACATAAGAGTTGGATACGGAGGATTCAGATTCTTAAGAGAATTGTTGGCGGGTCCTAAGACCAGAGATGGCTATGACCTGTGGATGTTCACAGCGATGTCTTGGCATTGGCACAGACCCCGTATTCACTAGTCCTAATTTAGAAAGTAGGTTGGTTTAAAGAATTAGTGTAAGCCTGGCAGGGGCAATGAGTTATGAGAATCGATGTGTTGTGGTCCGAGGGTCCGAGGAGCCGTGAGGTATGTATACAAGTGAGAGGATCCAAGCTCTGATTGACTGGGCAGCCCTCTGCGTTATTACTAAATGATCATTCGACATTTAATGTTGGACGGCCATTTTTGAACTTCTTAAATTCGCATTTTTAACGTTTGACGCGATGATGGCCAGAGAAACTCTGTTTTTGAATGAAGCCCTCTTCATCGGCAACATTCTCATTATGTTTATGTATCAATGATGCTCACCTATTCACGAAAAATACTGCTTCACTAGCCTAGTTATAGTCGCTTCTATCTAGTAGTCTCCGAGAGGAACGCACGATATATGATTTAAGAATGGAGTAGAAATTTGGTTGCTACAAATGTACGGAAATTAGTAACCTAGTTTCAGAAGCAAGAAAAGAATCTTGTAGACATCACCGAAATTGCAATTGCATTAGGTGATACTATTAATCAATGAGTTCATTGTGGACTCTGAAGTATATATCTTCCTACCAGTGAATAAAATTGTGTTGTAGTAGGTTAGGGGTGATAGGTAGAGGAAACGATGCCAGCAACAGAAGGCCCGGATTCAATAACTATCAGCGTATGCTACCTCAACAGCAGTGGATTTCACTAAAAGCCCAACCCATTTTATTCGCACCATCCAATTTCAAAGCGGTCGAGGATTTTGGCTTCCCTTATATCATTCACTGAATCTGACCTCCTTCTCGAACCCATTGGAGCATAAAATCTCGCGATTCCCCTCACTTTCTTTCAACAAACAACTCTCCGCCAACTGTTTTGCGCCACCCTGCAAGAAAAACTCTCTCCAACACCCTCAACTTTTAGTAGCGACGCCTAACTCCCTTGAAGTACTGTGCGATGCAGACGGTGCGAGGAAGCCCTGTTAAGCCAGAGAAAGTGCTCGCCAGCGTATGGGACGCGGATGAGGACGAGTTCGATCGTTGGCCTGTGCAAGACCAGTTTGTAGCCCGCCTACTCAGAGTAAGTCTAGTACTGATAGATTCTAGGCAGACCCCAACAGAAAGAGGTAACAGCAATGAATACGCCAAACAGCTGGAGATGTCCACTGTCAACAGGTACCTATCAGTTTACGGCTCTTTCCACCGCCAAGCTACTACCACGCAACGCGGATCTTCGTTGGGAGTTTATGGATCTAGCGGTGATTGGCACGAAGAAGAATCGACCGAAGGTGAGACCACTAGGAACACGGATGACTACGACCTGAGCTTTTAACATCTGCATGTCGAAGACCCCGAAGCCTACGAGGCCCAAGCTACCATTATGGAACTACAAGATCCTGAATCGGGCCACGTGATCGGAGGAGACAAGAATGACGAGCTCATGTCACAGTTCTTTTCTGGGAGGTATCGGAGTCTACCGCCCACCACTCCGGCTCGACACATGCACGTGGTGGAAGCCCAAGACTTCATTGAGACTGAAGATCGTGTTGTCCTTTCCGTTCGCCCTCGTCTCTGTGATGGAGTTGCGACCGTTCTCTTTAAGACCTCTCCGAACTGCCTCGATGCATTCCTAAATCCTCAAGTGAAAGTCTTCGAATGGCGGCGCGATGTGACTCGCCCGAGAAACCACTGTCTGTCGGGAGTAATTCGGAGAGTTGGAAATGAGGTTCTCGTAAGTTTATCCCAGAAGAGCACCCAAGTTCCACTAAAGCCTAATATCAAGATTGGCGCATTTCGAAACCTTGGATTTCAGTGCAGGTGGGCGTACTATGTGAAGTCCACAATCGACTTCTCTGGGAAGTGGTCGGAAATCTACGCGAATGTGGGTACTGGAACGACTAAGAGGACGAGCACAGGCCCAGCTTTGGATGAATTCGAGCCTAGCAATCCCCCTCCCGATGGTGTGAGTCCGACTGATCCACTGTACACACTGTTTGCCGGAAGAGATTTATCTAGGTACATGTTGAACTATGAATTCTGGGACTTCATCGAGTGTAAAGGAATGGTGGTCGAGTGGGAGGTGGACGGCATTATTAGCAAGGGGACGATGAAGCGGAGAACCAATGAAGGCAGGAACGACGAAGCTGGGAACGATGAGTAGGTGAGAGCTCCCACAGATCCGGTCTTTTCCTACATCTGTTTCCCTTCTATCTGCCAGAATCTTGTCTTGCGCCGATTAGATAGGTCTCTCTCTAGGATCTAGCGTTTCCCTATGACAGAAACATCTTTTGCGGAACGTCTGACTTTGGTCATATATGTAGTCTAATCATCAGAGTAAAACTCTCCGTATTAGAAGTCCTAGTAGTTGTTGAGATGCTATTTTCTCTGGTGTATCATTCAAACGGCTATCTCAAGGCTACCAGCAGACGCTTTCCCTTTCCAAAAATTCGTTTCTTCAGCTCTTCAACGCGCAAGCTAGGTTTGTCCTTTTCCACAACCAGAAGATTCTGTCACCGCTTTTGCCTCCCACACGCACCTATCCCACTATCTCCATTCCCACCTGCTTCATTTTATCTCTTCCGCTATGTCCTCAACATGGCCCACGTTTTGAACCCTTTTGCCGTGCGCAAACCATGGCCCCACTCATCTTCGAGGACTCCGATGTCCTCCCTTGGGACGCGCCAACCAACTGTCCACACATAATCAAAACGCACACCTTCCCCTTCTTGGTCAATACCACGGATCTGCAGATCTGCGAATCGGTTGCCACACTTATGCACAACCCGAATCACAAGTTTCCGGGAATATTGAAGGCCTTTCTGGATCCCACGGTCAGGCATCTCGATTTAGTGCGAAGGAAAGTCGGGGCGACTGGGCTTGGGGTCCAGAATCTATCTATTAGGAGGAAGGGCGAGATAGTAGCTGTAAGCCACGCCACTAACAGTGTTTGCGACACTGACACTGATTACCTTAGGCCGTCATGTATTTCCACAACGGGGATGCGAGCAAGTTCTGCGAAATAGCTTGCGCTTCGACCATCCCCGCATCCAATGGTAGTTGGACCGTCAACTGGGGCTTTAGACGTGTGCTTCCCAATGTCGGCGGTTGTCCTCAGTTCCCCATACCGGCCAGTTTGATGGTAATGCCGCGGCCAATGTAGCATCAACTTAGACAGAAGCAAATGGAGAAGCAGGGACAGGACAAGGAGAATAGAGAGGCAAGAAGTATGGAAATAGGGCTACAAGTGGCAAATTGGATGGCCCGGTTTATTCTGGTGGATGAACTGTGGGAGGAGGGTTGGGGCCCAAGAGGCCCAAAGGTTGAGTTCAGTGCGCAGCTGGGGAGGAACCCAAAGTGAGGGTTAGATGGTACTAGATGGTCTTTGATGTTCGTGCTTTCGCTATCCCGGCATTATATCATCCTCTCAAAATCGATGAGGCCTTCCAAAATCCTAAGATCCCCACGGAAACAGGTACGTGGTCAAAGAAGAATCCGAGAAGTATCTGCTAAGACATCTAACTTGGATTTGGAAGAAAGATCATTAGACTCTTAGAAAATTTTAGTCCCGGGGTAAGGTAAGTCATGCCTTCCGATTTCGAGGTAAGGGCTCTCCTATACCTACTCGGAGCAACCTAGCCTTAGATATGCTACACAAACACCGATGTCCTCAGAGAAGACATCGCCCAAAGCATACCAATGCAATTGCTCACGCATTCATTAGAGCTATATCTTACCAGAAGCCCACCTATACCCATCCAAAAATGGTCTCTTTTTTCTACACTACCAATAGCAAAGCACGCCGCTATCGCCTTACTCCCGTAGACAGGCGTCATGGAGCCTCCCAGCCGTCCTGCTGAACGCCGGTCTATCTATCTAAACAACGTGTCGGCAAGGCTGTTTGCTTACGCGCCGGTCGGCCTCTCCCACCATCTTGACACATGGAACGATGCCATCTTTACATCTGACCAGCTCTAAGTTTGCGACGTCGTAGCAACCGTTCTCTTCAAACACGATCCTAATGCATGGAAAATGTTCTGCGACCTCCGTAAGGGCCTTTTCGTCTATATAAACTATTGTGTGAAACAGATTGACGGACGCCGTATCGGGTTTTTTATTAGGCGGAAAGGCGAAGAAGTTAATGTGAGAGTCAAAGAAGCTATCTAAAACCGGAAAATAAGAGGTATTGGGGCTCCTAGCAGTTGTTAAAATTCGTTGTGTGGAACTAGGTCAGTAAATACACTGAAAGCAATGGGATATGGCTCCTCCAATGGTATATGGAGACCGTTATATGCGACGCGGAGGCTAGGATCCCCTGCGAATGGAAGACGGCATACGTGAGTCCCCAATATAAATCGGTTGCAGGCGAGCCTGACAAGTATGTCAGAGTTCCGAAAATTGCAGAAGGGTTGGATGGAGAGAAGATTAAACAGGCGACGAAGAGCACTGCAGATGACTTCATATTGGGTAAAGCTGGGCTACTGCAGTGTGGCTGGAGGATCTTCTGGAACGCGCCGTATTTGAGCCCTGACGAAGAACGGAGGTGTGTAATAGGGTCACGTATGTTTCACAGGGCTTTGAGACTGGCGCCGTTGTTAACGGGGACGACTACTTCGAACGCGGAGCAATTGAGAGCAGACCCACCACACTATCCAATCCAGCCCTCAAGGGCTATCCGATCAACTCATGCAGGAGCTCCTCCTCTTCGAGGCGAATTTATTCATGAAGAAGGCGGTGGAAAAATATTGATCACAGACATGAAGACGGGTAAACTCTTTTCTTACGACTCATCTAAGGCCACACTAGCGGCAGCTCCATCAGAGGCAGCCCCACCAGGAACAAATCCTGCGAATAAACATTTGTTCGAGATGATCGAGAGGACCGAGGATGCTGACACTTCATCTTGGGGCCTGATACCGAGGAAACACCTACGAAACGCGGGGCGTCGGTTTCAAAGGACTGGAGGAGTAGTATACGGTTCCAAGTTGATATGAGAAGCGATGGGGAGACGGGTCCGACGACTCTATGGGGCATATTGGCATCTGCATTGTAGGTTTCTCTACTACATTAGCGAGCCGGAAGGTATCGAGGATGGCTTCGAGCAGCCTCCTATGTAATGGCAAAGCTTGCAACTGATTGTTGCAGAGAGAGACCAAGGATGTGTGGTGTGGAGGGTTCAGAAGAAGTCTGATTCCCAAGCGTTGTTTGTACTGGTGAATTTAGAAGTTCTTTCTCTCCTTCCGTTCCCGATGAGGAACGTAAGAACCTAGGAATTATTCTTCTCAGCATTTCAGAGAATCAAGCACCGAGAGCACAGGCTTTCATTCAAAAGTTTCGTTCAGTAGGCCGATCATGCGGGATATATTCTTACAGTCGTGCCTGAACTATGTATGAGTGCTTTGGGTATCTTGATGCCAGCCGTAAAGAAACAATGAACATCCCAATCCTCTCAACCCTCCTTTTCACCTTTCGGAAGAATACCTCCCAGACTGTCTAGGAAACGGTCTGCTTGACTTTTGGCCTTCTTCTGCTGCACAGCTTTCCTCTTCTCGGCAATTAGCTTAGCGCGTTCCTCTTTCTGCTTCTTCCTCACCTCCCTCGCCTTCTCCGTTTCTTGCCTCTCTTTCTCTAAGTTGGACATCTGTTGCTGTCTCTCTTCTTCATCTGTTGAGAAAGCGAAGAATCCGGTACCCTTCAACCTAATCTCCTTTCTGCCGTCAAAGTGCTCCGGAGGCGGCGGTGTGGGCTCTTTATCGCGCTTAGCGGCAAGTTCAGCCATCTGCTGCATGATCGTTTCATCAGGGTTAAAAGCTTCCTTCTGGATCATATCGCCGTAAATAACATTTTCAGGAGGTTTCGGCCTCGCAGAAAACCGATATTGTTCATCGGTAGCCAGTCTCTTGTTCCTCTCTTCCCTCGCCGCCTCCGCTCTCGTGCCTGTCCGGTTCCTGCCAAACTCGTCTATGTATTCCACTAGCGACTCCTCCGACGCGTTCGACTCCTCATCTGTATCGGAATCCTTCTCGCCCCGCTCCTGTCTTTCTGCCCACTTCTGATCGAAATCAACACCGTATTTCTCGTCCTCGTCGTCGATATCGCCGCGTTTCAGCGCATCATAAAGTCGCGCTTTCTCCTCCATCTTCCGCTTTGTGCGCCGCCATGTTGCTTCGTCGTCGGCTTTCTCGTCGGTGGTTCGACCGCGATGTTTCTGTTGCGTGAAACCTGAGTCTTCAAGGTCCTTTAATGCGCGTTTCTTGACGTTCTTGTTGTGAGTAGCGAAGATGTCTTCCTTTTTAGGTCGCGCGCGACCAGACATAGGCCTGCTTGTCGATGACGAGGCGGCGATGAGACTTGAGAGCTGCGAGGAGAAGGCGAGGTTGCTGGAACTGGAGATTTCTTTGGCCTTGGTGCGGGATTTGGGACGCTCGCCATAGAGATGGGCGTCCTTTCTTGATGTCATTGTCGTGGCGTGGGCCTGGAACCAGGAACGAGTGTGGGATTTGTGTAGATCGGTGAGCGGAAAGGTACGGTGATGTTGGTCGTGAGGTGCAAGGCTGTCCTGTGCGATGTCGGGGTCGGGGGTGAAAAGGAGCTGGCAACTGGCGGGGGGGCACGGGCGGGGTCCAAAAAATCATTCACCCCACGACAGACCCGCGCAAAAGCAAGACGGTTCATCAACAGTCAAGCGTCATCACTACATCATCTGATCTTTCCCTTCATTTCACTCCTTGCAAATTGCTTAAAAGAGCACAATTCGCTTTTCATTACTCCAATTGACCTCATATTCATTCTCCATGCCTCTCCCACGACAAGTATTCATTGCAGTAATCGGTACACATGACCCTGAGCCATCGCACCACTTGATGAGACACTGACACGCTTTGTAGGTGCCGGAGGCGTCGGAAAGTGCTTTCTCTCTCAGCTTCAACACCTAGCATCCAACCTTTCCCGCTCCCCTTCCGCTCCTACATACCTCTCCCTCATTCTCCTAAGCACATCCAAGAAATCCATCTACCATGCCGACTACAAATCCCTCAACAACTGGGACACGGAGCTCCAAGCTTCAGCCACGTCTCCTCTACCACTTCCTCAACTGGTGGAATACTTGGTGAAGGCTCCAGGCAAGGTGGTGCTCGTGGACAATACGTCGAATCAGGAGATTGCAGATACATACCCTACGTTCTTGAAGAAAGGGATATCAATCGTAACGCCCAACAAGAAAGCATTCTCGTCGACCTATCAGCTCTGGACCGACATCTTTAGCGCTGCAGCGAATGGCACCGGAGGGGGCGGGTATGTGTTCCATGAGTCATCCGTTGGTGCCGGACTTCCAGTCATCTCAACGCTGAAGGAGTTAGTTGAGACAGGCGATGAAGTGCGCAAGATTGAAGGCGTGTTCAGCGGCACTATGAGCTTCCTCTTCAATTCCTTCCAGCCTGTGAATGGCGGAGGAGGAAAGTTTTCGGCGGAGGTCAAGATTGCAAAGGAGAAAGGGTTTACGGAGCCAGATCCGCGAGATGATTTGAATGGCCTGGACGTTGCGAGGAAACTTACGATTCTGGCGCGTCTAGCGGGCCTGAAGGTGGAGTCGCCAACATCTTTCCCAGTGCAATCTCTCATCCCTAAGGAGCTCGAGTCGTGCTCGTCGGGAGACGAATTCTTATCTCGGCTTCCGGAGTTTGATGGTCAGATGGATGAGCTGAAAGCAGCTGCGGAGAAAGAAGGCAAGGTCGTGAGGTTCGTCGGCAGCGTGGATGTGCCGAAGGGAGAAGTGAAGGTTGGACTGGAGAAATTTGACAAGAGCCATCCTATCGCCGCGCTCAAAGGAAGCGACAACATAATCGCGTTCTATACCAAAAGATACGGCGACAATCCTCTGATCATACAGGGCGCTGGTGCTGGCGGTGAAGTCACGGCAATGGGAGTCACAGGGGACCTCGTCAAGATCCTGAGCCTTCTCCAGTAAAGAAGTGGAACAGGATCGAATTTACCGGCCAATAGGGTGACGAGATATCGCCAGGTGTATCCATGAAGGAGGCACAGTCGCTTTCAAAGGTCTATGGATGTGTATGGATAAATAAAGATGCGCCCCCCCTCCCTTAGATCTTCTGAATCCCCGTAGACCTTGAAATACGTTGTGAGTATGGGCAGGAAGACCCTCTTATTAAACAGTTTCTCTGTAAGACTTTTGACAAACTTGTAATCCTGGTATGCTCATTGATCTTATGGGTCCCTGAAATATGATTGGTGGATCAATTCATCCATGATCGTCAGGTACACTTCCTCCCCGCGTTGAGGAAAACCTCATTTCCAACCTCCACACTCTTCATCTCCATCACCTATTCTCAATTTAGCTAGATCCAGCTAGTGGAAGGTCTCAATCCTGCCTGTCCTTGAGTCTGAGTTGACCATATCATCCGGATGGCGTATTGAGATTTCTAGGTTACCCGGAACTCGTCATGTAGTTCATATAAATATCCGAAGAAGGGCAAGTATATTATATCAAGCTGCCCTAAGCGTTCAGTTTTTCAGTCCTTTAGTGGGCTCTAATCTCACCTCAATCATGTCTTTCCTATTTTCTCTGTCCATTCTCCTTTCTAGCATAACGACATCCCTCGCGCTGACCACAAAGCAACGCCATGTGTGCCAAACCCCAACTCCCGAACCTTTAACTGGGTGTCCACCTCAAACTCTTCTTGTAGACCCTACCTCAAATTCCTCATCTAGAAAGCCCAGCAACGCAAAGATTTTTTTAACAATCCAATCAGCAATCCTCTCCCTTCCCCACGACAACTCCTCCCAACTCATCCTCATCACCACAGGAACCTACACCGAACAGCTTAACATCACACGTCCTGGCCCACTAACCCTCCTAGGACAAACCTCCTCCCCAAGCACCCTCTCTAATACCGTCCAAATCCTCTGGCACCAAGCCACCGGCACTTCCACCACAGGAACCCTTGACAACGCCTACACTAGCGTCCTCACCATCGCCCCAACCCTAAACGCTTCACTTACAGGCGCTGGTCCAACCGGAAACTCCGTCCCCGCTGATACCCCCTTTGGCAGCTCAAACTTCCGCGCCTACAATTTGAATTTCACGAATGATTATTTGCCGTACTCCGCAGGCCCATCTCTCGCGGTCTCGACGAGTTACGCAAACACGGGTTTTTATTACTGCGGGTTTCAATCTTACCAGGATACTATCTACATCGGCAAGCTTGGGAATAGCTATATGTCGCACTGCTCCATCGCGGGGCAAACAGACTTCCTGTACGGGTTCGGCACGCTCTGGATTCAAGCCTCGACGTTACTGCTGCGTGGATGTGGCGGTGGGATTACAGCGTGGAAGGGCACAAACACTACCTTCCCCAACAAATACGGCGTGTACATTCGCGACTCTGCTGTGCAGAAGGAAAATTCCAGTCTCGAAATCTCCAGTAAATGTGCATTGGGCCGGCCGTGGAATTCTCTCCACCGGTCGATATTTTCGAAGTGTTGGCTTGATGATTCGATTAGGCCAAGTGGGTATACTGCGTGGTTGGCGACGGATCCGAGGGTCACGAGTCAGACGTTGATGGCAGAGTATGAGGATGTTGGACCAGGGTGGAATGAGACGGGGAGGAGAGAGGGGGGTGTCACGAAGGTGCTGGATAGGGAGAAGTTTGAGGAGTATGGGAGTCCGGAGAAGGTGTTTCAGTTTTTTAGGAGTGGGAAGATAGGGAATGTGGGCTGGATTGATTGGGATGGATGACGGTCGTTGTTATGGAGGAGGGGAATAAAGGAGGGCGATTAAAAGGATATATTGATACATTAGTAATTTTGCCAACACCGCTGTACATTCGATTGTCTGATTTCGCATACAGATATCCTGGGGATCACAATCTCACCAGTCCTTGTCCGCGGTAAGGCCCTTCCCAAACCACTTAGAAGTTTGATTCGGAAGCAGCGAGCAGCAGAGCGGAAGGAGCGGTGTAGGACCGGCAGAAAGCGGAGCACGGAACGATTCGTGCTCGCAAAATGAGATACGAGGGTAGTGCAAGGGAACCTCATATGATAATCAAGTGACACCGGGACTAGCATGTGCAAATTTCGAGCATGTACAACCAATTCAGGAGTCACAAAGCGAGAACGGGTCGGGAGGTGGGCGAGAATTGACCGAGGTCTTGGCGTATGAAAAGCTTCCAAAATCTATTTTGAGCTACAAAGAACTGTGTGTCCATACGGTCATGTCCTAGGTTGGAGTGAAAGTTGATCGGACTGAGGTCCACACACGGCAGTCCAGGGTTGAAGAAAATGCTAGATGCCATTGGCATACCTCAGCGCCTGGAGCTGCACCGACTTGTGTCAGTGTTGCAGCCCAACGCCACGCATGCCCAAGAAATAAATCGCCAAAACATCCCGCACACAAAAGATGAGGAAAACATGGAAGAAGGTTGCCCTTGCTGTATTGCCATATTTGTGCCCAGTCTTTATTGTAAACGCCGAAGCTCATAGTGAGCCATGGTCGACCGTGGACCGTCCGTGGTAGACCTTCCAATATGCTTTGCCGAATGTATATGCTAATGTTGGGGTATCTGAGAAATAGAGAAGAGAAGATTGGCCGTAACAATGGAAATTATTGTGGTAAAACATGGATGAAATGAAGAGTGGAGATTTCACCAGCTGAAATGGGCTGGAAGGTATCGTTCCAAGGTTGGAAGGCGGGGTTGGCTCTGAAATCAGTCCGAAAAAGGGAATGAGTGGGCTTCGGAACGGCCTCCGTCGATGGTCAGGACCAGAGTTGAGATTGAACAATTGTGATGAATGATGACCTGTTCACGTACCCGCGTGAACGTTATTTGGGCAATATGTGTAGGCGAGAGGGAAGAATCGAGGCGAAGCCTGAAAAGCCCGTTATTCACTTGAACAGGCCAAGCGAGAGTCTCTTGGACCTCTTACGCATCTTCTTCATCAACCCAGCCTTATCAGATTGGGAAGAGGTGGATGATGCCTGTCTGAGGCTCTCCTGACCCTCGCTCGCGGTGTCGCTTGGGCTCGTCGCAATGATTCCGTCGACTTCATCCTCGACTTCAGGGAGGGCTGACGTCTGGACTGGAACCCTGAAGTATGCATCAACCCTCGCGTTCATTGCTCGGTTCTTCTCCTGAGCCATCATCGTGATGCTCGTGCTGCTGTCGGACCTAGCAAGGCTGCCACGGCGAGAGTCGCGTCGAGTGGCTGCTAGGGATGGGGTTCGGGAAAGGCCTCCAATAGATGGGGTTCGGTCGTTGCCCACCAGGCGGTACTCTGAGGTAGAGAGATTCCAACCAGAGCAGTAAGGACAGAAATCACACTTGATCTCCCATCCTGTAATTCCGAGCTTGGCCCCGCAGTTGGCAAGGTTGGTACTCGGGCTGCAAGAGCGGGTGAGGTGGTACCAGCGATGGCGGCAGGGCAGTAGGGAGACGTTCAGTTCGGCGACGCACATGTTGGTGGTTGGAGGTCGTTCACGTTATCTCAAGATAGTTTCGTGGAGGGGCAAACCTGCCTTCGGGCAGGATACTTGAGGCCTTTGAATACGTCGTGAAAACTGTGGTGGTAGAGCGAGCTTGAGAGGGTTCGAGCACTTCACAGGTTCGAGTGTGTTGATGACTGTGCTGGAAGATGACTGCCAGTATGCCGACGTTGCGATGTGGTGTTGTTAAGTTGATAAATAAGGACACTGAACGGTGGAGGAACTGGTTGTGGATAGATGGCGTTATCCTGGCCAGATAGGTTTTATATATGTGGCGTGCGAGTGGGTTGATAGAGGCTGTGACACACTCCAGGGTCGTCGTGCCAAGGAAACGTGCTGTGATTGGCGTTCGGCCTCCCTGGCCGTCCTACTTGGAACTGAGGAATGATAACGCGCGGGGCGTTGACGAAGGGCGTAACGGCGCGGCGAGAAAGAAAATAATAAGGCGGAAGTTGCAGAACACGGTGGGGATGCGACTGGAGATAAAGGCTTGGATAGTGGGTGTTGGCAGTTTGGGTAGCTTACCAACGCACCACGAGTGGATGACAACAGAACAAGACTGCGAACGATAAACGGGGCTGGAAGCAATAAGAATAGCAGACTAGGGCAGCAAGAGGTGTTGATGTCAGCCTTACTCGCCGGACATGCAGTAGTTGGATGCCGTGGGTAACATCCTGCTCCGGGGCACGGCAGCCTGCTTTATTTGAATGTGTCCATGGAGCTGGGCAGGCGGAGTGGCTCCCAGGCTAGTGCGGGTAGAGATTAGGAGCTTCTGTTGACGTCGTGTCCCAAGACCAAGCAGGCCGCTGGAGGTTCCAGAAGGGGCATGGACATTCACTGCAAGCGTCGTGTTGCGGCGACGGGACGAGGGCACGCGGAAACACACACTAGCGACGCCCGAAGGAAGCTGGTGAACGGCCCCTGAGCAGATCCGAGCCAGATTGCTGGGAATCAGCCAAAATGCCACGACGCAGTCCGCGCAGCGCACCTCTCACCGCACACACACCATACGCCTGCGCGCAAAGAAAACACCATGGCCACTCCGCCGCCGACAGGAGTGGGTGCGCAACGTGGGTGTCCCATTGGCCCGCAGCGGTTGCTATCAGCATCAGGGGGCCTCTACTTTTGGACGCATCCTTGTGCAAGAATCAAACATTTCCTAGCAGAGCCAAACAACAGCGCTTTGACGCTTCTCGAAGAGCAGAAAGCGACTCGGGCCGGGGTTGCTTTTCTGGCTATAAAGGAGAACATGGGGGCAACGGGGATCGTGGTCAGCGCCCGACAGTCAAGACCAGTCAAGACCAGTCAAGACCATAGTGTGGAAGCGCACCGTCTCTTAGGCATGATCTAAAAGATACTAAGACCGCCCGTCTGTCTCTCTCCGCCACCCTAGTCGCATCGGCCCTTTCTTTTGCTACGTGCATGGGGGCGCTTGAGAAGGTCTGAGGATGCAAACTTTCCCAGCAGTTTCTGCTCACAGCATTAAGAAAGGTAGACGATGGACACTGCACGTATCGCGTGTGCCGCAGGGAAAAGAATGAGATCCCCGGAGATGAGGGTGGCTGAACCCTGTTGCTCAATAACCGCCTTGGAATAGCCGGAGCAAACAATCTAGACTTGAATGAGGTCATTGCCAGTTTTACCACCTTGACCAGGGCATCCTCTTCCACTTTGAAGCCACCATCACTATTGTGTGTGCACAGTTGACATGACCAGTCTCACCCGACTCCATGACTAGAATAGCCCCTTTTTCTGAGAGCGTCCCCCAAGGGTTGCGGCCAACCAGGGACTACAAAAGAAGAAGCAATCCCGAAGAACGGCACGTATCTGACGGCGGCATAGATGTCGAAAATCGCCATGCTTGCCAGCTTTCGATTGTTCGTGCGGTTTGCTGGCGAGTGTGAGAGGTCCGCTTATCCCTCTTCGGGACCACATGCATTCGGTCCTGTAAGACATCTCCCTCAGTCACATCTCACATCGCATCATGGATGCAGCATGCACAGGCGCACACCTAATTCTGGCCTTGCGCCCAGAGTCATCAGAGGCCACAAGAAACTCATTTTGCGGTCCGAAGATCGGCTGAAGAGTTGACTTCAATCATGCCATTGCGCTCACGGACCCGCGAAAAATTTCCTTCCATATTAAGACGACGACAGCAGGAATCTCACAAGCCATCTAGCTCGGGTGACTGTCTTTCAAGTCACTGCGTCGACACAGCCTCAACGCCACCACGCACGTTTGTTTGGCGCTCTTCGGCCCTATTCGACCACCTTGCCTTCCGCCAGGAGCCAAGAGGAGGGGAGAGTCTTGTCATTCTTGGCACGAGCTCACGACTCCGCCAACAACGATCCACACCCCGCCCAACACTTTCAGCGTCACGCGCTCTCATACCGAAACAGACCGTAAAACATGCTCTCAAGACGCCCGCATTGTCAAGGGATAGCATCTAGAGCGCGTAAAAAGAGGTAGACCAAGCGACCATGAGATCTTTGAATAAGCTGCACGCCAAGAGCCTCCGGTCAGCGGAAGCATCTCAGCCTATCGTCTTCGGGATTGATAAAGATTGCCGAATCAAGCGTGACTCCTAAGAACCAACAAGACAGTGGAGGTTCCAAAGCTCCGGTTCCTACACCCTTGTTTCTTCAGCTTTGACAATCTGTGCTACCCGATTCCGGTTCCTGTGATTCCAGGACACGAAATACTGGACCTAGCAGTGCTCCACAGACCCCATTATACCCTAAGCCCGCATAGCTGCTTAAACACCAAGAGCTGGGGCTGTTCGACGATGTCCCCTAGAGCACCGGGAGCCCCTCACTCCGACATTTAGAAGGATCCAAGAATTGTGGAGCAAGCGAGCAGGAGCTCGGCACCTCTTGTCTAACTTATGTAAGTCCTATCATGTTCTGCTATCAATCGCAAAGAGATATCCTATCCTAGGATCCATTGACTCGGGGTAGCAACTACCGAAACTTGCCGAATTATTCACCCTGAAGTCAGCAAGCTTATCGTTCATCTTTGGGTAATCTTATGACGTACCTTTCGCCCCAATTTACCTTCCTCCTCAAGCGAGCGGGCAAGATGCTTTTGGTATTTTTCCTTTTTTTTTGGGCAGACCGCCTGCGCTTAGTCATGAGTACGCCCTGGAATTTTGGGAAACGTAAAGAATGCTATCATCCAGGACACCAAACTAAACCCTATCAACGCTAGAGGGGCATTCGAAAGAGAACCCGAGAACTCTCATGCACTCAAACTTTCAACTAAAGCTAGCCAAGCAGGTCCAATCATGTTAGCACATGCGTCCATCGATTCAACAGAACTAATGAAGATCGAACTCACAAATCCATGATCTCCCAACGCTCCAGGATTGATCTTAGAACCCGATCCTTGCAAGAAAAGCGCCGCTCTACCCTTGTATGAGTAGATTTCCAGTGCTTGAGAGGACTTGGCATCTTCTTGGCGTCCTCCCTTAGTCTTCTAGGTACTGTACATTCACTCCCGATGCGGGGACGGCAAGGCCGTCTTGGTCGCCGCGCTAATATGCCATTCCACCGAAGTCCTAAACACAACCACATGGAATTACGAATCCTGCGACAAGAGGAGAAGATGGGCGAGTATTCCTACTATCTTGACGGTTACACTAAAGTCTAGATCAACGCCTTCTGTTTCACTGATTCTACTTGGCACATAGAGACCCCGCAAGTTCGAATACTCCTTCTCTTCTAAAATTCCTCAGTGTTGTCATATCGCACTAATTATCTTCCAAGATGCGGGGTGTGCTTGCCATGCCTCAGCTCCTCCCTTAACATTTTAGGTCCATTAGGCTCACAGACTCAACAGGACACGCCAGCGCTGTGGTACTCTACTACAGAGTCCTTTTCATGGCTCCACTTAAGCACTTCGCGGGCTCCTAGAAACTCAAGACATGACTCCAGCTGCCAGCCACATCAATACTAGGAGACCTGAAGATCGCTTCGTGTGTGATCTTGAAGTTCTAGGCATGACCACAGCTGCCTAGGCACGCTAACACAATGCGGCCTGCACTTGGCTCTGTGTGTAACGTTACAACTTATTGTGCATCTATTTCTCTTGGATACGGAATAATTCGGATACACGATAATACCACGGCATATTGGCAGAAGGGTTGTCTGCATCCCTCGAAACTCCCAGCCTTGCGGGAGATAAAGGAGATTCACTACCAACGGACTTCTTCAGTTGACCGAGACACATCATAGCTATGGAGAAACTTCCCAAGATTGGCAGTGTCATTTTCCAGTCAAGCACGATTTTATCTACAGTGACGGAAAACGTGTGTCAGAGAAGGTCTCTGCGAAACAGACTCATTTGGGACAGCAACTGGAAAATTTCCATTGTAGGAACCATCAATGATCAAACACTGCTAGCCTATCAACTATCTTCTCGGACTTTAGGTATAAATTTTTAGTTCGTTGCGGAAGCTCCGTATATTATACGACCTAGCTGTACTTGGGTGTTTGATTTACCTAAAATTTTCAACAAGCAAACGCTTCTCAATCCAGCTCCCCTTCGCCTCCGCTGCCTCCTTGCTAACCTCCCACTGGCACCAACACACCGAAAACACGACATCCCCCCGCCAGACATGGAGTTCACATTCCAACCACTGTTCCAGATCTTACTTGAAAACTCCACCGCCTCGTCCCTATGAACATCGCAACTCCCAGTATCGATTTATATTGGAGGGAGATTTGAGATCTCTTCTTCTGAGCTGGATGAGGGGTTGATACTGATTTCGTTTGGAGTAGTGCTGAGGGAAGAGAAGGAAGGAAGGGTGGGGTGAAGATACCATTCCCAAAACTGCTCGGCGGATTTCCGATCGGATATCCCACCGTCGACGAACTGCTCCCACTCTACTCCCTTGTACTCCCTCCTTTCTCCCAACTCTACACCTCAATGCCAGTCCCGCTCCTGGTACTGCCCCACCACTCCCTACCAACCGACAAATCCTGTCGCTGTCCCCGCCTAACGGCTCCGCATTTTCGATGGTATATTGTAATGCTGCATCGCAATCGTCTAGGGCAGCCGGAAACGGATATTCGGGCACAAGATGGTATTCCACACTCACAAGGACCACATCCATCACAATGACCAAATCGAGAAAAATAGGAACTCTCAGGAAGCGGCTCCTGGAGACCAGACCCCTGCTGTGGATGTGCAAGATACAGGACCTCAACTTTCACCCTCGGTCTTCCGCAGGGCTTGTAACGGACCGTAATACGGTCCGTGCAAAGTGAACCGTAGCGGTCACGTATTCAGCACGAACGTACCGAGTTCGTGAGCCGTACTGTACGTTTAATGATCCCCTAGGTACAATACGTAGTACAGATCGCATTACCCTTTTAGGAAGTTTGTATGGCAATTCTAGGAGTAGAGGGGCTCCAGCGAGCAGTAGGCCTACTAGGAGCGTCCAGGAGTTTTCTAGGGCTCTAATTAGCCAAAAGTTTTGCGAGGGCAACGTTGCGAGGCAATCGCACGCTGTTAAAGGTGTGGGCTTAATAGCGCGGATTTAGTGCTCCTAAAGGAGCAGGGTAAGGTAATCTGCCTCTGGCTCTGCTGCTGGTGTTATGAGTAAGGTTCTCAAGCCGCTGCAACGGTGGTGGATGGCTATTTTATTGTTTAGCACCAAGTAAGAGAGCATATAGTTAACTTTGCCCTTAATTTCCTTACTATCCTAGCTCCTAGCTGCGAGTGCGAGAGGTGTTTTAGCGCAGCTAGTTGTACAGTAACTAATAATTAAGGCTATTTAACTACCTTCAGAAGAACTAGCTACGGCGCAAGGTAGTAAGCAGTAAGCTTTTACACCTCTCTGCTCTTACTACTAGAAAGAATTGGTTATCTTATAGCTAATTAGACCTTAATCCTGCTTTTTTAGAGACCTATAATATTAGCTGTTTTAACCAGAGTACAGCGTACTTTAATTATAGTATACTACTTGTATAGATCACGTGAGCTGTAACAGTTACAATACGTACACCTACCTCTCCTCCTCGTTGTCCTACAAACGTACACAAAATGTCACTCGCACAGGCCTTAAAACCGCTCAATAGTACAGTACTACGCCTCGCTGGAGGCTCTGGATCTTCCTCCCAATTCCTCGCCGAGCTTGAAAAGCAGAGGTGATAATCTCCACTCCATTCGCATTTGACATCCTGTACTCGGTATGCTCGATTTCCCGATTTCCAATTACAGTTTCCGCAAATGGAGACGCCTGCGCTCGGAGGCAGGGAGCGAGGTAAGATTGGGATCGTTGGCTGGGTTGAGGATTTAGAGGAGTTGGGATATTTATGGGACATAGAGATGGTGGGGGCGGGGGTTTCCTGGGGTATCGGTTGTCGATGTTTTTCTGACACGGCATGTATTTGAAGGTGAGAAGGAGGCGCAGAAATGAGGTGCGAGCGGAATGAGGGAGAGGCCAAACTGGGGGTGTAAATACGGAAATGGAAGTCTAGGTAATGAAATTGAAGTAGAAGAAGAACGCATAAAACTCCCTGAGAACCCACCGATATTAACTTTTATTTGTTTATCTTAGATGGTGTATGTAGTAAGTACCTGATTTATCGAAGCAACTCCGAACTGTTGGCTCAGTCTACGTCACCTTTTCCCCGTTCGGGAAAGGATTTTGCTTTCTTGCCGCTGGAACCACAATGATGTCGTTGGAAGAAGCTTAATCCTAGCGGGAGAAGTCGGATGATTAGGTAAGAGTTCGGGATCAGGGCCATTCTCCACCACGTGGAGATTGTGGTTTGCCAGCACTCGAAAATATTAATTAACCCGAAGTATAAATGTTGAACTTGCTAAGCCATGAGCAATTCCAAAACCAACTTCAAATATCCTGCAAGAAAACCTCGCCACTCCCATATATACGCCAGCCATGCAAATGCACAACTACTCCACCCCATTCGTTACTTCCGTGCCTTCGAGCTCTGGTAACTAATATCTACCTGAAATAAGCTGTCCCAGATACTCCCTTTCCTTTGCGCAGGTCTCCCTTTACTTGGACTACCACCTGGGCTCTGTGCTCTAACAAGGGCTTCTCTAGATTTACTAGGGCTGGGTGCCGCAGAGCCGATTGGCGTTGTCATTCTCAGCACACCACTTCCGGTGAGATTTGATGAATTGGGGATTGAGTTCTTCCGCGGTGATGAGTATGTCTGCGAATTTTTGCGCTGAAGCGAGGGGCGTTCCTAGAAGAGAAGTTAGCGAGACACTTGACACGACAGGGGAGCTTAGATTTACAAGAACCTAAGGTCCCCAAAGAAGGTCTTTTCGAACCTCTTCTTGCCCCTCAAGCAGTTGGTCGACCCTGCTATTTGCCCCACCACCGCTCGAACTCTCTCTCAGATGGCTCGGTCCGGGTCCAGTTGCCGGACTGGCTCCTCGTGTCGCGGCGGTTGAATTCAGCCCGGATTCTGGATTCTCAATGGAAGCGATTGCTTCGTTCGAGCCGCGCGACCCGAAAATTGGAACGCTCTTCCTGCTGGTGCCGCTGCTCCTCCGACTATCCAGACTCTTGCCCAGTTGCTTGGCTGGGTCATTGGAGGCCTTCTTCTTGGTCGGTTCCATCTTTCCCGTGCCATCCACTCGGGTGATACTCGCAACTGTCGTACGGCCTAACCCAGGGGTTCCTGGAGCACCTGGTTTCTCTTCCGCGGCATCCAACAGGTACCATCTAAGACCATCGGAAAGATCAAAAGGATTGTCATCTTCAAATGACAGAGCGCTATTCGACGCAATAGAGCGACCGTCCAATGATGCTCTGCCCACACCTCCTTCCAGAGCCTTCGACAAATCCACAACACGCTCTTCCACCTTGGAGATACGTGCCACAAGCCACTCCCTTCCGTGAAGTTTGTGGGAGTCTTGTTCGCGGAGAAAGTAATGCGGAGCTCCAACATTAAAAGCCGCCCACGGGCGTGTAGCTTGATTCCTCGTGGGCAAGAACAGAGCAAGATCACCCTCTTTGAAAGACCGGAACGCAATTTTCTCATGAGAATCAGCCTGGAATCGATGAGCCTTGTCCCGATATGCGCGCGCTTCTTTTTGCCATTTCCTAGCCGTATGCTCCATGTCTCGCAATCGTTTCGAGACGGCTTCGCTAAACGTCTCGATGTTGAAGCGGTTGAGTGTGTCGACAAGTTCGTGATACCTTTGGTCCTCCTCTTCGGACTTCGTAGATTCAGACCATTGGAGGAACGAGAGATCGGAAAAGTCTTCGAGATGGCGCTTGAGGGGTGTGGGCGAAGGTGTGATGACACTGCGGCCGAGGCCGTTAGGGTCGTTCATGATAGTGCTGCTACTCACTTTCGAGGCGCGTTGAATGACCATTGCACCTTCCTCATAAGTAATGAAGAGCCCAAGAGTTTCCAGCAGACGAATTAGGCGATCATGCTGAGCGTACAGCCGCTGGCTAAGCTCCTTTGCGCGGAGTGAGCGCTGATGGGATCGTGAGGAGTCAAACTCCTCATGCTTCGCGATTTTCTTTTGCAGATGTGTCAGCTCGATGTCGAGACTGATCGCATGCGACTTCGACTCAGCAAGCTCTATTTGCAGCCGCCCCACCTTTGCTTCTTCCTCTTCCGCCCGTTTCCTGAGAGCTTCTGAACCCGTTTCGCCTTCCGCGAATTTGCTTCGTAGGTCATGGAGATGGCTGCGCTCCTCCTCAAGCTCTTCCGCGATTGAAGCAGCCTTTGCCTTTTCGACGCCCAGTTGTTCCCGCAAAGAAGACACCTCAGCTTCCTCCTTGCTGAGTTTCGACTTAAGCTCTGTCTCTGTTTCAAGCGCTCTGGCGCGGGTCGTGTCGTTTTCGGACTGAGCCATGGCAACTGCCTGTTGGAGTTCTTGTTGATGATTGAAAGATCGCAATGCAAGATTCTCAAGTTGCGAAATGAGCGTAGAATGATCCTCGGGCACGGTATCTTCTGGAGACAATCGAATAAAGGTGACAGCAAGTGACTCGTGATATTGCCTTTCGGCCTTTTTTTGTTCATCGAGTTCAGCTTGCAAGCTGACAATATGTTTGTCGGCGTTCCTAGCCTTCTCCGCAGCGTCTTTGCGAACCTGTTCAAGCTCCCCGATGAGGCTTTGTATCTTCGATTCCACGCCGCTCCGTTCATTGTCGCGACTCCCAAGGATGCGGTCGAGTTCATCTTCGGCCTCCTCAATTTTGCTTTTGTATGCGTGGATCTCTTCTTCTAGCGATCTTCGCTCATCAGCAAACTCTTTCTGTTGGGCCTTCATATTTTCCATAATATTTTCCTTGGTCGAAACAGCTTCCTCAACTTGGCGTCTGAGCCCCGCATATTCCTCTTTTCTGGACTGGGTTTCCCTTTCCAGGGTAGCACGCGCTTCCTTTTCAGTATTAAGCTCGTGCTCAAGTCGCACTATGCGGCGTTTGTCGTCCTGTCCTTGGTTTGTTGAGAACCTCCGTGAGGAGACTGAAGATCGTCGAGATAATTCGTCCTGCAGTCGAGGAGACGGCGCTTCAATAGTAGGTGTCGACGGGTCTGCTGGGCTTTGAGGACCCATCGAAGGAAATCCACTCCCAATGGATAGCCTGGAAACATGAGATTGACGGTGAAGCAGATCTTCGAGCCTGCGAACCCGGCTCTTAGAACCCTTTAGCTCATCTTCCAACTTTGAATTCGCTTCTCTCAAAACTCGTAGCTCGTCGTCGCCACGTAACAGAAGCTGGGAACCTTTGCCAAAAGCAGGCTCATGAACGCTACCCATCTTGAAGTTCTTGGCACGCTTTATTTGCTGTTTGCTTGGTCGATCCAAATCCTTAATGGCTTGACGGAGAGACTCTGACTCGGACTCTTGTCCTTCAAGACGTTGTAGAACTTTCAAATACTCCTCTAGATCTTCTCGATTGACGGCCGGCCACAGGCTTTTGTCAGACTGCACATTCATCTCGAATCCGAGCATGCTCCCCTGAACGGCTTCAATGTTGATGACGTCTGCGATTGGCTTTAACCATTTTTTTCTTCGTCGTTCCTCCTCTTCTTGATAGCCAGCCATTTCCTCTGCAAGTGATGATGTATCCTTCTTCATCTTCTCCATCCACTCGCGTCTTCGTATTGCTTCGACAAGGAGGGTTCCGTAGATGTAAGGGAGTCTCCCAACTAGGGATATAAGCTCAAACGCAGCGACACCGTCCTGGGGAATATTGATGGATTCCAGCTCCGCACTCAGGTTCGAAATAATAGATTCGATACCTGCGATACTCCGCATGCTCTCTACAGCGTTTTTGACTGCGAAGTTCTTCTGCTCCACAGACCTTCGGACAAGATCGCTCATTTCAGTGCTATACTCCTTGATAGCCGGGAGAAAGTTGCGCGTATGCAACAAAGCCATTTTCGAGACAGAGGCAACTGATTTTGAATTCGCAGGTAGTCCCATCACGTGCTCAAAATCAGACTCCACCTTCTTTGCAACAACGTCAATTTCGTTGAATAACCGTGCTGGTTCCTCTGAATCATCCACAAGCGACCGGCTTTGACTCTGACCCACGGCGGTTAGCAGTTCATTGTAGTCTGCACCTATTTTCTCGAGTTGACTCCCCATGCTCGTCATACGCTTTCCAAATGATTCTCTTACGCGCTTGCTTACACTTGTAGCCTGTTTGACGGCTGCCGCGTCAAGGTAATCTTGAAGTGTCAGCGTCCGATTTGGAGAGTTCTTTCGACTTCCTTGTGCTGCTCGGACTTCCTTGGCTAGGAACTGGACAAACTCCACCTTTGCTGGTATTGATGATAACTGCATGAAATCTGCATCAAGCCTCCTAAGATTCTCTCCCGTCTCCTTCTCCACTCCCTCAAACCAGTCCTTCGCAGCCTGGTGCTTCTGCTCCAGGCCCCGAATATGTGAATCATGGTTTCCCACGGCGATTTGGGTTCCTTTCTCAATAGTTGCCTGCTCCCCGAAGTGGTTCGAGGCTATTCTGGACATGGACTGGGACTTTTCGAGGATATCGAAGGCCCAGTCGCGGCGAGCTTGGAATAAAGTTTGCCATGCTCGCAAATCAGTATGGCTAGAGAGGGTATCGGGGGGGTTTTGGGGGGTGTATGGTTCAGGGAGCGGTGTCAGAGTTATAGGGGACTGGGCTCCCGCGGAGAGCTCGCGGTTGTAGACGAATATCTCTTTCTGCAAAATTTACGAGGATCAGCTCAGAACATCCCAAGTGAGAAGGCAACCTTACCTCCGTCAAGAGCGCCTGCAGTTTGACATGTTTGCCTCGAGTCGTAAGAAGGATTTGGCACTCGGGTTGTATGTGGGTAATACTCGAAATCCAGTGCTTCAGGGCTTCGATTGAGTTGAAGCCGACGGGATCAGCGTCGAGCCGCTGGCCCGTATGAGCTACAGCTATCTGCAGCGACATTCGAAGGGGCCTTCAGCAGCACGGGGAGCCTGTTGCGGCGGACAGGACTTGGGGGAGGTTGAAGGCAGAAGTGTGGAGCTGATCGTGAGCACGCCGCGCCAAGCCAAAGGTGCAGGGGTACTCCACACGGGCCACCGATAGTGCATTCTCACCCAAGAGAGGAACTCGATCAGATGAACCACCTCAGTGCCCATTCACCGGCACGCGATTAATAGTGCAGATAAAACTTTCTGTTTGCCAATGGACAACGCAAACGATGCGGTCATGGTGGATGCGGCCCCGAAACCCCGAAATCCAGACGATTATTCAGATCTTCTACACACAAGCCACAGCGACGCGTTCGCGTTTTCAGAGCGGGAACAGCTCGTCCTCGAGCTTTATGATCAGCTCCGGGAGTTGGAACTGGAACAGAGCCTGCTCAAGGCGCAGAACGAAGGTATGCACCAACTGCATTTGCCATGTGATTCAGCTAAAGTACCTTTTCGAAGCACATGCTTCAGATGTCTCGGCACTGGCAGATGATGTCTTACAGGACCAGCTGATCGTGGCGGAGCGTGAGGTTATGGACGCGAAGGCAAGGTACGAGCTACGCAACAGAATCACGCATAATGTGCTAGTTATGGACCCTGTCTTGAAGGCTGTTCACGGTGGTGAGCATACTGGCTATGCCGAAAAGTAAGGTTGCCGAATTTCTATTGGACCTCTCATCTCACATTTAATAGGAGGATACTACCATTGATTTCTGAGAATGATGTGGTCTCAATGGTCCACAACACTCTTGCCTCAAAGCTCACCTCGACGACACATGCTTTGAACGCAGCTGAAAAGGAAAACATCACCGTTAACGAGAAGAACAGGGAGCTTGCACGGTCCCTTCTTGCTCTTGCAGAGGAGTTGAAGGCCCGGTCAACCGAGGATATCGAAGACCCTCGACTCCGTGAGCAGGTGACGGATGAAGAGAAGGGTCTAAAGGAATCCCGGAGACGAATGATGACTTTGAAGGGGATCGTCTCAGGTATGGTCGTTGGAAGTGGAATCGACTGGGCCGAAGACGACGCCTTGCGCGGGCTTGTCATGGATGAAGAGGATGGGTAAAAAATGAGAGACCTAATATCCAGGATTGCAGTCAGCTGGTCTGAGAAGGATTGGCTGCAGCTTTCAACCTCGCATCTGTCCTTGAAGATCTGTACGAGCATGGTGGAGCGCAGATTGAGCGCCGCGCATACTGAAGCGCCAGGTGACTGGATGTGGATCGACTCAACACAGATCTCTGAAGCCGAATTGGAGTACTTGGTTTGGTATGAATCGACAAGGGTTTCCATCACCCTAAATCAATCATGGCCTTTGAGATGGTCATAGTGCGCATAGTGGGCACGCACGAGAAAATCCTGCAGTCTCGTATGCGAGTCTCTTTCAAGATAGATGAATGGGAGGCTGGAAGCTCAGATTAAGGACGAAGCGCCTTGTTCCTTAGGAAGCTCTGCGTGACATGAGGAAAGTATATAGTGGTGAAGGTAAAGTTTTCCCATCCCCGCCCGCTATGAAGGTAAAAACCCCTGTCGCTGACAGTCTCTCCTCATACAGGATAAGTAATCGCGTTAAAATGTTGATAAAGTGAATGTCTGGAACTCCACCAGCCAAGTGAAGCTTGGTTTCTCGCCGGCGTGCGGGTCTCTTAGGATGCTAGGTGCTAGCGAAGTCGAGGCTGATAGGAGCTCAGAACAGAATGTGGGATAGATCTGCCGCTTACAACTGGAAAGCTGTTAGGTCACACTGCTTCGAACACACATGTCTGCATGCTGTGTCCCGCCAAATGACCATGCCTAGGGGGGGTGTACGCCTCAGATAACCTGTATGCCTAGGTGCACAACGAAAAGCCGCATCGGCTGCGTGCTCCTCAATTCCGCAGTAGTTCTCCTGGTGTGTAAAAGGCACCCGGAATATGCTGGGTCATGTGTTGGTGAAAGGGAGGATTGAAGTTAGATGCTCGTTGCGTTAGGCAAGCGGCACGGAAGCACTCGCTCTGTGGCAAGCAAATAATTGGGTCGAGTAGTTCATAGGGAATCAAAGTGCAGCGGTACGCTTCCTGTGTCGGTTCAGTCGCTGCTCCAACATACTGTGTGGAACAGTACTCACAGGAGTCGTCAAAGTGCCCGGTTCCGGCGGCGAATTAGTGCAACAAACGTGTAACTGTACAGCGAGGCAAGTCGCATGCATAATTTCGATTCGTTTGTATTCGCATGGTACCGTTGTGGGAGCATCGTGGATTTAGTGGTGTGGAAGAGAGATCGCGAGGCTTGACGGTTTCTGAATCATCCAGGGATGTTAGTCATCAAGTTTCCAAAGTTCGCAAGTGAATACACCTAGGCTCGACAGTTGGGCCGACTGACAAAAGCTTTGCCTTTGAAAAGGCGAGAGCATCATGCTTACGCGTAAGGCGTCCTTGGGCGCATTTGCGCTTCGGCCATCCAGATGCGTTGGGTTGAAACGCGAGAGCTTTGTTCTCCGTTGCCACAACCGACAACGTCCTGCTTCTTAGGTGGACGACATGCGAGCGGGAGAACACCTCACATCTTTTACCACCATTTTCCTGCTGCAAAGACCATATCAAATATGCTTGAGCATCGGCACATATCCAAGTTCCCGACAAGATTTCAAAATCAGAACCATTTGGCATTGTTGACCTCCAGGGCATCAGTCTAAATATTTAGACCCTACCGTATATGGCCTAGTCTCATGGCCAGAATACCGTCCCCCTTTCGCAGCCCATCGCCCAGAGTGACGTTTGCGGCGGCTCCCCTAAATGAGCCATTATCAGCGAAACGCGATGCCCCCTCAATGGGCGTCGATGCTCCAGGCGGCGCTTCCACCATGTGATGCACGCTGCGTCCTACGGGCTTCGGTGCATCTGCCGAGGAGTTTCTCGATCATTCGAGAGTGAATATGTGCGCAGCTGCACGCTGGCGGAAACGGTCCCGTCGCACGCGCAGGCGGAGCTTGGGGCCATGCGCGGATGGTGTCGACGTCTTGCTTTCAGCCAGCCGCCCCGGTACAGGAGATAACACGTCCCAGCGATAATTTCACTGGGGGGCGAATGGCGAGGCCAGGCCATCTGCCTGCAATATAAACGGGCCACATGAAACCAGTCGCCAGGAATGCGTGTCGCTGGAAGGGTATCAGCATAGCATCGTCCCAGCGCCGCTTTCTCTCAGGCCTTGCGCCCAAACGTAGAACGCGAAAACAAGAGCAGTAGATACAAAGGCCAACATTTCCGACAACGACAGGTCTGATTTCTGAGCGCAGACGGACGGCGGTCTGCATCGACCACAGCACTGTCGCCAAATGTTCTGGCGGCCCCGCCGGGCGGTGGATGAATGCGACGTTCTTCCCTTTGTTAGCGGGGGCACGTGACCGCTGCTGCTGTTTTGGTGTGGCCCGCAAGCCGTGCGAATAACTTGGAAGCTGCGCCCGGCTGCCTTCCCCTCCAGCGCAACCCTCACTCTCCTCACCAAGCTCCCTCAACCGCCTGTGTCCGACTCCTCTCTACACTCCAAAACAACTTCGGTATGCCTCGCTTGATTTCTTTGTACCAGCCTTTGCACTCAGCACCACCCAACCCACCCACGCCTTTTTTTTCACGCGTTTTTGCCCCGATTCACGCGACATGACGTTCGCAGACTCTGTTTTCCTCATCTTCACATCGCTCTAGCGTCTTGATTTCTTGTTCTTCGCCGTCGCAACCGCTCCTTACCAAGCGCACGCTGACCATATTAGGGATCCTCATCGCAGGCTCAACTTTTTCTCAATACAACCGTCATCTGTGAGTACTTGCCCATTCCCATCTGTCAGAAGTTTGCATGTCCGCGACTCACTTTGGTGTTTTGCGACCGACTCAACTCGGCGCGGAAAGTGAAGGTGCTGCAGTGCATGTCACCCAGCACTCCACGCAACCACCAAAGCCCCACGCACCTAGTCCTTTTGTCATGAACAGAACCACTAAATCGCTTATGCGCCTAATCATCTGTTTTCGACCTTTGAGCATTTTCCCGTCATCTTTTATCGCGCATCAACTACATACGTCAACGTACTAACAGTCTCCAGACAGCTTAACTAGCTACCACCAGCATGCCTAAGGAGAAGACTACCCGTGGCAAGGGCAAGACTGCGAAGACTGATTCTGGCAAGAAGAAAAAGGGTGAGTATCGGCTGCCTGTCACTTCCATAGTTTCATCACCTGACGTCTTTAGACCCTAACGCACCCAAGCGTGGTCTTTCTGCCTACATGTTCTTCGCCAATGAGCAGCGTGAGAAGGTCCGTGAGGACAATCCTGGCATCAAGTTTGGTAAGTTGTTATGCACACCTACCGCACACCATGGGTATCTAACTATCGCACAGGTGAAGTCGGCAAGATGCTCGGCGAGAAGTGGAAGGGTCTCTCTGACAAGCAGCGTGCCCCGTATGACGCTAAGGCTGCTGCCGACAAGAAACGATACGAAGAGGAGAAGGCCACATATGCTGCCGTAAGTGAGGATGAATAAGTGCTCTAATCAGTCACTGATCGTCGGTAGGGCGGTGATGACGAGGAGGAGTCCGAGTAATCGGACAGCTACATCCTCTCATCCTGTCATTTATCGTCTTCTCTGGCCGTGCGAATCTCAGTTCTGGGCTTCGTTCGCACTGAGCCTACTTCAATCCGGTTCGGCGGTCGTGGTGCAATGGGGCTTAGGATATGGGACCAGTCTCCTTTGTTTTCTGGCTTTTCTCAAATTTCTCTACATGAAGGGTATCACGAGGCTATCGATCTGTGATGATGTTCCTAAAGTCTGCAGAGATTCAATGCGGGCACAGGGCTATCTCATTGATGATGTTTGGCGTCACTACTATAGACGCGAAAACATCAAGAAGCTCATGACCAATGTATACTAGTTCACTGCGGTATGAATCTCTGCGCTGCAACACCTCGTCCCATTGATTGTGCTGCTCAACCTGTTGCTTGCTAGTGACGACAACATAAACATGTTGTCCAGGAGTCTTCCGAGGAAGCCTTTATCGACACGTCTCCGGTAGAATCCGTCACTATGCACAGCTGCATAGTCTCTTGCAAGACTAAGTTGGTTAGCGTAGCACCCTTCCTGCCGTCGTAATCGATATCCCAGCCCGAAGGTATGGGATCATCATGAGAACTTGCGTTCTCGCCTCTCCCCTTCATCTACGTCTCCCACACTCTCTGGTTGCTCTCCGACCGCTTCTTCCGTCTCATCCACCCATCAGTTCACTCCTCAGGCCACTTCATCCTCCCGACCCAGGTACCTCACCGCTGCGGCTACCCGTGTCACCACCACGCAGCCTCCCGGCCTCATCTCCGAGACCCATGTCTATATGCCTATCTACTCTTTCGGTAAGCCGAGAAGGAATCTCCTCTCTAAAGTCGGGAGGCTGGCAGGGGATATATATATATATATTGAATTCTATAAGACGTTTCTCAAGCATCAGTAGTCCAGTGGTTAGGATGCTGCCCTCCCAGCCTCAAATGAGCTGAAAGGCAGAGGTCGCGAGTTCGAATCTTGCCTGATGCATGATGTGTGACGCCTGATTCTTTTTGTAGCATTCAAGAAGCGGCGTTCGATGCTCTTCCTTTATACTCTAATATTGGAAGAGTTAACTGATTGAAGATCGGCGTTGGTGAGATATGAAGGTAGCTTTGGGGGATCATATGTGGTTTCGGGCACCTTAGAATTTTGTGGATAAAGAAGAGTGGTAGGGGATTATGAGAGGCCTTTCACCAAGATTGCTTTTTTAGTATTGCTGGTGGTCTTTGAAGTGTACGTTCTGTTTCGTAGGATCTCCCAAGCACGTGCAATATATAGACAGAACGACGATCCCATAATTTAACGGGATATCTCTTTTGTTATGCATCGTCATATGTAGTAAGCCCGCTGCGTCCAGAACTAGAACGCTGTGCCGTATACGTTTTCCACGCCAAACGCGACCCATCCCAGTTGATAACACAAACACAGGCTCAAAACTCGCTTTTATGCCAAAACACGAGTTTTAGACTGTTGTGTGGATGAATCTCATGTTTTCGCTGACTTCTATCATCACAGCTAGAAATCGCTCAAGCCCTCGAGACTCGCCAAACTATTCCCGCTGTAGCACGACCATCAAGCCCATAATACCCAGCATCGCCTGTTTCAGCCAGGGATATTCACTCAATAGAATTGTTACATATCCCACAAATGGAATGTACCCTACCACGCTGCCAATGACGTCTTCCTGGCGGTTGAGGAACAATTGGCCGGTAGCATATAGCTCGGTATCGTCTGCGGCGTTGTTATCGCCCTTTGTGAGAAGTCGGAGGGGAGATTTGCTACTGCACAGTTAGCATCGTTCCTTATATGAGACCTCCGCATGCTTAAATCTATCCGACAAATGCGACAAATGCAAGACTACAGAAACTCTTAACTTGCCCTCCGCCAAACCGCCTGACCACCCGATGCACAATTGGAATGTTTTTGCCCTTCACATTGTACACCACCACCTCCCCAATTTGTGTATCCATCCCTCGATTCCATAAGAACAGTAGATCTCCCCTCTGGAACGCAGGCTCCATGGATCCAGAAAGCACGACAACAATTGGTGACGGCGAATCGCTGACGACAGAAAGACCTTTCCATAGCATGAAAGCGGTGGAGAGGACAAGCGCGAAGTTGAGGAGTTGGGTGGCTAGTTGCCGCGGTTGCATATTTGCGAGGCCGAGCATCGTGAGAGAGTGGTGGAGGTCGGAGGTATTGGTGGAGAAGGTGAGGAAGGCTGATCAAGGGAATACCAGGGAGTGCGGAGTTGGAATTACTCCTCTCTAGTAGCTATTAAGCTCGTCGGTGAGGATTAAAGCGAGCGTGGGGTTGTGGTGTTTGCCTTATGTGGTTGGGGGGAGCTTGATGCCAGGTGTGCTTGAACATGAAAGTTCGTGCTGACTAAGATGATATTCAACGTAGTTAACCTTCAACATGCTGCAAAGCTCACCAACACATCACCTCAATAGGAACTATGCTCTGAAACATGCTGAAGATTTTGGGTAGTCAATATCCGCGAAGCTTGCGGGCTAGAACTCACCGCCCTCTCACTTCCCCAAGTTTCTGTCTCCTGGCTTGGCGTCTCTTCCTGTCCTCTCTTTCAATCTTCAACTTCTATCTATACTCATGAAGAGGCTCTCACCCTTTGTCGCCATCCCTGTGCCTGATATCCTTCATTGAATCAATCGACAGCGACTGTTAACCGTTCCATCATCCTAGGTCGATCTCTACACAATCTGCAGAAGCGCAGTTCTACTGTTACCGACGTCTACGACAACTTGGTGGCCAATTTCTATCTTTCCAACCAGATATATCCAATGCCAACGACCCCTCGTTTAAGATCTTTTCATGTTCCTTAGTTTAACTCTCACTTAGGTTTAGTGCATTAACATCTGGCCATCTGAACCATAGCTCTAACCTATAACCCGAAATACCTCCTTGGCTTTTGATCAGCGACTGTCCTAAGCCCATAGTCGTCAGATTCTGACCAAGAAAGCCTCCACGTCCTCGGACTGTCCACTGCAGCGACTCAGAAAGGCTTCCTATTGTGTATGGTCCGTCCTCCAACCGCTACCTATCCCAGCATCAAAACCAACTAAGATCAACTCACCTTAACTATTACGACCATCTATTGCCTTAAAACTACCCGTACTGCTATCTCCCCGAACTAGACAAGTTCAAATGGATAGTATAACACCCGGATCATACGTGGTTTACGCTCCCCCGACGTCGAACGCATCGTCATCCTGGAATAGGCCAGGTTGGCCCGCATATGTATTTCACGATGACAGCACCCTTCCAATTTCAGTCCGAGCAACTCGACCGCGGACCTACAACGTGCTACCGGTGTTATTGATTGGAAAAACCCATTGGTATGTTGACGCGGGCCAGGCTGTATCGAAACATATATAATACAAGCTAACGCTTCCAGTCGATGGGCAGAACGAAGCCATTTTCAACCATTTGACCTCTATCCGGGTACCACCGTCAAATATCGGGCTGGACTTTCCGAAGCATACGATCTCGTGCATGATGCTATCCGGGATGATCTGGCAATGCCACATTGGAAAGCCGTACTGAATGCCCGATATGGAGGAGCTGATCGAGATGTTGGCGAGGAGGATTCAAGATCGGGGCAGGAGCTCACACCAGATGCTGAGCCAGATTTCGAACCAGATTCAAAGCTAAAGCGTGTAATAGACGCGAGCTTAGAAGATTTGCATGGTCGAAAGAGACCTAGCTCGGATGAGGTTTTGATCTGTCCGTCACGCCCCACGAAAAGAACTCGAGCAGGTACTCTAGACCAGATGCCCTTGCCATTCCGAAGCGGTAGAAAATGGGATTCTACAGTCAAAGTTTCAAATTCAATGCAACTTTGTTCATCTAACGAACAACTACCACAGTACCAAAAAGACACCAGCTCTCCAAACTTCTATACTAGTCATTATCAGGAGCTATGGGCGAAGGGGAAGGGAAAGTCTCACAGGCGTCAGGATTCCGAGTATCAACGCTCACCACTGCCCGTTTCGGGTGCACTGCTATCTATCGACCAAGGACAAAATGCTTGGGGGAAGAACGATAGAGCAACTCCGACACCACTACCGCTAAGCGCGAAGGCCAGTAATGCGAATGGTGGGCCTGATGCAGATCTGTGAGTAATTTCCTTGCGCTTTAAGCAAAGCTAATACTCGACCACTTAGTCTAGAGAACCCAGATTTTGTCACTTTCCTCGTCGGGCCCCACAGAATGTCCTTCGTTGTTCCTTTCAAAGCGATTAAAAACCGTGCCTATTTCGTCGGACCACACTTGAACTTTGTGATACAGAAAGGCAACGGATACTACTTCGACCGGCCTATCCTTTCCCGTATTCATCCTGAAGATTTCCACATGGTTGCGGATTTTCTCCTCACTGATGATTTCGGCCGTCGAGTCATCGAGAATGAGGACCAAAGGCGCGAATTGATCGATGAGTGCCTTTCAGCTTGGGCAGTCGCGGAAGAGCTAGGCATGTTAGATTTGATGGAGCATATCGCTAACAAACTGAGGAGATCTTTGCCATGGCCTTTAGAAGAGGCTCTGTCAGTCGCGGGTCTCGTCCACAAAAGAAAGGATTCATTCGATCCTATCCAAAACCGTCTGAAAGATTTGCTCGCAGGGTACATCGCTGATAACTTCTGGGAGTATATTGGAAACCACTTGACGAGTTTAGTGCAAAAGTTCAAACAATGCCCAGAGCTGGAGCAGAGAGTACTTGAGCACAGGGTTGAGAAGTTGGAAATAAAGCATAGCCATCTTCGTGCCCTTTGCGATTGACGAGACAGCTTCCTCTATGAAATATTCCTGTTCTGCAACCATCTAAGGACATCCAAGAATATTCATGGTCACAGGTTTTCGAACATTTAGAAGGGATACTTCAAATGGAATTCAATCGGACTCAGAGCTTATCTCTCGGAGCGTGCCATTCTTGGCGAGTGTAGGGTCTGTGTTGCGTCTGACACTGGGAAAATCCGCAGTGAAGAGTATCCCCAAGAATGACCCAACTAGAAGTCCATTTCTGCTCTCAAACCTGACTACCTACCTATTCAGCCTGAGTAATGATTACACAACATTTTGATGTAGCGCTACAAGCCAACGTCTAAATTAAGAAGCCCAAGTTTGGTACTCCGACGCTCGTTAGAGCCGCTCTATTTCACAGGGGACTAAGATTCTCCTTGTACCAAGGAAGGCCTAGCTCTAGTCCCACAACCCGATCAATTCGCAAATTGGACTCAATTTTTAAACGCCTTTTATCGATAGAATGGATCATGGAAAGCATGGTGGTGTCTTAAGGGCACCCGGCGTGAGTTGTTTAAGGACTTACCGCAAAAAAAATACGCAGCTGAAGTTTCAAATATATCTGAATGTACTTATCGCGTTGGCTTCAGGGATATTCTGCCACGTCGGAAGAGAACAAATCCTAGGGATACAGTGGTTAAAGATGATCTAGATAGCTGATTATCTTGGGTAGGAAATATTAGGTTGAGTAGATAAGAGATTTATATGCTTGGCTAGTTAGACTTGGGCCCTTTGGCGACGATAGAACGCAAGATATTAAAGATCATTTCTCTATTGAAGATAGATAAGTCGCTATAGAAAAAATAGTCGGAGCTCTTGTAAAAGTTTCCAGGCATATATCTATAGCGCTCCTCAAAGCAGCAAAATTGATTAGCGGAGATTTGTCTTGCTACGGCTTCTAGAAATAGGGAACTACTTTATCGACAATTTCATGCATTAGCGTAACACAAAAATCATTTCGTAAACCTTGATCGCACGAGATTCAAGTGCTCGATATAATAATGCTTGTGGTGCCTCCCTCGCATCATCTGAAGACAGTGTTCTCAGAGCACCCGGCATACTGCTTAACGGTGTGTTGTATTTACCAAGCAAAGGCAAAAATAGGATACCTTCTAGTTACGCTCGGCCAAGAAGAACAACAAGGGAAGAGGCGAATCTCGAGAATTCGCAAGGAAGCTAGATTTTGGCTTGGTGTTTGAAGGTATACAGTTGATTGTAGACAGTGGGAGGAAACCGAACGGAATGACAGTCTTTTCAGCACATGCAAGCAGAACTACGGAGATATTCAGTCCATTAGACATCCTGCGCTTACAAACTCTCCTGCATGCCCGCCCCACGTTCTCTACTGGCTGGCTGTGTTGCTTCGCTATCGTTCTAACTTACGATCCTTACCATAGTTAGTTTTAACAGCAGGTGAGATGAATCCTCGCCAGTATTATTCAATTGCTGAATAGGCAGAAGCCGAAGGCGCCGAGTTAGAGTCTCAGAGACCTTGTTAACTGCTGAACTCTTCATCAAGCCTCAATGGATAACTTGAGTCTCATCGCCATTGAGCGGCACCTTAGATTATGGACTGTGCAAGGGGAACCAAATTGTGATTTAGTACATAGAAATCCAAGGTTTCAAAATATTGGCGACGTTTAAACTTTTATCATCCTCGTGGTCAAAGCAAAGGACAGCATAATGACAAGCGAATGGATGGGCCTGGCCTTCTTCTGTCCATGCCAAGGATATGAGACCTCGGATGTTTTAGATTTGTCACATGACGTAACTCTTGGCGTCTTTGCATGATATATCTTGGCACCTGCGTTACAAGGACGACTTCCCACACCCTACAGTCTTTTCTCCTTCTACATATGTTGTAAAACGCCCTAACATCCAGACACAGAGCACATTTATTGGTGGTGCATTACTGTGAACGGCGAGAGACACCCCCGAACTGAACTCTGCGAAGATCTCCCGCCACGTGGATGATTACAGGCCATTCAACAAGCTACCTCCCTAACTATCCTTCGACTTTCCGACACGATGGGTAATACTGGGAGACATCGCTGCGAGAAGTGCTATTAGAGGCCACGAATGGTTTCAGAAAACATTTTCATTGGTGCCACGACGAACTGTCGAGCTCGACCTTGAATCCACGAAAGGAGCAGTTGAAGAGCCGGACCATCCCAAGCTGTTAGCATATCTCTCCTCACTCAAGGAGTATTCAACAAGCTCTACAGTGGTGAATCTAGCAACGAAATCCTCATTATGCAACGGAGGAATGGATTAGCCTTAGGACACAACTTCCGGTTCTAAAAATAATCGCCCACCAGCTTTGTCGGGAGAAGAGTTAAATTGGATTTGAGTATATCCTCATGACTGGGATTCCTGGCACACCCTTGGCGGAAGTATGGAGATCCATGAGCTATGCAGCGAAAGAGCAGTTCGTGCACCAGTTGGCAGTGTATTCCTTTTCCCTGTTCATGAATAAGTTACGCGGAATTTGGAATCTCTATCGGGATGCAATCCCAAGATCTTCATGCAGTGGTGTCGTGCTGCCTGTGGGTCCAGTCGATGATGAAGCTCCTCCTACCATGATGATAGATCTGATATAAATATGATCAAGGTAGCGGCCTCTAGCGGCATATTGATGTTCCAAGCCATTCGAAAGTGGAAAAGAGCAGTCTCATGAATGCGAAGACTGAAGCCTAAGTGTATTGAGGTTTTTGAATCAAGCCAGATGCAAAGGGACTTCGAACTCGCATCCGGAACTGTGGCAATGCCTTTTTTTTCTTTGCAAGGCTAATGAATGAGTGGATTGATACCATTTTCGGCAAGAAATGGAATGGAAACGTGCGCAGCTTGCGTGACGGAATTGACCAATCTTATAACACATCTGTAGTTGAATATAAAAGTAACCGCACCTACGGTCCTTATTGTACTCTGGAAGCCTTCTAAATTAAATTAGGAATAATCCTTCCTTTTCGGAGCATACTCTTCTTTGGCGGGTCACGGCCTGACCAATAAGGTGTCTACGCGGGTTCGAGGAACAGCAGTCGTTAATCGATAGCGATGTCCACTACCATACGCGGAGGAATCGTCTCCATTCTCACGAATTCTTCACTTCTACATCCCACCGCACATGTGTGGAAACAGAGCCACAACGCTACATCGAGGAGTTGTGATACTTTTGGCATGCACAATTCGTGTTCGGAAACAGTTGGCGAGAATCAAGCTGAGTCCAGCCATTCGTATCGCGTCGCCCTCAGCTCAACGCCACCAATGGACGAGCCTAAGTCGCCCAGGCGGCAATCGAACGAGGCTCAAGCTTGGAGAGGTGGGCTGCAGTTCCTTTTAAATCGGCGCTGGACCCTTGGCTTTGGGAACCTTGGCCTTGCGTTTTTCAGCTCCGATCAACTTCTGCGGTCGACCTTTGGTAAGAAGCTGGTCGGTTCACGGTTGCTGGTTGAGACGCTCCCGATTATATTATCTTCGGATCAAAATGTCGTCCTATGGATTCGCCAAATGGGTTGAGGGTGTTCGATTCTTTGCTCGTCCCAGAGCAGTCAATTCAACATGCTCCGTAAGCTGTAACCCCACAATTGACGATACTGGACGTTTTGGGATTAATAGTTCCTCAAGGGAACCGATGAGCAAGACACATTCTCCTCATGTCGAGCAGTAGCAGCAGGGAATTGCGAGGTTCCTGTTGACGCTACTTTTTCCGGGGATGCATGCGTTTGTGCTACCCTAGGAAACTACAACAACAAGTTCTCTGCCTGCGTTCACGACACACCGTACTCGGCTTGCATTGATCCCAGTAAGCCACACCATTACGTTTTATAACAATGCTGACAAGAGCTGTAAAGATAATGATCAAATCATGGCTAGCTGGTCCTCTGGCCACTGCAAGGCTATTGCTACGACAACTTCAAACCCTACCCCGACGATCAAATCAACCTCCAAGGATACGCCAACATCATTTTCAACCCCTTCAGTGACCCTCTCAGCAAAGTCAGAGCAAACCTCAACACCTGATCCATCAACTCCACAGTCCACGTCAAACTCGTCAGAACCATCAAGTACGTCCGCTCCCCAGACTTCCTCTCAGGAACCAAGCTCAACTCCCCTTTCCACTACAGAACCGACTTCAGAGAAACCTTCTTCTCTGGAGCTGACCTCGGAGAAACCCTCGTCCAAAACCCCTCAAATTGCTCCCTCGTCTGTCCCACAGCCTAGTTTGGTGCCGGTAACAGTAGTAACTCGAGTACCTGCTCAAACTACCGGACCCGCTGCTTCAAGTTCTTCTACTCACGCTCTGGTTCCGAAATGGACGGGATCTGGAAACCTTCTTCAAGGATACTGTGCTACGCCTGAATTCTCGCTTCTCGATGGGCCTACTGCATACTGGGCTCCGATTATTGGTTGTGTTGGCGACAAGCCTGACTGCTGTCCCTTCGATGTCCCTCCTTCAACGATCCCAGGTGCAACAGCTCCTATAACCATCGTGGTCACGATACCGGCATCACAGGCCTCCAACGTGCCTACAGGTGGGACTGGAGGCTTCCCAAATCCAGTACAACCTGCTCAAGCTACCCTCGATCGTTGTCCCGATGATTATCACTCCATCGGTGGTGGCTGCTGTCCTTCGTATGCCTACATCCCAAATCTCTTACCCCAACCCTACTGATTACTATAGAAACTACTTCCCCTGGAGCACCGCTTTTGGCGGCCAAACACCCTGTTACTCCACCCTCCCCATCGCCATAACGCCCCCACCTATCCCAGAATCTGTAACTGGCACCGACACGCCCACCGCATCTCCCAAACCCACCTCCGCAATCGTTAATGTCGTCTACGCAATGCAATACCCAGTCAAGCCCTCCAAAGTCGGTCTTACATCCAACGCTAAAATCGGAATCGGTGCCGGCGCTGGCGGTGCCGCGCTCATCTTCGGTGTCCTCCTCTGGCTACTGATTTGGAAACACCGAGCCCATAAGAAAGACAAAGCCGCGCTAGAAAGCTTGACAGGATTAGGTCCGGGCCTCAGCTCCACAAGACAAAGCGTTACGATTAGTAACGTCGGAACCAATAGCACAGGCGTAGAAGGATGGAGAAAGAATGTCGTGGGCCCAGCTCCTGGAACACAGAGTAGATTTACGGAAGGCTTGGAACCTACGTTGCCGAACATGGGGCCTACGAGTACATATCCGGCAGACTGGCGACCAGGACAGCGAACGGTATCGCCACCCATGCCAGCGGCTTATACTAGGGATTCCAGAACGCAGATACAGCGGGATACGCGGTATCCGAGTCCGCCGATTGGAATTCCCGAGGGGTATAGCGAGGTTCAGGGGCAGCCGGTTCTGGACCGTCGATACTCGAATGCTAGTGCGCCGGTCAGTGATAGTGGGTATACATCAGGAGCGGGGAATATCAGTGAGATGCAAGGTGGAGGATACGTGCAAAGGCAAGAGTTGCAGGGTGTGCCGGAGGGACAAACTTGGGGTCATGGAGCGTATCAAGAGACAGCGCAGATGCATGCTCAGCCGCAGGGACAGCCGTGGGGTCCGCCCCCCGGGGCGGGGGCGCAGACGAGATATTACGAGGCGCCTGCTGGGAGGATGTAGGCTATGGTGAGGGAGTTAATATGGAATATTGTAACGTTTATGTGTATGAACATCCATGTGTGCGCAGATTTTTAAATCTTCGAAAAATACTGTACATAATGAGGGATGAATAAATAGCACGGAGGATTACCCACGGTCATTTAAAAGGTAAACAGGATGAAGAGGAGCATAGCCACGGTCGCTTCAAGGAGTAGAGATAATAAATAGAGAACCATTTCTACCCATGTTCGGAGACACTGATTTGCCATGAAGACAAAATCAAACGAGTTTTGATGACGTTTTTTTTGCAAGCTTACCATAGCACCATTATTTAAGCAAATAATCCGTCTTCACTGTCCCCACTCTTCAGCCACGAGGCCATCTTCAAGCTTCCTTCTCACTACGTACATAAACCCTTCATCTCCCCTCGCAGTGAATGAAAGCTTCTTTCCACTTCTCCTAGCTGCTGGGGGGAGTGATAGGGCTCCCCTTCGAGGCACCTACGCGAAGGGTCTTTCCTCTCGCTCTTCTCATTTATAACACTCGAAACATCACGGAAGTAGAGTTGTAAGGCCTCTGAGGTTGAAGCAAAGAGATACAAGTGCCAATTCGGAAAGGCGACGAAAATCTCCAAAAGGAAAGGAGGTAGGCAATTATTCACGCAGTGGAAGCGTTGCCATTCTTAGTCTTGAGCAGGTCGTTTAACTTTTGTCGTCTTTCCAAACTGGACAGCATCTGAGACCAGAGAAACCATGCGGCAAAAGTGCCTGCTAACAAGACCATGGCAACGACGATGTAAATCCATATCGCGGGGTGAGTCTCTTCTCCTGTTATCTGATGAACGTTCATGCCGAAAATGCTCTTTCTCGAGATTAGCTTTGCCGTAAAATGTGTGTTGAAGTGGCATTCACTTACCGCTGCCAGTGTTAAGGGAAGATAGACAAATGTCAGAACCGTGATACGCCGAATGCTGGCCGCGAAAGCATTTGCCGCCTTGCTTTCCTCAATCGCAGCTCGTGTGTCTTGCACAGTAGCAATATTGAAGATTAAGCTGATGAGTGTCTTCGTTTCATCGGATAGTTGGTTACATCGTGATGTGTAATCTTCCAGAATCTTGATTTGTTTTCTTAGAAAAAGTTCGCATGGCCCATTCACGGATAGATCTGGATTGAATAAAGGGTGCCCAATCATGTAGTAAGTAAGATCCATAGCGGCTACTAGTCGCCGGCGCACCTGCACCCAGAGTGGAGACAGTCGATGTAGTTCGCGTGTGTATTGGAGTTGCTCGGTTGAAGTAAGGGCTTCATCCATACATTTCATCCCCTACATGTCTTAGCCAAGCGTACCATGTGTTAAGCCAAAGGAAACAACTCACCAAGGCTTCTAAATGCATTTCAGCCTCGGCGAGAAATGTATACCAATTGAATGTGACTATGTACATCACGATCGATGAGATTCGTGCTAATTGACTGGATCCCTCAGCGCTGCCAATAATTATCTCTTCATGTCTCGTCATCAGTACTTTCAGACCATCCGCTATCGCGACGTCCAGGGGGTCTAGATCAAGCAGTCCAGAACAATTGTTTTCCTCTGTACTCTTAAGGATTAGTGTAATCCGAGTCACACGCCATGTGTGTGTCATAAGATCTCCATCCATGTTACGAAAGCGGGCTTCTGGAGACCCAGCAAGTCGTTTAGCCTCAGAAGGAGTTTGGGACAGACTATATCTATCCATAACTTGGAGCGAGAAGAAGAAGGCTAGGTCGTGTTAGACTGGGATTAAACTACTCGCTGTACGTACCTGGGTCAGCCAGAGTTCCAGTATTGAGCATTCCATAGCTAAAATTAAAGAAGTATGGCGAAATCTTTAGGTAAAACCCTAAGGCTTGGATTGCTTCGCCGCAGAGCTGGGTTGCAATACTATACCTGTGTTAACGAAATCTATGTCAATGGGAGAAAGAACCTACAAGAAGCATTCTTTAGGTTGCTGGCCTTAATGATTAGGCAGTTCTCGATTTAAAAAGGCCTAACTCACATCCTCGTTCAAGAATATTACCAGCTCTGCCACGGTCCCTACAGACTTATAGAACGAAAACCTGCGAGGCAAACGGGCTCCTTTTGCAACAGCTGGCTGGCTGTAATGGTAAGTGTCTATATGGCAGACAGACCCAGTGCGTTCCTTCAAGATTCTTTCCAAAACACCAAAGGTCTTACCGTGAGCAATTTGATTCCAAGGCCAATTTCTATGACAGAACTGGAGCGGAAGGGCTGGTTGGGTCGTAGGATCGGGAGCAGAGGATGGAGGCTGCATCCACCACGCGCTCCTTAATGCCATTCTGATTACCGTCTAGAATTCTCCCTCTCGTAAGTTATGATGCTGTGATAGGCAAAGTTGAGGTTAGTGTTTCGTGAGAGGAGAAAACCCCACTTGCTGCCTAGCGTGCATGGTTGGGCGAGCTGACATCGTTTGCGACAGAAATAACATTTCCTGCATGTACACAAGCCACTCGGATGTACCAAAGATGCCAGCTTGGACTGGAGAAAGACACTGGAGAAATACAGAAGAAGGATAGTAAGGTTCAATTAACGACTTTTGACTGGATCTCGAGAGACAGAGTTTGGGAGTCGTCCCACAAACCATTGCTTGATCTGGTCGCATACAAAATGAGAACAATTGCTCTTCGTCCCGAAACTTAAAGAGAACCTTAGATGAGGCTGTGCGATCGCACGGAGATATTTCACATGAATTGATCTGATTCTTTACGCAGTAGGTTGAAACCTGGAAGTGCACTAGTCTCCACAGAACTACCTCGGCATGTCCCGAACAGGTAGTCAAAGCAGCTTACATCTCCTCACAAACGGTTGTGCACAAGCTCGTGTATTCATGGGAACAACAAGTGGGTGACTGTGTTTATCATGCGGCCCTTATATTTTGTTGGACAAATGCGTCATATCTGTGGCTTGAGTCTCAAGAGACAAAGTCATCGGTTCTTGCGGACATAAAAGGCCCGATGGAGCTGAGTAACCTAGACATCTACATCACTGCCCAGCTGCCTGGCCTCCTCCGCCTCACAAGCCCCGCCACCAGTATATCTGTCCTCTTGGGGATTTTCCCTCATACATAAATTCTCACCTAGAAGTTGCTTGAGACAAACAATCGCCGTTATGTTCAGCTTCATCGCCGACGGTCTAACGTAGGTGTTTTGCCCCGCAGTGAAGTCCAATAGCAAGGTTCAAGCTATAGAAGGCTGTAGCATGCCTCATTGCCACCTCTCTAGCTCCCAATCGCTTCAAAAAACTACCAAACCTTCGCTACCTGAGCTAACAACCCTTTCAGTGTTACAACCACCGTCCTCTTCCCCGCCTTCGCCTCTTACAAAGCCCTCCACACCTCCGACCCCGCGGTCCTCGCACCATGGCTCATATACTTCATCGTACTATCTCTCTTTCACCTCGTCGAGAACACATTCGACTTCGTTCTAACCTGGGTTCCCTTCTACGCCTGGTTCCGGTTCTTCATCCACCTATACCTCATCCTACCGGGCTCCCAGGGCGCAACATTCCTCTACACAGAATACATCGATCCATTCTTATACCACCACGAGCGCGAAATTGACGACTTCATCACCGATGCACATGACCGCGCGCGAAGCGCTGGACTGGCATATCTGCAGCAGGGAATTGAGTGGGTGAAGGTCAACGCTCTTGGGTTTGCTCCCCGACAGCCTAGCCCGCCACCAAGTCGAGGTGCTAGCTATGCGCAGACATTCATGTCGCGATTTAACATGCCGTCCGCCAGACCTGACACCGACTTGTACAGCTTGGTCACACAGGCGCTGAGTGGAGCTAGTGCTCTATATGCCGGAAACCGGGAGGCGCAGGCCGAGGAGCTGAATCGCAGTTCAACCCTCATTCCAGACAGCATCCGAAACAACGACGATAGGTTGAAACATGTCGCGGCACAAAGGGAACGACTGGCTGCTCTCATGTCAGCTTTCGACCGCGAGCACGCCAATATTAAATCGCAGAGGGAGGGCGGAAGTAGATATTATGAGGGAGGTGGGTTGTCTAAGAGCAGGAGCGAGGCCGAGTTTGACAGGATTGAGAGGGACGAGGCAAGTAATCCTCCATATCCTACCACGCCCCCAGCGTTCGACCGAAGGACTAGTCAAGGTGGATGGATGCCTTGGAACTGGCGAGCTGGACAGAGGCCCGAAGAGGAGGACCCGCTTGCTTACGGAAGAGATAATGCGAGTCAGGGACGGTCTACTGGATTTGATCTTGGCGATCGCTGAGAGTTTGTGCCGGAAACCAACCCTGTAGAGTTTTATGATTGCGGAGTTTGGGTTCGGCTTCGGAATATTATTATAGGTGGTAGACAAAACACCTCTAGCCTCGCCGACTTGGCGAGTGACAGGCAGTATTATTCTCGCCGCAAGATGAATGGAATTGCGGCACTCATGAGATGTACATTGAGGGATGATATAATACAGTCTATGCATCAGCATAGATAGACGGCGGCTTCTGAACATGATGCCGAAAGATGCATTCTACTCGCGGGTTGGCCTTTGCGTAATTGTTCCTATGAGCCGTCGTCACATACATAATTTGTAGTCCAAAAAGTCTTCGTGGCCATCTACATCTTCGATTCCTTGAATGGGTATCTCACGGTATCGTCTTTCCTCAACACCACCTTCCGCTTCTTCTTGGTGGTGACATGTTCGACCCATACCTCCTTAGTTAGATCCTTCGTGAACTTTCTAATGAACCTAGGATCCCACAACTCGGACGCTATGCCAAGATCTTTGCAACATCGCATCAAGGCGTTGGACTTGCAGCCTTCGGTGGCTGTGGGGATGCCGTCGGGGTCGAAATATTGCTGCTCGCCACGGGCGATGGAAACAAGTCTGCAAACATCAATTAGTCCTAGCCGGTAAGAAGTGCCAGAGAAGCCAGAACGTACCTGCCCTGGACCACAAGCCCATACTCCCTCGTAATCAGCTTCCCCGTCACAATACTCTCTCCTCTCGGCGCCAATCCCCAACCTCCGGGCCCAAACACCCTGTTCAATATCCTCCTATACTTGATCTCAGGCAGATACAACAGCCCATCAGGCTTCACCTCGACATCGTCTTGCTCAATGGGGGCTAGTAGTATATCTTGTTGCTCTTTTGTAAACGCGCCGCCACCCAATCCATGGTACGACCGTGTCCAGTCAATAGCAGGAACGCCTACCAGCTCCGGCGGCTCATCACCTAGTCCATTGGTAAGCGATCGCTGTGCTTGTGCTTGCTTGGCAGCTGCTTCAACAGAAGTGCTTCGAGCGGTAGGCGGCGGAGGCTCTGCGGCGGCGCCAAACGTGGGAACGACTGTTCTTTGAGTGGAGGAAGTGGAGGGTGCTGCCCGGTAGGTCGTGGCAGGTTTGGACGCTGTGCTGGTTGTAGACGTGGCTTTTGGGGCAGTGGCCGTGGACGTGGCAGAGCGGACGTTGCCTGTCGCGAATGCGGACGAAATGGGTGAAAAGATGAAGCTGCGGGATTGAGATATCCTGTATGAAATTGGGGCTGCTCTAGAGGAGTGAATTGAGACGATCAAAGACAAGCCCCGCCGTGAAGGAGCAGTAGCCATTGCTATAAAGAATGCTACTCGAGAGTGTGGATGGCGGCGTTCAGGAAAATGACGGGACGCGAGGTCACGATGCTTTCTAACAAGCGCCACATTGCGGTCGACCAATCATAGCGGGGTTCAGCGCTATTACACCGAAGGATTATCTCGACTTCATCTTCGCAACCTCAAGTCTGGGGGCTTCGACTCCCCGGACAAAACAGACAGCTTGCAGGCACCGGGCTGGAGTGTCCGAGTAGACCCTCTTTGTTCGCGTTTGGTATCACTTGTTTGTTTCACACTGACCCATACGCGGACGAAAATCGGTTTGCCGAGTTCACCAAATGCACATTAATCAACGAGACCTTAGCTTTGGACAAATCATGAGGCTATCCTTGCGTATGAACCCTTGGAACCCTTGGGTTTTGTCCCATATCCGCCACCCAAAGAATGGGGAGATAATGTCCGACCCTCCGCACTTGATGAGCGAGGCCTGCGTACCACCATGGTGATGTTAACGAATTGTCTTTGGATCTAGGATGCAACCCCAAGGGTGCAAGCTCCGTTTCCTTCGCTGCCGTACTCCCATTTGAATCCGACCTTGTTATTTGGATCCGGGCCATGAGACTGGCCGCAAGTACCCAGTTAGCCACTAGCTTTCGTCCAACGTCTGAGGAAAGATTAAGGCGGCATTGTTTCCGCTAACACCCTGACATCTCCTGTGTATTTAAGTAGCAGCACTTCTCCGCCTTTCCGCTACATCTCCTTTTCCAGACCCACCACATGACGGCCACTATGTCGACAACAGTCGAAGTGCCTCCAGGCCTTTTCAGTGTGTTGCAACGCGCATCAATCTCCGGAGTTATCACATCCGTTCTCGTTATCGTCAGTTCTGCACTAAGCCCATCCTGCGGTCTACAATCTCACGTCTAATTCTAGGTAGTTATTCGTCTCATTGCCAGGGCATTCTACAGGGCCTACTTCCACCCCCTATGTCAATTTCCAGGACCCAAGATTAACGCTGCTACCCGGATTCCGTATCTCATCGCGGCGTTCAAAGGCAATCTGGTTCCGTTTGCGGGCAATCTTCATCGACAATATGGCGACATAGTTCGCATTGCACCTGACGAGTTAAGCATCATCGACCCCCAGGCCTGGAAAGACGTCCATGGACATGGAAGCAAAGGTTCTGCCGGCTCCATGCCCAGGAAGCATTGGCATCGCTACGGCAAACCAGTTAACCATGTGCGGAACCTAATCACGTGCAAAGATGATGATAAACACATGCGAATGCGTCGTATTTTCCTACCCGCGTTTTCGGATAGGGCACTTAGGCAACAGGAGCCACTTTTTATGAAATATGTTAACATTCTTGTCAAGAAGCTGTACGGTGGCATTGAAGAGGATCCAAATCGAAAATGGGATATGGTCCGGATGTACAACTTCACTACCTTCGATATCATGGGCGATATTACTTTTGGAGAACCGTTACACATGCTCGAGGGAGGAGAGTATGACCCTTGGGTCAGCATGATCTTTGCATCAGTCAAATTCGGGTCACGTATCGGGATAATCAACTGGTACCCTCTCCTGTACAAAATTTTCAAAGCCCTAGTTCCAGAGTCTTTCGCAAAGAAACGATACGAACATTTCCAGCATTCTGTGCAACGAGTGACCAAGCGACTGGAGAAGGGGAGAGACTCGGAGGGAGTGGATTTGTGGGATCTGGTGCTCAAACAACCAGAGGGTCAAGGCCTTTCTCGAGGAGAAATGGACTCGAATTCATCACTTTTCATGGTAGCTGGAACAGAGACTACAGCAACTCTAGTGTCTGGGTTGACATACCTCCTCCTGAAAAATACTGCGGCCATGAAGAAGCTAAACGAGGAGATACGTAGCACCTTTGCAAACGCAGAAGACATGCATATGGACTCTATCGCCGCACTCCCCTATCTCAACGCTTGTATCAAGGAGGCCCTGCGACTCTACCCGCCAGTCCCTGTTGGTCTACCACGGCTGACACCTCCTGAAGGCTCTACAGTTTGTGGAGTATTTATTCCCCCTGGGGTGAGTCTCTGCCGTGGCTGATGGTGTGGGATTACAGCTGACACATCCTGTCTAGACTACCATCACTGTGCCTCATAAAGTAATGTACACTTCAGAGAAGAACTTCAAGGACCCCCAGTCGTTTATTCCTGAGCGTTGGACGGGTGAGGATGCCCGCTTTGCCAACGACAATCAATTCGCACTGCAACCCTTCTCCTACGGCCCACGAGATTGCTTGGGGAAGAAGTAAGTCGACCTAATCTAAAAGGCCTACCTATAGCGCTGACAGCTTGAATAGTATGGCTTACCATGAAATGCGCTTGATTGTGGCGAAGGTCTTCTACAACTTTGACCTCGAGCTTTGCCCGGAGAGTGAGGGCTGGACGGAACAACATACGTATACGCTTTGGGAGAAGCACCCCCTGGTTCTGAAATTGAAACCTGCAAATAGCGAGGGAATGGGCTCGAAGGAATGATTATTAGTGTGTTTCACCGTTTCGGGAAATTGTAGTAGGTGAGGCCTATGTGGGGTTTTGGTACAATTCAGGTCCAACTTGTGATCGATTTGAGGAGACTTTGACTTTTCACTGTGTTTTAAGTATACATAAATAGTGCCTTTACAATTAGTAATGAGACCAATGAAGGGACCGTATATACGCACATTGAAATCCTAAGTGGAAATATACAGTAGAAGATGGAAAATCGACACAACCATGACCCAGCATCATGCATCCTTCATACCAGTCCTCTTGTCATTCCCGTGTGCCTTCCAACACCGTCGGAAAATCTCCATCTATAAAAGAGAGCATTAGCAATGGGAATTTGCGCGTGCAACAATTTGTTGAGCGTCATCGGCATCTCCTCGGTTACCGAACCCAAGAGGAACTTTAACTTACTTCTTTCTTGCATACTCTCCAGTCCTTCTTCTCGTAGTAACAGTCTGTCAGTTTCGCATTTTCCTCTGTTTAACATTAGCATCACAACTTGTCCAAGTGATTTAGTGTGTTCTACGCACCTGAACAGCCTGTGCTGAAGATTCTCTTGTCCCTGCAATTCCGGCATCAGCTCTTTCCTTCCCTCATCGAGAATTCTATCAATTGCGCTCACCAGTCATCGGGGTCATCATCATCTTCGGCATTCTGCACTGTTGCAGCCTTCTTCTCGTCATTCGACATCTCGACCGAGGCTTTCTTCGTGTCGTTGGTCGGTTGAAGTCGCCCTGTCAAGAGATTGATGCTAGTCGGGTGAGCTTCGGGAAAATTCGGCTCCGAGCACAACCTCACTTCCACATGGCGAGCAAGAAAATAAACGTTTTGGTGTATTCTGGTAATATATGCCTTTTATGCACCCTAATTCTCCTATGCTGAAGGCGACCAAGGGAACGGAAGTACCACAGAATCAGTCCGCCATTGTCTCTACACACTACGTCGTCTGCTCTCACCAACCTACGCTGTAGTCCCCGTCACAGGTGACGTCATCATCAAAGAACCGTGGTCCGCAACCTGCGCGCTTCTTGTCTTTCCTGGCGGGGCGGATTTAGGATATTGCCGGACTCTTGATGGTGAAGGGAACCGTCGTATCAGTCAGTATGTCAACCGAGGAGGAAGTTATTTAGGGTTCTGTGCTGGAGGGTACTATGGCTGTTCACGATGCGAATTCGAGGTTGATGACAAGAAGATGGCTGTAGTAGGTGAACGGGAACTTGGGTTTTATCCTGGAACCTGCAGGGGATTAGCTTTTGCAGGGTTTGTGTATCATTCCGAGGCTGGTGCACGAGCGGCGGACTTGAAGATCAATAAGGCAGTGTTGCCGGGCGCACCAGACTCTATGCCCGAGACCTTCAAGAGTTATTACAATGGCGGTGGCGTGTTTGTCGATGCGAAGAAGCTTGAAGGTCGAGGGGTTCAAACACTAGCCTGCTACACCGAAACTCTACACGTTGATTCGGGAGAAGGTGCTGCTGCAGTTGTATACAGGAAAGTTGGCGAAGGGCATGTCGTGCTCACCGGACCGCACCCAGAGTAATTTCTCTGCTCCCCTGTCTATACCGGTGCTAACTAGTCGATAGATTCGCACCCACTAATCTAATCAAGGCGCCAAAAATGCCGTCCTACTCTGAAGCAATCGATCTCGTGGCTAGCACAGATACAACCCGTATCAACTTCATGCGTCTAATGCTTCGCAAACTAGGCTTGAAAGTCAATGAAGAGGAACAAGCGGTACCTCCCCTCTCCCGCCTACATCTCTCGGCTCATACGGCAGCAGACGTTTCGGACCTCGTTGCCTCGTGGGGAGAGATCTTTACTGTAGTCGATGGAGAAGAGTATATCAAAGGAGAGAACGACTGCTTCCACCTCGAGAAAGAAAATTCTCCGTGGGGGGTATCGGGATTAAAGAGAGCTGTTGAAGTTGTGGAAAATGTGCTGCCTACTACTGTTACTGGAAAAGAAATCGGCAAGGAGAAGGACGAGGAAGATGATAAGACGAAGCAGATACGGGAGCGAATAAAATATACATCGACATCATCCGCCGATCAAATACTGGATTACGACAAAATCGTCAAGAAAATAACACCGCACGAAATATCCCACCCTTCAACTCGCGAAACACCCTCCTTCCACCATGACGCATACTATGCTAACCTTACCCACTATCACTCCAAGCTCCGTACCGAAGAACCCGAATTCGGCAAATTCCTTCTCTATGGTGAAGTCGTCACATCAACCAACACTCTCCTCGAGAAGAACCCAACGCTCCTCCGCAACCTGCCCTCTGGCTTTGCCATCACCGCAACAACGCAAGTCTCCGGCAGGGGAAGGGGAAGCAATGTTTGGGTTGCACCACCCGGCGCACTCATGTTCTCCGTCGTCATGCACCACCCCTTTCAACTCACGCAATCCGCACCCGTAATATTCATCCAATACCTCGCTGCGCTCGCCATCGTCCGAGGCATAAATTCCTATGCACCAGGTTATGACCAACTGCCCATAAAACTAAAATGGCCAAACGACATCTACGCCCAACACCCTGGCGGCAAAAAAGATGGAGTCGTCAAAATCGGCGGTATCCTCGTAAATTCTAGTTACTCGGGGTCCTCTTACTCCCTCGTCTGTGGCATCGGACTCAATCTCTCTAATCCGCTTCCCACTACCTCCCTCAATCAACTCGCTTCTCAACACTCACTTAAGCCACTCACCTCTGAGAAACTCCTTGCCTCTATCCTTGCTAACTTTGAAGATATATACCGGGCATTCCGCTCGCAGGGGTTTAGCAGGGATATGGAAGGGGAGTATTACGATAGTTGGTTGCATACAGATCAGATTGTGACGCTGGAGACCCACAATGGGGCGAGGGCGAGGATAAAGGGAATTACGAGGGATTGGGGGTTATTGTTGGCAGAAGAATTGGGGTGGGAGGATCGTCCGACGGGGAGGGTAATACAATTGCAGAGTGATAGTAATAGTTTTGATTTCTTTAAGGGGTTGGTAAGGCGGAAAGTTTGAAGAACGACTTGGATGCGTTGACTGTAAGATTAGCGTAGAGAGAGCGTGGATATCATGGGGGTCGTGACGGCATATCGAATAGCTATTTACGAAATCTAAGAAGCCGCTAGAAAGTGTCAGATATAAGTGTCAGATATTTTCCACAGCACCTCCTGGATGGACTAGAGCTAACCTGTCCGCCAACTGTGAGTCCATGATCGCATGCGATCTTTTTTGTAGGTTCTCCACTCTGCGAGAAATAGTTCGCTGACTAAGATATCAAGTACCTTCCTTGTTGTCCAGTATCGGGCGCTCCAGTCCCTCCTTCGTATCCGGGAGCTATTGTGCCTTCCACTCCATCTCTAATAAGTCTACATGAGAGACGAAGGCATATTACCAGCATTTCCATCACCTCACAAGCATTAATTAGATATTTTAGGAGACATTATAACTCCTGCATGCACCACAGCAAAAGAAGTGGGCTGCGTACATCTACATCGCCAAAAGACTAAGACCCCCCCCCCCCCATCCCAACTCCCCGAACTAGCAAGGTCCTAACATGCAGAATTCCATCCTAAAATCCTAGCATCTAAAACTAAATATAGTGAGCCAATAATCATAGCCACCCAGCCCACTACCTCACCCGTTCCAACAGAAATACTGTCAATATATTTCAGCAGGGACTCAGAGCCATACCGGCACAGCTTAATATCACCAGAAGGGAGATCACAGGCTGGTAGGCTGACAACGAGACCCCGCGTCAGCTCAAGAAGTACAAAGTCCGTTGTATCAGGATAGTGGTTGTTGGCTGGAGTTGTACAGTGTTGGTGCAAAAGCCGGAACAAAGCAGGACCAATAAAAATAACCATAATAAAAAAGCTAGACCGGAAAAACGGATTAGAAAGATGCAGGGGCCTGGTGAATTACAAAGAAATTGGAAACCAGAGAGAGGAGAGAGAGACTGTGAGCCAGAAGGACGTAGAGCAAGATGCTCACAAGAACATCTTGTACGGACTGGCATAGAACCCCGTCGGCATCCGTTCCTCTCTTACCAGCTGCTTGAGGGCGACGGGGCCTTGTCCCGGGGCCTTGGTGCGCTCTAGGTACGCATACCACTCGTCGTGCGATTCCTTGGAGAGGAGGTAGGCGGTAGCAACGTGGCTGTCAGGATCGTGAAGATTGTTGCATTCACGGCAAGGGTTGTGAGCTTGTAGACTTGTTAAATCCAGCCGTAAAGGCACCAGTGGGTCTCGATGAAGTCGATGAAGCTGCTGCTAGGCACGAGGTCGTCGTAGGGTTCGCGGTCGAAGAAGAGGTCGAGTAGGTGTCCGGTGACGTGGTATTAGAAGAAATCATTGGTATATGAGAGTAGTAGGACGGAGAGGCCGACGGGACGAGAACCGCGAAACAGCGTCTCGTTGCCCCCGAACACCATCGTGAGGAGGGTTAGGAGCTGCTAGAGAGTGAGCCACATCTTGTTGTTCGGTGGCGGCGGTGAATACGAGTGTGGGTGTGGGGTTGATGGAGCCTGGTAGCCGCCTGATGGCAAAATATTGGCGATGGAAGCCATTCTTTTTCTGAAAATCTGAAATGATGGCGGCGAATATTGTGGACTGTCCTGCACAGACCAACCACATGGTGGTGAAATGATGGAAAATTTTAACATTTCCAAGACAACCTACGCCCCAAACCCTGCGAAACCAGATAGATAAGGACTTTCCTGTATCTGCATACTTGACTATAGCAAGCATCTCGTGATTCATTCTGCATCCTCATCTATCGACCTGGTTGCTTTCACTGACCTGGGCGGTATGATTGCTCTGGTCACCAGCGCTTCTTAAGGTCGCGTACAGGGAGTTTGTGACCTCTTCTTCATACACAGAACGAGACTGATGCGGGCTCAAAGGTGAGTCTACAGAGGTGAAGACATCCGAAAGAGCTTCGCGCAAATGTATGACCACTTCAGGGAGTAGTAGCTCATTCAGCTTAATCGATAACAGTGGGAGGAATCTGGACCGGCCGTCTGGAAGCTTTGCCAGTAAGGACATTGTCTGTGTAAGGTAATCGATAGGGCCAAGTTCAAATTGAGGTGTCAAGGACGACACAAAAGGTAAGACATCAGTGAGGGCACAAGCGATGTCAAACACTTTCTCAGTCTACGATCGTCAGATATGCATTGGGAAAGAAGGTCAAAGCTTACCATCCCAACCCCATGGATTTGAAGGCTCCTCGTAGGTAGCTTCATTGCTAGGATGGTGAGGTCCTTCGCAACGGAAATAGGGTATTTAAACGTTAAGCATTCATATGCTGACTCGCTCGATAGGAAACCAAAGCGTGGAAAGAGCTCCCAAAGTTTGATCCGCAGCCACAATTGGGATACACGAAGATTAGCTATCTGGTCGTTGGAAAGATCGAGAGAAACAGGCAGAGCGGTCCGAACATCTCTTTCCAAGCCGAGAAGCCATTCCTTGTTACACTCATGTCGCGAGCCATTCCATACAACAAAAAAAGCGTCATCGAAATAATAGAATAGGCTTGCAAGGCACCGTAGCCCGTATTCAGCGGGAGTAGTGAGAGGAGGTGTCTCGGAAGTGGGTTGTAAAGTGATGGGCCGGCTTCGACGAATGCCGTGGGCACTTTGGCTGTTCAGCACTCTGACCCTAGTGGAACGTATGGTATGCTCACCGCTCAGAGATCAAGAGAATCCAGAACAGCTTTTCGCGAATACTTGAGGTATAAGGACTCACCATATCTCCCTCTTTACACATGAGAAAGAGTGTTGTGGCCTCTCGAAGGTAGTACCATCCCTGGCGATAGTTGCCCGTTCCCGCGAGTGCGCCATATAGAAAGAACGAAATAAATACAGATTGGCAAGACGGGGAAATAATCCTTGAACGGTCTTGGGCCTTGAGAGCAGAAACTACAAAAAGCTTTGCAAATTCCTGCTGGGAATAACTAGTAAGGTTGAGGTCCAAGCCATCAAACACATTATCAAAGGTCGCAACATAGGCACAGAAAGAAGTAATAAAAAGACGGCTCAGCACAGAGCGAGGTGCTTGATGCGCCTCGTTTTCAAGAATCTCCTGGTTCAGGAACGGCACAGTGTGTTGAATCCGCTGGAGGTATGCTGTGATGAAGACGTTAACCGGGACGATTCCCAAAGTGCCATCATCAGCATAGCCATATGACTGGAGATTTCCATCTTCTTCATGTTTCGATTGAGCCGGGGACTCCAGTTCGCGAACGCTACGAAGCTCATTGAGCACAGTAGCTCTCGTTCCTCGATTACCGCCCCTGATCTGTTTGGATGTATAAGCACACGATAGTGTAGAGTCGACACATCGTTGACAGGGCTGCTGGCGATTGCATTTGATCTTCCGTTTACGGCATGCATCGCAGGCTGGCGAAAGGTGCGATATAAAATTACTCATCCTGCATTGAGGCGACTGAGGGGTTGACGTTGAAGAGCGAGTTGAGGTCTGTGCTCAGGCAAACGATGCTTCTTTCACGTGACAACTTCGTCCTTGCCCAGGGAACAGTTAAAAAAGAAGTATTTCATATATATACACGTCTCGCCAAGAGTCCCTTGAAACGCGATTTGAAAGGGAGGGCTAATAATTATGTTCAAATTCAAGACCGTTACGATCACACCTGAGCACTTCATTCATCAAGCGTACCCTAGGCAGTCGCATTGCACGATCTACGGTTTTGGCAAATGACTCTTAAAAGGCAACTTTGCTAAAAATGTGAACCACCCTGCATGATTAAAGTTCACTCGATATACTCAGCCGTCTCCTTCTCCACTTCCTTTCCAACGTCACCACGCCCATATGGATCAACATTCATTCCCTTAAACTTCCTCGCCGACACTTTCTGCTCAAACAAAAGATCCAACTCTCCATAAGTTCTCCCTTTCGGTTCCGGAAGCCTGAAATATACCCATACTACGACACAACCGCATGTACCAGCCCAGAAGAAGGCAGTTTTAGCTCCCCAGTTCCAGGCTGCTGCCCCGAGTTGGTAGTTCTGGTTCGGTCAGCGAAGCTCTTAGAGTTCGGGTTGGAGTTGGGGGTGGAAGGCTTACGGTCAGGACGTTGACGACGATATTTGATGTGTTGTATAGAGCTCGCGCAAGCACGATGGTCTTCGATTTCAGCCGAGTGGATGACATCTCAGATACGATGGAATAAGTCACAGGACCGATTGTGAAGTCATAAACGAAAACGAACAGAATCAGCATGCCGCCGATTGCCCAGAGCGAGGCGGTTGTTCCAGCAAAAGATGCCGCCCCCACGATGATGAGGATCGTGAAGAGAGAACAACAGCCGGCGAAATGTATCGTACGGCGACCAAGCTTGGACATCAGGAACCAAGAGCCCATTGTCCCAACGAGACCAAGTGCGAGAGAAATCATAGACATGTTGAAGGATTGGACGGTAGGAAGGCCAGCCTTTGTCATGAAGTAGGTGCTGTAGACGGTGAGTGCTGGTTGCCGAGGAGGAGACGTTGAGCACTTACAAGTAGCCCATGATATTGGTTCCCACAATCGTCTGCGCAACCCAAGTACAGCACACAATTTCCGTTCTCCTCAGATCAATGCCCTTAAAGCAGTCAAGGTAACTTGTTCCCTCTGACATACTCTTCTCTAGCTCGTTCGTGTGTTCGATAAGTGCGATTGTATCATCAGGATTGAAATTAGGATCCTTCTCAGGCGATGTGAGACGGAGGAGTGCTGCTCTTGCTGCGGTACGATTGCCCCTCCGGATGTGCCACCATGGGCTCTCAGGGGCGAATATAACTCCAATTATGATAGGAACAGGCCAGATCCACTGAACGGCGAATGGTATGCGGTATGCCCACTGGTCGTTGCGTTGAACGCATCCTCGGTTAACACCCGCTGCAATGAACTGGCCCATCACCCAGCACCTTTCTCAAATTAGCCTGAAGTACTGCGCTATAGATTTTTGAACTTACATATTGACAAAAGTAGTTAAATATGGCCTTAGCACTACAGGACTGACTTCCGAAGCATATTGTGTTGTCAAGGTCTGAAAGATGCCCCACGGAATGCCACAGAATACTTCTCCAATGACAAGGATGTGAACATTAGGCGCGAAGAACAGGATGAAAATGAATGCAATCATTGCAAGCAGAGACGCTATCATGGTTTTCCTGTACCCATATCGCTCACTGACTACACCATTAATGAGGAGACCAAGTACTTCGCCAGCTCTCGCACCATTCGATCTAGACGAGTCAGCCATTTATTGGAAAGATAGAGGGATTCCAAACCGACAAAGCAGATTGCCAGTTGGCTGGCACACTCCACTTCCCCGTCTCCAGATTCTGCACCCCATACCTCATATTGAACTGCGGACTGGCATACAAACTCCCCAGCAGTGCAAGATCATATCCCTCCATGATCAATGCACTAGAGAGTAGTACCGACCATCCCACAGCCTTGGGGTAAAGCTTGATGGCCTGCGCTAAGGACATGGACTTCTCGTCAGCGGCAGCATGTCGAGCCTCATCATTTGCTGCGATGAGTTTGTTAGAGATAGGTTGCTTTGCATCGTGTTTCTCCGCCATGTTGAGAATCCAAAGAGAAGTGCCAGGACTGAAGGTAGAAGATCCTGAAGACATGCTACTGATTTATATGCATTCAAGTGAAGCAGGGATGATCGTTCCCAGAACAGGAACGCCCACGAGGAGAGTGGATCTGCGGGTTAGCGGTATCCCCACACTGCCCCAGAAATCAGGCCATCGAGAGCCAGACATTGTCCAACTTCCTCTAAGCAACCTAGAAAGTCCTTACCAGGCTGACTGCGGTAGCTAGACTGGTGTTTCCATCAATCTGGTTGCTGGAGAGCTGGGTGCAGCGAGCGGCGGTTAGGTTGAAGCTTCGGAAGCAAGCCGGAGCCAAGCCGGAGCCAAGTCGGAGGGCTGCGGGGTGTGAATTGCGAAATATTATCACCGAACGAATCACGACTCGTTAGACAATGTCGAGCGCTGTTGATCTTCGGAATGTTGCTCTCACAATGGAGATGCTGCAGATGAAGGTGGAGAGGTTCCGCCGAGGGGAGATACATAGGAGAATATGGAACTCCAGAGGTCTATCCAACGCTTCCGACAACAATTCGTACTCCTTTTGGCCTTGAGGGCGCCATCGTTTAAAATTCCACAGCATTTGAGATGTCACCACATGCAGGCCCTCTCATCCACACACGCACCTGGTGGAAAGAAGCCACATTCTATCAAATCTACCCCGCGAGCTTCAAAGATAGCGACGGCGATGGCTGGGGCGATATCCCGGGGATCCTCTCCAAAATCAATTATCTCTCTTCCCTAGGCATCGATGTAGTCTGGCTGTCTCCCATGTTTGATTCTCCGCAAATCGATATGGGCTACGACGTCTCCAACTACGAGGCTACTTACGCTCCATATGGTACAGTCGAAGACGTAGAGAGGTTGATTGAGGCATGCCATGTTCATGGGATGAAGATCATTCTGGATTTGGTGGTGAACCATACGAGTGATCAGCATGATTGGTTTAAAGAGAGTAGGAGTTCGAAGAGTAATCCGAAACGGGATTGGTACTTTTGGAGGCCAGCGAGACATGATGAACAGGGGAATCCTCTCCCGCCAACGAATTGGCGGGGCTACTTTGCTGGAGGAACTTGTAAGTTAGTTTAGAGTCATAGATGCAGGTACGTACTGATTGACCAGGGACATGGGACGAGCACACTCAAGAATACTACCTTCATTTATACGACACATCGCAACCAGACCTAAACTGGGAGAATGAAGAATGCCGTAAAGCTATCTACAATTCGGCCATACGATTCTGGCTCGATAAAGGGATTGATGGCTTCCGTGTGGATACTGTGAACAAGTATTCGAAACATGTGGATTTCCCTGACGCGCCGGTAACGGATTCGAACGCCTTCATTCAGCCTGCAGCGCAGTTCTGGTGTAACGGCCCTCGAATCCACGAATTCATCAAAGAAATGAACACGACCGTTCTGTCAGAATACACAACCTACGACGGCCAGCCTCTTGTCACAGTGGGCGAGCTCTCCCTAACACCCGATCCTGAAGACGTTCTTCGATACGTCAGTGCGCGAGAAAAGGAGCTTGACATGGTATTCCAATTTGACGTCACGCATCTTGGCCAGGGCAACGGATTCCAAGACAAATACGACTTCGCCAGGTGGAAATTACCTGAGATGAAGCGTATTGTAGAGAAATGGCAGGCATTCATCGAAGGGACTGATGGATGGACGACAGTTTTCATCGAGAACCACGATAACGGTAGAAGTGTTTCGAGGTTCGGCAATGATGCGCCTGAGTGGAGGGAAAAGAGCGCAAAAATGCTGGCACTGTGTTTCTTGACCCAGACAGGAACCCTATTTTTGTATCAGGGACAGGAGATTGGGATGATCAATGCGCCTAAGGATTGGAGTATGGAGGAGTATAAGGACGTTGAAACACAAAACTACTGGAAAGAAGCGGTCCAGTCATCGGAAAGTCGCGTCGACCCGACGTGTGAGGAACGCATCAAGCATGGCTTACAATTGATGGCGCGGGACCACGCCAGGTTGCCCTTCCAGTGGGACTCTAGTGCAAACGCGGGATTCACGACGGGGAAGCCATGGATGCGGGTGCATGACCTGTACAAGGAGATTAATGCTGAAGCTCAGGAGAAAGATAGTGAGAGTGTGTTGGCGTTCTATAAGCGACTGCTCCGGTTGAGGAAAGAGTATAGAGATGTATTTGTGTATGGTACGTTCGAGCTTCTTGATCCCGAGAACGAGGGCACGTTTGCCTTTAGAAAGCACTACCAGGAGAGGGCTGCGCTAGTAGTGCTCAACTTCACCGCCGGTAGCCAGCCAATTCCAGGCCAAGGGATCGAGAGGGATATGACGTTGTTAGCGAGCTCATACCAGAAGATAGCCCTGGATTCGATACAGCCATTTGAAGGGAGAGTGTATATCAACTAATGGGGAAATGACTCAACCGGCTGGGAGGCTCGAAGGTTCCTTGAAACCTCACACACTTCCATCCGTATGGCGGTTTCGCAAATTTGCACTAAGGTAGAATGGGTAGGATCTATGTCATTACACATGCATGCCTTTTCAGGGTGCCGGATCTGATATCTCCATCAGCCCTAACTACCAAGCAATGCTACCAAGCAATGCTACCAAGTAATGGCATGCTCTTGTACAGCTCATCGAATTCCCTTCCTATCCATCCTGTCGTCTTCCCACCTCGTCCCACAATGCCCAAACCGCCTGCCAGCCACAGCCCCGCCACCACTGCTGACAACGCATTTATGGCGTACCACCTCCTTTTCTTTACCAAATGCCTTCTTGAGCCCGTGGCTGTAGCTTGCGTCGGACACAGTCTTAACCACTTCGCCCATCCCCAGGTAATATGCCATGCTCCAACTCCGACCAATGCAGTGAACCCAGCAAATGAAACAAAGGGATGTAATGAAAAGCCGTGGCTGATGTAGGACAGGTTGATCAGCGAGCTGTCACCGTGCATGTACATGGGCATCATGCGCGTGGTCAGCATATGGAAGCCGGCCAGCGGGATCAATGCAAAGCCTAGTGCGCTTGTTCCACTGACGGCTGGCCATGGTATCGTTTTCTTGTCTCGATGCGTCTCCGCGCCGTATCGTCGCAATGTCTGGTGTCTTCGGTACAACCGTAGAGCAATACCCGAGGACACGTGGGCCATAAGAGGTAGGCCCACCAGAAGCGGCTCGGTGAGAGCCGACTGGTAGTATGGTCTTGTGAGAAGTAGGTAGCGGTTGCTTTCGGATACAGACTTGGTGAGGAGAGGTATCACAGAGGTGTTGACGATATGGAAGGAAGCGAAGATTGTGAAGGCGTAGGACGAGTAACGCTGTACGCGGAGGACTGGAAGAAGTTAGATTCCGAGCTATTGACAGATTCTTTAACCAATAGAGTAGCTACTCACGGTAGTATGCCGGACCATGACTCCCCAGCCCTAATGTTGACGTTCTTGAGGGCGCCGAGGCAGGGAAGTAGTCCTCCTTGAACTCGGCTGGGGTCTCCTCGACTGGAGAAGGATCCACTTCTATCAGGCCCATGACACCTCCCTCTGGTGTCGAAGGCATAACAACCTTCTCGCCCGCCATGGTATCGCGATTTGCAGTTTTCAGTGTTCACGATAGTTTTCTTGGTGTTGAAGTGTCGGACATCGGGAATGACGTTGAGAGGCCCGTGCCCTCACCCCACGCTAGCGCTAGCGTGGTCCCGCGTCCTTAGGGTTCGTAAGCTTCAAGCTCGACAACTGCTGCGACACCGTTTCACTCTTGTAGGCCCACAACCCACAGTAGCGCTACTCTCTCTATATCACCGCTCCTCTAATTATTCAAGTAATCTCTAGTTGAAATCATGCCGCCGGTCAGTCTTTGTTGCACTATTTCTTCTCCCTAACTCCTCTCGCTGGAGCAATCTCTACTTCACTCGCTGAAAAATGTCCCAGAAATATAAAGGCGCGACCAACGCGCTCCGCACTTTTAAGTGCGATCTGTGTAATAAGTCTTATGCTCGACAGACGGAGCTCGAAGCCCACTTCTCGTCCTACGACCACACGCATCGCGCCCGCATGGCAGACATGAAGAAGATAAATGCCTCGATGGACTCGAGCAATTCGAAGCGGAAACGCCCCGAGGCCGATGGAGAGATGGTCACCCTTGACCCAACTCTGGGGGTGAGTGAGAAAGCGGCGCCGAAGTTCAAGAGGGTTGGAGCAACGTCATTGGGTACTGGTGCAAGTGAGGCGTCGTCTACGATGCCTGGCTTCAAGCGAATAAAGCCAGATGAGGAGAAGGATAGAGATGCCAGGGCTAAAATGGACATTGGTATGAAAGATGGCAATAGGAAGGCTGGCATCACCATGACTGGCTTCAAGCGGGTCATCCCCGAGGAGAACGTCGAGAATGTGAAGGAGTCTGATATCAAGGATACCCTTAAGGACGTCCCTGCCCTCGACAAAGATCTGGATTCAGACGAGGAATCTTCTGACGACAACAGCGACACGGATTTTTGGACGTACCCATGCTTTCAGCCCCAGAAGTGCGACTGTGGCTGCGGCTGGGAATGGAAGATCCCAACTGTGGAGCAGCTGGCAGTTCCTCTTGACCAGCCTCTGGATCTCTAGGCCTGTGTACTGCATGCTGGGTCTGGGCATGCGGATCGGCGTTCAGGATGATATGATACCAGGTTGTCTCTACTGTTTTGCAATGCATAGCGACATGGGATATTATGATAGGAGTTGCTAATGGGAATGTTTTGATAGGCTCAATCACGCAGCCTGGCTCATAAGCTAAGGCAGGCGTCGAACACTCCCTCGTAACTGTCTTGCTCCGTTTCTCGTGAAGTATTACACATCAATAAATCTTACCAGAACCCACTTCCAAGCTGAACCAATTCTCACCTTCGTCCTAAATCAACATCCAAAACCCTCACCATCTTCTCCTCCTCCTCCCCTACAGCCTTCCCCTCTCCTTCCACCTCAAAAAATGGCCTAACTCCCACATCCACAACCCCTTCAAACAACCCCTCCACCAACCCCTTCAACTCCGTCCCCGTCTGCCGGAAATCGGGAAACGCATTCACCTCCAATAAATACGTATTCAAGCGCCCATCGCCCTCAACACCGACCAGAAAATCCACGCCAAAGATCTCGAAGGCATTGGGGAGTGGTTGGAAATGTATGGACATGCTTCTAGCTGCAGCGAGGAAGGTTTCAGAAGTGATGGCGCAGATTTGGGAGAATATGGCTGATTTCCAACTGCTGTTTGGGAGAGTGTTGGTGTTGGAGTTGGAGGTAGTGAGGGAATCTGGCAACGACCAGAAAAGCTCAACAGAGCCTTCCCGCTCGCTGGTGTCTTGAAGACATGTGTTTGTGAGATGCGCTCTTAGGCTCTCGTCGTCATTCGCGGATTCCCAGGGCGGCATGTAGGGTCTGGCTGCGAAGAGCGCGAGCATAGGTTTGTATACGTAGATTTTTAGCGCGCCGACTGCGAGGACGTAGGTCCGGATGTGGAATTTCCGGGGCAGAGTGGTGGATATGGAGGAGGAGGAGGAGGAGCGAGGGGAGAGCAAGAGAGGGGGGTGGATGTAAGGCTGGGCGATGAAGTGTCGGAGTTGGGATGTTATGATGCCGTTGCCTTCATGCTTCTCTGTAGTTCTAGTCTTGGTTTCTTGAGTGTGTTGGTCGCTACGTGCACCTGTATCTGTGTCTGCATTATCCTCGTCCTCATCCTCGACATCGTCATCAGACTCTGGATCCCACTCCTCAAAAATTCTCACCAGTTCCTCCTCACTGCCAAACAACCTAATCCCCTGTCCCCGCTCACTCATCCCCGGCTTTAAAATCCACCACTCCTTCTCCTTCTCCTCCCCTCCTCCCTCCAAATCCAACTTCTCATTCCTCCCCCAACTCTCCCTCAACTCCCAAGCCTCCACCAGTGCATCATCAAGAAACTCCGCATAATCCACCTCGAATTCCACACTCGGCTTCACACACTGCCTCAGCACGCTTTCCGGATACTTGGTAATCCAATTCGAAACTGTGGTACTGAGATAATGTTTCCGGATCAGTGCTTTGCGGATGATGTACGCATTTGAGAGAGATGTTGTGGGGTGGGAAAGCAAGTGGTCAAAGTCGATAGATTCGTATTGTAGAAATTGGAGGACCGGGGAGGATTTTGAAGGGAGAAAGGAGAGAGCGGAGATTAAGTGATATGAGGATGGTGGGAGGCGGGTGCGGAGGGCTGAGAGGATGAGGGGTTGAACGTAGGGGTCTTCATAGTTGACTAGGGCGTAGAAATTGGGCTTGGAGGGAGTGGATGCATTGGGTGATGCCATGGTTGGGGTTTCGGTCTAGTCGAGCTGCGGATGAAGAGGTCGAGGTCTTGATGTGCGGAAGGTTGACTGCCAATCAAGTACGACCTCGTGACTTTGCTCCAGCGTCCCGTCTTGATACACGGCGAGTGAGAACTATGTGCGAACAAAGTAAAGATGAGAGGATAATAACTATGAAGCAAAAAAGCAGACTGTATCAAATGGGAGGTTTGAGGAGGAAAAATGTGGTTTTCTTATGCATGTTCTAATAAAGTAGAAGTTGTAGTAGTTTTGGTATCCAAGCCGGCCCAAAAGTGAAATTCGGCCTTCACTCGCTTAGGCAGCCGAATTTTACCCAGCCAACCATGAGCGTGCTTCTGAACGCCACATTCACATTCACCATCCCAACGCCCAAAGAGCCCGCAAGACGCCAGCTGACCCAAACCGTTTATCATATCACCTCCAAGTCATCATCATCCTCGTCCATGGCAGCCAGTAGTCCAACGTCTAGTCCCCCGATGCTATCCCGGCCTGGTTCACGAATGCCCTTTTCGGGGAGTAAAAGTCTAGCTTTCTTCTTCATAGGGCTCGTCTCGCGTGCTTCTCGAGCAGACGATGGAGTATCTTTCTTCGGAGAGAGAAGAAGACCGCGTTTGAAAGCGCCACCCCACCCCACAGGCTCACTTGAGGCTGTCGATTTTCCGGAGAGCATTCGTTTGCGCTTAACAGGTGCGAGAGAGACGTCGTCGGCCCTTTTGCCTACGAGACCTAAGGGGTCATCATACAGAGCACTTTTTTCTGTTGTCCCACCCGAATCTGTAAGATGAGCATCGTATTTAGCAGGTAAACTCGATGTGTCGACACCTTTGACTTTCATATAGTCGCTTCCTACGCCGCTTCCAATCTCTCCAAGTTTCTTTGCAAGCTCGCGCTCTTTTTCTTTCTCCGCAAGTCGTTTCCGATGCAGCTCTGCCCGACTAGCTCCCCTTTCCCATGAATCATCTTCATCTAGAAGTCTTGCTGCTCCACCCGCACCGGGCGCAATGTACACAGTCTCATGGAGGCTTCGATCGTGGAACTTGCCTTCCCTCCTAAGACTGTCTTCTTTGAGACCCCCACCTTTTCCTCCTCCGCCGAACATGCCAAATCTACCTCCGCTGCCTCCGGGGCCTTTGCCGAACCCAGTCATCGTGTTGACTTCCATACGCCCCCTCTTACTCTTCTCGACTTGTAGCTCGATGTGGAAGTCACAGAACTCTGTCTTCCTGCCATCGATCCACTGCCCGCACTCTTTACCATCCTTTCTTATCGCATGGCAGAAGTCCAGATCGCGTGCTGTGCCTATCTCAAGCACGGTGTCGTCCGAGCTTGCCAGCTTGAGCGAGAATTTTCCAGTATCGCGGTTGCGTGGAGGCATAATTTCAGGATTCAGGACTGCAACCAAAGTGCCAATTGGCAACTTCCAAAACTGTGAGAACCCAGTGTCAAATAGAAATAGATCTAGTTCCCATTTTAGGTCTGTGAGCCTGATTACCATGAATTTGCCGCTCTGGTTCGCGTTTGCTTCTGGGTTGTTTGTTGACTGTTCTCGTCGAGCGTTCTTCGGTGTCAGAGGTGATGACTTGGAGCAAATGATGCCGATAACCACGTAATCGTTTTCCATGTCCGGAGGTTCATATTCTGGTGATTTTACGGATTTGAGAAGTTGGGGTATCGTGAAAATGGTCTTGCCGTCCAGCATACGGGTGAGTGTGTTGTGTTGCATTTCGCGAGACTTGAGATGAAGACCGGAGAAGGACTCAAAGACGGATACATCCCTGCTGTCGTCGTTGAACGAGGAGCTGTCTGTGGAGAACTTAGAGGTAGTGGTGGTTCGAAGTGTGCTAGAGGACGTTCGGGAAGTCGTTGTGGATGTCGACGGTGCTCGAGAGGCTTCTGAGCGTGTCGAGAGATTGGAGGGAGGTCGAGGAGTGGAAGGTGTTCGTAAATCATTACTTGAACGACTTTTGAGCAGATCCGAGCCTTTCCTTGCCGGTGGTGCCATTCCCTGCCCACTTCGTGCACCAGATGAGAGCACGGAGCCTGCCCGTGAAGATGCACCCTCTCTTGAACTATCGGGATTGTTCAGGCCAAACCCTCGACTTCTGCTCTTCTCAATCCTAGACTGCTTTTCTTCCCGCTCTCGGTCCTTTTCTCTGCTCTCTGCGATCCGCTCACTGAATGACTTCGCTCTGGGCGTCTCGGCTGCCTTCGCCGAGTTCGACCGTGATAATGTTCCAGACATTGCGTTACTTCTTGAATGGAAACTTGCTGCCCGCTTCAAGCTGACATCCTGTGCTCTCAGTCCTTTATCAATCCCCAATAACACCCTTGCGGGACTCTTTTGCTCATCGGGCGCCCGCCTATTCCTTGTGGGCGACACGGGAACCTGAATGGCAGAGTGGGGTCTCGGTAATTCTACTCTCCGTAAACCCGCCGCAGTGTTGGGTCTCGATACTGCTCGCGTGCTGTCATTGTCGTCATCCTCCGCCGCCTGCCGTGCCCTCTCTCGCCGCAGTTGCTTAAGTTTCAACCTGGCCTGGATAGCTTGGAGCTGCAACTCCAGTTCCTCCTCGTCTTCATCGTCTTCTGGCTGGCCTCTCGAAGCGGGTCGGCGCTTTACAGGTGAAGGGGAAACGGAGTTGCGCTGTCGCTCTCGCTCGTACTTGCGTCGTCCAGAGGGTGAGCTGAGAAGCGCTTCATGCGGCGATTTCGGCGGCCAATTCTGGGGCTCTCTCCTGACTACTCCAGATCAGTCTCATCCAAATGCCGCCTTGGAAAATCTGTACCTCCAGACTTCGGACTCTCCCTCACAATCATCGTTCAGTTAGTGCAGTGAGTGGCGTTGAAACCCTAGTCGCGGCGCCCATATCCTCACCAAGCGCGAAATAACAACCCTTTTACAGATCGGATTGACACGGGGCCGTGAAAAGTAAAGAGTGGCGATGGCGCGTAAGAAGCCGTTGGGGGCGTGGGGACGTCGGGAGTGGTGTTGTTTGCATGTGGTAAAAATAAGCGTTCACCAATCTGAAACGAGAGCTGGGATGACGCGACTCGCTTCCGAACGACGCGTCGGCGCGCCAGGGACTCCTTTGATCGTGACCCCACAACCCTCTTAACGCCGCATGCTTTCAATTGCAGGATTCTCCCAGTTTTTGTACTATATAGATTTTTTGCTGTTTTAGTTTGACAGAATTACGCAATAATGGCTCGCACACGCTCTAAACCTGTGCCGAAAGCGTCCTCCCCAGAACCAGCAGCATCTACAAGAAAGCCATTACCTGCCAGCACCGCGAACCCTCCAAAGCTATTTGTCCTACCGAAAGACACGTCGAAGGATGCGCGCATAGTCACTCTAAACAATCCCGCCACAGCAAATCCATCGCGGTACCTGTTTTGTCCTGAAAAGGGGTTCCATGAGTTCACGCGCATTGCCGCGCCGAAGAAGGCTCCGAGCAGTTGGCTGATTACTTCCTCGCCTGCTGAGAGCGAGGGAGAGTATGGCGATGCAGAAAAGAGCCCGGAAGAAAATACCTGTGACGAAGGGACAGGAATTGGATCAGGATATATCACAAAGTCCTCTGACCTGTTCATCGCCACTCCTATCGACATACTCTTCATGATTCTACCTGCTCTCGTGCCCAAGTCAGCAAAAGACACAAAACAACACTTCCTCTCTCTAGATGACCACCTTGACAACCTCACTGCATCGTCTGCCCCGCTCAAAGCTTTACTGCAACATCCCTCACTTAAAGACATGATAGCCAAGCGACTGGAAAACTGCTGCGACACCGTCGATGCAGGAGATGAGAAAATGTACCGTCTATCTAATGAGAAGCTCCTGGAGCTCTTAGTGAAGAAAGCAGAGAGGATGTGCGCAAAGAGACTCCCGCCATCCATGGAAGATAAATTCATAAAACCCGCTTTGGAAATCCCTATTATGAGCATCAAGCGCGAGGAAAGTTCCATCAGCCTCGCCTCCGAAACCGTCTCTAATGGAATAGACGCCGACAACTCGCAAGGCTTATCCACATCATCTACAAACCCGGACTCCCAAACCACAACCCTCGCAGCAACAACATCAACAACTGCAACCTCCATCTCCACCTCTGAAGAAATTTCCCAACACACGCTTCTCACGCCTCCTGAAGTCCCCCACCTCCTCCGCCTCCGCACATCCTTAACCTACCTTCTATCCTCCTACATCTCACCAACCCTGCGTCTTCTTCTCCTGGCCCTTCTCAAAGACCCCACGTCACCCACATCCTCCCACCCCGACTTCACACCCCTCGAAGCCCACCTTAGCGTAATCGCAAAGCTCAAATCCGAAGCTGCAGCTCTCCGCTCTATATCCGACAACATCTCGAGGAAACGGGGGTTTGAAGACGATGAGAAAGTGGCGGAAAGGGAGGAAAAGAAAAGGAAGAAAGAGGAAGAGGAGAAAAGGAAGAAGAGTGAGAGCAGGGGAATTAAGCAGCTGAAGAAAGTGGACACGAGCGGGATGAAGAAGTTGAGCAGTTTTTTTACCAAGGCGCCGGTTAAGAAGTCGTGACATTTCGGTGAGAAGAGAGAGGTGGGAGGATTGGCATTGGATCGTTTTGGGTGTTTGGAAGTTCGAAACTGGGTGGCGGCAATGTGATATGATTAGATTCCACAATACTGGATGATGAACATGACATCATTACTTACAAGAAAATGCTTAATAAATGAAATTTACCCTGTTCACTTTCTAAAACACAAGACTACATGCGGCATAAAGCACTTTGCTCTATATTTTTGATTCATTATTATGCATCCGGCTATGGACTGCCGATTCCCACCCAGACTACCCTTATCCAGAGTATGCTAAGTACACAAGACAGCAAACTGAAATGCCAAAAAGACAAACCAGATGCTAAAACAAGTGACTTAGGGAACCAAACTCCAACGGACCATGCCGAATATGCAAGATGCACGTCTCACCATATTCTATCATCTCCATTAATCCATCCATTAATCCATCCATCCATTCCCACCCAATCCCTCGCCATGGAAAGAAAGTAAAGTCCAGGGTTGTCCGAGTTGACCACATAGAGGGGGAAATCAAGTCAGCTGAAGCAGGTATCTACATGCTGGGCACTCGTCCAGGACAGCCGAGTTTGCGGTCATTTGTGGGTAATCCCCGAAGAAAGCAAAGGCAAAAGGACGTCGGGATTGACTACATTTCAGAGTGCAATGAAGGCAGCAGAGGCCCTAACATAAATGCTGAGCAGATGTCCAGACCAGCCGAGTTCGTGGACAGTTTTGGACAACCCATGAAAAAAAAGAAAAAAAAAAAGAAAAGGGGAGGGTTGAAGCTAGGGTTGACCACATCGAGAACGTAGTGAAAGTCAACTGCGCCCATGACATCTACATGCTGAGCAGACGTCAAGGACGGCCGATTTTGTGAACAACCCGGGAAGTAAGCAAGGGAAGTTTTTTGAATTACAATCGCAATATCCAACTCATTTTCGTGCAGTCGTTATGTCGTAAAAGTGACTCCGTGACTCCGAATTCCGAAAGTTGGATGCGAGATACAGACATCAATGTCTATTCCCGCATCAATGTGATGCTGCAGTTTGTCAAAACAGATCCATGGCCTCGGTAGAATGTGGCTCACTCCTAATTTTCTTGTCATCCATGCTCTCCAACGCTTCACCGCCTCGCTTCTTAGCCCTGCGAGTACGTGAAACTGACTTGGTACGGGTCCAGGAATCGAATGGGCTGGGGTTCTTGCTGCGGGTGTTGGCAGCCGGTGAAGTCTCCAGTTCGTCAGCCGTGGCATGTGGGGTCTCTGCTTCCTCATCAATTTCCATAGCATACTCATCCTTGACCGGCTTGACCTGCTTGCCGTGCTTGGGGCGGACGGTAGATGGTGGGGTGGTTGGCACGAAGTCTTCCTTGAATTTCGGTTTCACAGGGGTGGCAATCTCCTCGGCTTTGCGACCCTTACGACCTCCATACTTAGACTGGCTCGGACTGGCAATGGGAACTTCGATATCAGTAACGGCCTCCTCGTCAACATCATCAGGGCCCATCTCGCCATCTCGGACTTTGATCTCTTCTTGGAACAGGCGACGAGGCTGGATGGATGAGCGGGTGAACGGGCGGTGGGCCTCCGTTCCAACACGACGACGGAGCGCATCTTGGGAGAACTCGGGCGAGGCCCTATCGGCATTGGGCCGGGGAGCATCGTGGTATTTGCGGAGGACCTTGCGGCCACGGCTGCAAGCTGTTAGAGAAGGTCGAGAATGCGATAATGAAGATACATACAACATATAGATCATACCCTCACCCTTTGCCACGGCCTCCTCCATCTCGATGGTATTTGCATCACGGGTACGGGTGGTGCCATTTGCCTTCGCCTTGCCCTTGCCCTTGCCTTTCTTGGAGAGGAAGGGATTATCCGGGGTGTGATCAATCTCCGGGACTCGCTCTTTTGAGTCGGTGTAGACCTCAATCTTATCGGTTTCTTCATCCATCTGCTCAGCGAAGCTCTCTAGAGTGAACACATTCTTCCTGCTCTTGCGGCTCTTGCGCGGGGTTGGCATGGCTTCTTCGACCGTAGCGGGGCGACCAGGGAATAGCGCGCGGGTAGCGGAGCTGAGATCCTCTTTGGAGTGAAGGGCGCGTTTCCGGGGCGTCTTGGCCGGAGTTGGGAGCATGCTGTGAGGCTCCATTGTTGAGAGATATCGGCTGGAAGGAGTCGGCGCGATGTGATCAGAGTCGGGTTCTACAGGGCCAACATTTAGGTGCGCGCGACGCGTTGCGTGGGGAGTGCGGTGAGTGAAGGGTGAGGCAGGTGAACAGGGTGGAGAGAAGGTTTGACTGGAGGTGTGCGGCGCTGCGTTCTTCGGAGAGCTTCGCCACTTTGGTGTCGCTTCATGCGCAGACCGTGGCAGTGGTGAATGCGGCTGGTGTTGGTCCTGAGTACGCTGAGCAGCAACCCGGCTTGACCGTCGTGGTGGAGAGTAGGGCTCGTAGATGTCGAATTTGGCGCCGTGGAGGGGAGCTGGTGGCGTGTGGAGCCGGCGCGGTGGTGATGGTGTTCTCTCCATGGCGAAGTCGCGTCTGGACTGTCACTTCACGCACGGGAAAGGGCGAGGGAGGTCGTTCGGGTGAAAACGTAAGGTTGTTGGGGTTGTAAACAAACGAATCTGGAAGCAGCACGCGGCCGCTAGAGAGAACCCGACACTGCAATTGAATTAGCAATGACCAGCTGGTACAAGATAATGCGCCGCAATAAGTTGTGGTGAGTGATGTTGAGGTTGTGGACCTGCGAGGGCAGTGATGTGGTCGGGGAGGTTGGTAATTTCCCTCACCCAGCCTTTGGGCTTGGCAAATTGTGGCCGGCAGAACCTTGAATGCCAACACATCTTCACCGCCCGGCCGGCAAGTAGCCGTTTCACCACCACTATCAAACACGTCAAACACATCCTACCCCTCCAGAGGTCAATCAATGCGATCTGGGTGGTCAATTCACCCGCCACTATTATTGACTAGCAATTCATCCATTGCAATATGGACTCGCAGAGCATGGACGCCCTCAACCTCTCAGACTCCGACTCCGACGCGTTGTTTGACACCCCCGCCGCGCGAAAAGCGAACAGCAAGCCGCCAGATGAGGATGGAGACATGGCAGAAGGCGCTACCTCCGCGAAGACGCGTACAAAAGAGTCACACTACACCACAGAGGAAGCAAGAGAGGTAGCACTGCGAAAAGAGCTGGAAAACGTGCGAAACGTCAACAAGGTGATTGAGGGGGTCGTAGAAAGCTTACAGAAGGCAAACAACAATATGGATGTATGTGCCAAATCTCGTGAAAACCTGTTACCCGGCTCCCTTGATTCTCGAGCTGATGTCTGGGTAGACGGTCTCCCGAACGGTACATAATGCGTCGACACTACTCCACACATGGACGCGCATTCTGTCACAAACCGAGCATAATCAGCGACTTATCCTAAACCCTCAGTGGCAGGGCGCCACCCAAGACCTCGTTGATATTCAGAATGAGGAGATACAGCGACAACAGGCGGCTGAGCGCCGGGAAGCCGAGGAACAGGCTAGACGAGACGCCGCAGTAAGAAGAGCCGATGAAGAACGCCGGAGAGCAGAAGCTACACCGAAAGCAGGCTCACGGGGGAGGGGTAGAGGCAGTGCCCGGCCACGTGGAGGATCAACATCGTCAGGATATGGAGGCGGATCAGCGTCGTCAGGATACGTTGGTGTTGGTGGGCAGGGCGGTCGAGGACTCAATCGGAGTGGGTCGACGAGCAGCCGGGGGGGCACCGGTATCGGACGTGGATTGCGAGGAAGGGGAAGAGGACTGGGTTGAATAAGTTAGCTGGTGCGTTCCACCTTCAAATCGATACCCAAGCATTGGCAGTTTGTGTCTCACAAGCACCATCACCCCGGCTCCTTCTATGATCTCACCGGCTTCCTCGCACGCCAAACTCTTCCATGATCGATCATGTGATTATTTCCCCGACATTCTTATCGCTAAATAGGGTTTTGGAGGCTCAACTGCCCTGCGTCGTACCTTTCGCTTCAATTCCGTGACAGGGGATAGCTTCCGTTGGCTTTTCCGCCCCGCCCCACCATGCGGGATACTCCCCGCCAAAGTCTCTCAATCACTCGACACGTCGCGTGCCATATATGAAATCTCTTTTCTCCGGAAATTTTTATGTTTGGGCCTTACTCTCATCTGCTTGCGTTTATTAGGCCCTCCGAATCCATTAAATCAGATTATTCTGCCTGACGTCACAATGGAGGTTCCGACAGCAACCTCTCTCCGTGACATCTACCCCGAGGACGCGATTCCTGACCAGAAGGAGCGATGGGAGAATCTACTATCGCGATTCAAGGAGAAGTATGGCAAGCAAGCAGACTTTGTTTCAAGGAGTCCAGGGCGCGTCAATATCATCGGCGAGGTAAGATGTTTATGCTACAAGGCTCGCAGAAGCTCATATTTCACAGCACATCGACTACTCGCTCTATGAAGTGCTGCCAATGGCCATCACAGCCGATTTTCTCATGGCGGTCGCGGTGCGGCCAGCTGACGAGAATCCTCGAGTTAGGATAGCGAACACACAGTCAGAAAAGTTCCCGTCCCGAGAATTTGAGATACCCGCCGAAGGAGATATCCCGATTGATGCATCTGAGCACGAGTGGACGAACTATTTCAAGTCCGGATTGCGTGGAGTGACCCAACTGCTGCAGAAGAAGCGTGGGCAATTCGTATCTGTGGGCATGGACATTCTCTGCAGTGGCACCGTTCCGAGCGGTGGAGGCATGTCGAGTTCGGCAGCTTTCACCTGCACTGCCGCCTTGGCGGTCATGAAGGCGAACGGAGAGGAGAAGGTCGACAAGAAAGAGCTCTGTGAGTTGGCTATCGTCTCTGAACGATCTGTTGGTGTCAACTCAGGAGGGTTAGTAATGCTTCTTTCTGTAACTACATTGTCTTGCTTACAATAGCACAGCATGGACCAAGCCGCCTCAGTCTTCTCTCTGCGAGGAACCGCCCTCTATGTCACCTTTAAACCCAATCTAGATTTCAAGGCCATTGAGTTTCCGCAAACGGATCCCGAGCTTACTTTCGTCACGGCTCAGAGCTTCGTAGCAGCAGACAAGCACGTCACCGCGCCTGTGTGCTACAATCTTCGCGTGGTCGAATGCACATTGGCAGCAGTATTCCTTTCCAAAGCGTTTGGACTGAAACGAGACCTGCCCCAAGACTCCTCCCCCCTCGGCGTTAGTTTACGTGGCTTCCATGACACGTACTTCGAAGAGAAGGAGGGCGTTGCAGACAACACGAAAACCTCGGTTGCAGACTTCGAGATTCAGCTTCAGAAACTCATACAATTCACTGAGGACTACCTTCCACAAGAAGGTGGCTATACGAGGGAGCACATCTGTGCTTTACTTGGTATCACCGAAGACGAGTTAAACCAACGGTTTATGTCTAAATTCCCAGTCCGTGCGGAAAAGTTCATGTTGCGTCAACGTGCACTTCATGTTTTCAACGAAGCTCTACGCGTTATTAAGTTCCGTCAGTTGCTCTCTACGCCACCTACGAATGGCAAAGAATTGCTGAAAGCGCTCGGCAACCTCATGAATGAAACGCAGACATCCTGTCGCGACATCTACGACTGCAGCTGTCCCGAACTCGATGAGTTGTGTGATCTGGCACGCAGTGCAGGTGCGAGTGGCAGCAGACTTACAGGAGCGGGATGGGGGGGATGTAGCGTCCATCTAGTGCCAAAGGACAAAGTCGAGGCTGTCAAGAAGGCGTGGGAGGAGAAATACTATCGCAAGAAGTTTCCAGATATCACAGAGGACAAACTAAGGGAAGCCGTCGTGGTCAGCAAGCCCGGGAGTGGTAGCGCTGTCTTCAAAGTCGTCGGCGAGAAGCTGGTATAATAGCAATTATGCCAGGGTCGCCAGCAGTGGCTAAGCCTCGTTCGAAGTTTGGTTGAGTGAAAGCCACAAGTGTAGGCGGTAGCACCGTTTCACATATTCTAGATACCAAAACATCTTCCAGGATGTCGGACCTAGTTCACAATGCATACATGTCCTTTGGGGACCTGCTCTTTGTGTCTCATTCCTCTCACAACCAGTCAATATTCTTGTTTCGGAGTTAATACGTCTTTATTCAGCAATCACATTCTTCACACTCCGTCTCTTCCACTACATATCAATGTCATATTTCCATCACTGTACACCAACAAGCCCTTATGCATACCTCGGCGAATCACAGCCAGACTCGAAGCACGATCTCGCCACTACGCAGCTTAAAGAACATGAACTACATTCGTCTCTCCATCTAATCTCCTCCACATATGTAGCGGAAGACCCCTGCGTGCAGGAAGAATTAAGAGGTACTTTGATTTTGCAGCAACTTCAGCTGACTTACACATTACTGTATCTATCAAAACGATAGCAGCGTTATACCCAACTTGCATTTAGGCTATATCACAGCTAACATTGAAGAATTCCACATAGTTTGCTATCTTGTTAAATGGTTTACCCTTAACGCGCTTTCACGGTGCAACACTATTCCTAGCACAACAAGTTTATTCCAGCTTTTTGCTAGCTTCGACTTAAGACATTACTTTCTTAGAGGCATGCAATTCTTACAGGCTATTGCTAGGCTACTATTTGCTACCTGCGCGATGTAAGACGCATGTCCGCTACAGGAAGCTGCAAGCAGCACCGTTATATATACCAAAAACACACAGTCCTAGGTACAGTTCGGGTTTTATGTGGCATAGTTGATGCAAAACTTAGGATAGGCCTTTCCATATCAGCTCTAGCCTCATTTGCTCTTCCCCAACTGATTAAGCATGACTAGAATAGCTCTCGATCTGAGGATATGCACACTTAGCCATGATGGTAGCTAAGAATCGGATGCCTCGTGGCGCAGCATGGCTGTCTCTAAGTGCGTAGGTGAGCTGTTCGTACGGTACCATCCCTAAGTCCCGTCTCCTCCACTGTCGCAAGGGTGTGGTACAAGTAGGTGTGGGTCAGCTGCCTTCTCTGCCTGTAGTGACGACATTACATGCTAAATCACTTTCATTATTGTTAATGGTTTGATTTGTTCTTACGCCACAGGTTGCTAAGAAGGCCTATAGGCGAGGTAACCAAAACCCTTTAGTCCATGTTCCATTCTTTGTCTAACACTATTCATCTTACTTTGTTAACACTTGCTTTATAGTCCCCGCCACTCACTCCATCTCCGTCGTATGTATCCGAGAGCTATTTCCCGACCACCGACCTTCTAGTTATCGGTTAGTCGATCTCGAGTCCGTTGAGTAGTAACCTGTGGCCTGGAAAATAATGTGGCACGGCGCTAACAAAGGTGTCCGGTGGCTATGACAAATCCATTAGCAGAGTTTTTAGGATGTGAGTTTGCTGGGGAGCCTCTGTTCTGATTGTCATATAAAAGGAAAATGGCAGGTGCTCTTGTTATCTCCAGGGGCACATCGCAACCGTCACTTCCATCATGTTCTCACCTGACAGCAAGCTGCTGGTGTCTGCATTGCTTTACATAGTAAGATTTTGGAATCCGGCTACGGGAGCGGCGCTGTAGATGCTCGATGTCGGTGTGCGCTTCAACAGCATATCGTTCTCGGAAGATGCTCAATATTTTATGACTAATAGTGGTTTATTGAGTCTCCAGCCTTCCCCTATTCTATTCCTCCCCAGGCCCAATCTCTAAATCTAATAGTTGTATCGAGATTGGATAACTCGAGATGGAAAAAAAAAATCCTCCGGCTCCCTTCTAACGATAGAGAGATAAATGCGGCTCTCTACGATAATGTGCTTCCTTATAGGAGATGAATCTGGGGAGGCAATACGCTAGCTAGGTGAAAAGAACATATGAAACTTTTCAGCTGAATATACCCGCTGAGCTCCAAGCGTGGCCGACCACTTAGGTCAAGACACAAAAGGATTAGACAAATTCACTACCCCTGACCTCTCGCCCACCATCGGAATCTAGTCGAGTACTGCGAGTATTCTGTGCTTGAAGCATTGTCAGTCCTAGATACTGGGATGGAATTCGCCGTCTCTTGCTTCGAGATGACTATGGGTTTCGCAAGCGGGGTCTTCTCAAAGGGATTATAGATGATGGTGGGAGGGGTGCCCTCATATGCAGTCCATTTTGGGGAATAATATGTCGTGTATGGAAGTTTGCGTGACCCTTGGTCCATGACGGGAGCCACTGCAGGTGGTGCAGCGGTCGGTGTGGATGTCGCGGGCGTTTCTGGCGCTGTCGCCTCTCCAGAGTTTGGGCTCGACGCATCCGCCATTGACAAAGTTTCTCTCAGTCAACAGCGCTGTTATTTATTTATTTATCTTCGGCTAGATGGGGAACTGTGCGAGTGAAGCGAGAGGTTTCGTAAGAGAAGATAAGACGGAGCAAGTTTTCGGTGTTGAGGATTGGAAAAGGACGGTCTTGTTACTGGAGGCAGTGTTCCCGGTACCTCCTTTGGCGCACCGAGAGCCTTGCTTTTAACTAGTTGGCATTAGCGCCAAGCGGCAGAGGGGCGGTACAGGGGGCTCTCATGAGCGGACTGTACCGCGTGCACAAGCCGACATCCGTGCGTAGAATATTCTGAATAAATTACAAGATTTTGTAAGCAGCTCTCTAACAAACTTACGTCCCTTGTTCAGCTCACTCCACTAACAAGATACACCACAATGCTAAAGACACCAAATTAACGACTAACGTACAAGGAGCGTATACAGATCCACACCCTACGCGAGATAGGCTAGAAACAAAAGGATATCTCTCAGAAACTTGGGATACCTCTTTCTACAGTCTCTCTCTGCCTCCGCACGCCTGAGACGCCTACAAAGCCTAAGGGACGGTCTCCTATTCTATCTACTCCATTCCGAATCCTCCTTGTACGGCATGCGACTGAGAACGCTGAGCAACGACAGAAAACTCGAGAGGAGATAGCTTAAGAGCTAGGGATAACAGTCTGTTAGCGTACGCTTATTAAGGCCTTTAAGAAGAAGCTCTATCATTGCTGTAAGGCTACAGAGAAACCCTTCCTTACTAAGCAACACAAGGCAGACCAGGTTCAGTGGGCATGGGAGCACCTTGACTGGAGCGACGATCAATGGGCTGGTATAGGCTGGAGCGACGATATGAGCGCCCAGGCTGGCCCTGGCGAAGTGTGGGTGACAAGGCGCGCTGAGGAGCGCTTCCTGCCTGCCTGCTGCGTTGCTAGATTCAAGGGCTACTCTAGCTGCATAGTGTGGGCGATGATATTAAGGGATATGAAGGGCCCTCTGGTTGTGTACAAGAAGAGCTAGTGTACGAATAAGAAGCAGTTAATTAACTCAGAAGTATATATTAAGCACATCCTGCCTCTAGTTATGACCTTTTAAGACGCGTACACAGAGTACACAGGCAAGGAGCTAACCTTAATAGAGGATAACGCATCTATCTATACATTAAAGGCCACAATAGCTGCTGAGCAGGCCCTAGGTATCCCAAAGATCTCATGGCCAGCGAACTCACCTGACCTTAACCCTATTAAGAACGTCTGGCAGATCTTAAAATACTGCCTGGGGAAGCGTTTTCTAAAGACTGACAACAAGGTAAGGCAGTATCTCCTTAAAGAATAGGAGAAATTGTCCTTTAGTAACTACAACAAGTACATAAAGTCAATGAGGGAGCGCTGTTAGGCGGTCATCCAGGCTGAAGGGGGACATACAAAGTGGTGAGACAATGTGTCAATACAATGATTATTTGTATGTATTTTACATAGAAAACAGCATTTCGAGAGCATTCAAGACTCGTGGGCCTGTGCGCGCGGTACAGCCCGTTCATGGGAGGGGGTTGTACGCGGACAACATGACATTGTGGCGGTAGTTGTCACGCTTGTGGCAATAGAAGGCGCTAGGCTGCCTGTGTGGCTTGTGGCGAAGCTCAGCTCTACCTTGGCTGCGAGTCTCGTAATCACTTATTACCCCAGGCAGATCGCAAGGCTCTTCAGAGCTCACAAGATGAAGTTCTAATTATCTCACCACTTGTTTGTGCTTTGGCTAGCCTGTCTACTTCGCTCATCCTTTTACCTAGCAGGCGGTGCAGTCTTTAAGGTAGAAGCGCATGGCCGCCCTTGGATCAGAGACTAGCAATGGAGGTGTCACCAGGAACAACTTGTCTTACGCAAAGAGATTCTCGGCCCTCTGGTGCGAAGAGTACCGTGTCGACTTCATCTACAAACAATCAATGGCCATTATGCGTCCAGCACTACACATCTTGCCTGTCAGTGTCCAATCATTGTGATTTTAACCCGCAAGCTACTCACGACCAACCCAGTGTCTCTCAAGATGCGGCTATAAGAGACACATCTCAGTTCGAGAATACCTACCTATCGAAACAGACCTCCGTGGAAGCCCTTAGTCAAGGGAAGGGGAACGTAGGTTCGTATGCCCCGCTTATTTCAGCTCGACTTAGGTTAATATAAGTCCCAGTCGAGGAGCTGCTATGCCAGGATCATCATTCTGCAGATCTTCAGAGAGTTGGTGATTCTTTCATCTCGTTCAAAATGAATTTCGCAAGGAATTGGCTAGTACCATGGTCTTACTGTTAACGGCTTCTAGGTTATCGAGAACAACTCATGTACATCATTGTGAGTATTCCTTCTCGAACCGCAATGATGGCTAATGCAATCTGTATTTGCGTTTCTAACCTCACTCTAGATTCATCCACCGGTTCGTTATGAAACCTGGTACTCAAGGAGCCCCCAAGGATTTGAAAAGGCTTCGTCTTTCTGGCTCAGCATTTAGATGGCTTCTTAGTCGCTTCGACGTGTCACCGAGCTTTGTTTCGGCTCTGCTCAACCCAGATCTACCCTCCGGCTACTGCGATCTGACCTTTACAGATTCTGCAGAACATCCGGTCCACATAATCTGGTACATCATTACAGTGCGCTCGGCGGTCAACTGCGTCGAAAATGAGACGAGCCATGTGCTGAGCGCAGCTGGAAGCAATCAGATGGACTCGGCTAGTTACCTCCACCTTGAGGACTTGAGTTCCGACATTCGGCCGTCAAGGATCGCCGTCTATTCCCGGCACGATGGGCAATCGTCGAACGCTATCTGCATAGATTTTCAGGACGGCCGCTGGCACCACCTGGTTGAGGAGCCGTATAATCGGGTGAAAGAAGTCCTCACTCTCGCCCAGACACGGGGCCATACTGCGCATCCTGCAACCATTCATGTGGCAATGCTGTCCAGCTCTGCACGATGGTGGAAACAGGCCCTGGCTCAGCTCAAGAGCCAACTTATCTCCTACGTGAGCTTCCAATATTCTCCCAAATGAGTCTATTGAGATATGTAGGAGCTTACACACTAATTTTGCAGGAGAAGCGCCTTCTTGTCGAGACAACGGAAACGGCCGCAGCGGATAGAGCTCTACTCAGAAGACAACTAGAAATGAACAAGGCGCTGCATACGATCATAAGCCACTTACGGCGATACAAAATCGAGTTAGAAACATCCATGGCCATTGCAAAGGGCTTACTGGAATCAGACCACCTTTGGCGCAATGATCACAATTCTAACAGTCTCGGTCAGAAGAACCCGGGGGATTCTACCAGGAACGCCTTAGCCTTACTTTCGGAGCAATTCCATGGTTTTAGGGCCGTCGCGCAAGAGTTAGAGAGCAAGACAGAAACAATCTTGGCACTAGTTAGGAAACCCTTCCCCCTCACAAAACCCCTTTTCCAGCTAGGGAATATCCTAGGTTTTTTTAACAAGATACTGACCTAACGTTACAGGTGTTCCAATTCGTTAAATGGACGAACGACATGCTGCTAGTCAGCAATGGAAAGTCCATGTTTAAGTTGATGAAGTCGAGTCGTGAGCAAGGGAAGTTCGCTCGACGCATGCTGATAGAGTCTCACAACATAGCAAAGGACACAAGGAAGGATAGCGTGTCAATGAAAACAGTAAGGGAAAACATGCTAGCAACTCCAGTCCGTACTATAGAATGCAGTAGGCTAACTTCCCTTTGAAGTTAGCCCTCTTGACAATGTTCTTCCTTCCCGCTACGTCATTTGCGGTAAGTATCCCGGTTGCAACAGTCCTTTAAATTTTTAGGCGATATTGTAGGCTTACTGAACCCTCGCAGTCGATTCTCGCTATGCCGTTCTTTAACCAGCAGGACTGGTTGCACAGGCCTACCACCGCCTGGCTCTGGGTAGTCCTGACGGTTCTAACGACATCTATTGCGGTTGCCATCTACATTTTCTTCACACATCGTTCGTTGAGATCCCAGAATTGTGATGCTAGGTCGGATGAAGAAGACGAGTTGGATAGCGTGGACTTGGACAATGGGGATTAGCCCAGGCATACCGTATATTCAAGGCAGCTCTCGGTAATACATAGACACGAAATTAGCAACTAGTAGGCGGAATTGTTAATACTACATTTAAACCTCGAATGCTTCCGTAGCCTATTTTCGAATATCTACCCAACCCTAAATAATAAAGACCAAAAGGGTGAGAAAAGAGAAGACAACAAAAGCTTGGGGGGTTCACTCTTCAAAACCTGGCAGATCCTTAATAACGCGTTCCACATCACGCATACTAAGTGCTGTCGGTTCCGAAAGCGCCTTCTGGATAGTACTTTGCTCCATCATCTTCCGAAAATGGGCCTCAGGTTCCAGTTCACCGGCATCTACCCGAAGCAGGTAGTGTACGAAGACCGCGATCGCATGTCCCGCACGGCTCTCAACCCAGTCAAATAGATCCTCGAGCCTCCGGAACGTGGAAAGGCCCTCGGCGGTGAGGAGAGGCGTGCCCAGGAGATCCCCGACCTGTACGGAGACCTTGTACGAGCTCTGGGGAACCTGCAAAAGCGAGCTTATTGACCACCCCGTACTGTCATCACGGTACTTGGAGTACCCCCGAATCTTGCGCACCGACTCCCATCGGAAAAGTGTACGCGTTCGCCTTGGAGTTGTCAGCCTGTTACCGAGGAGCAGAGATTTGGTGAGCTCGTGGACGACCTCGCCCTTTGAATCCTGAATGTCGTGAAAGCGTTCAGTAAGGTAGTAAAGAAAGCGCATAAGTACAATCCTCTTCCTCTTTTTTGCACCGAGCGTCTTGTTGTGTCGTGAGTTGGAGAGGATGGCATTAGCGACGATGAAGCCGTCCATGGGATAGTGAAGCAGCAGCGGAAGGTCATCCCGGACTAGCGCGTCCCGAAATCTGGACAGGAGGACATCTTGGATAATACCAACTCCTAGCTGGTATGGCATGACATTGCTGTTAGACTTTTCCAAATTGACCGAGGATTGGACCATGTCGCATTCCCACTCAAGAGCTGCCCGGAAATGAGGGTTGACGGATTCTTCGTCACTGGACAAGAGCCTCTCAAGTGTTGTGTACAAAATAGCTAACCATACAAGCGGCAGATCAGATCGATCGAAACGCTTCCCTGTGGCGAGGTTGATTGTCTCGAGCCAGGCTGCTTGGTTCTTGCTGTACAAGACTAGGGGAAGAACTGCCGAGATGGTATGACGCTTGCTCAAGATGTTCGCACAGCCGTCGCAGGCCACAAAGTTCATGATAATGTCTGTCTCTGGATAGTTGCCCATTGCGAGCGGATAAACCAGCTTTGAAAGGTTCCCAAACTTAGGTAAATTCTGCGTTACCTGTTGTGAATTTGGCGGTATCAGAAGCAGTGTTAAGACGGAAGTGTTGCTTCTGCATTCCATGCACTCGCCATGGAAGTACTCCATTGCAGCGGTTGGAAAGAAGAACCCGTTGCTAGACTGCAGTTCTCTCCGGAAAGGATTATTAGGAGAAGAAATAGCAGAACGATTAGGAGAAGAAGGAAAAGTACGATTAAATGCCGATTTTCTGGGTTTCCGTCGCGATACTTCTTCCACATCAATATAACTAATAGAATCCGCGTCTCCACAGGTCGAGGTAGCAATGTGTCGCATCCGGCTGGTTTTCGATAGAGAACTACGAGCGTCGTTGTCGGGAAGCGCAACTTGAATTGGAAGCAGGTTGACCTCTTCACGCGAGGTGTAATTGCCAACTTCTGGACCAGTAACGCCGTTATAGAAGGCGGTCATTGAACCTGTCGGTATGCGGACCCTCCTGCTGATCTCGGGAAAACGGTGCTCGGGGTCGTGGTATTCTTTCGCCAACCTAGCCGCCACATCTTCCAGCAGCTGAGATTTCTCTCCCCCTTCACCCTGGCTCCCAGATGATTGTTCGTCAATCTTCGCGTCCACTTTATCCAACCATTTCTTGAACTTCTCTCCCTCTCCTCTCACTTTGGCAGTGATTGCGAGGGTTTTCATGTTATCCTCGCTTTCTAGGACCTGCTTCATCACTGCTTCATCCACAGTCGCTTGGGAAAGAAGCGACTCGAAGTTGATGTTGGCATTCTCCTGCAGTACGACTTCATCCTCGGCTAGTAGCTGAGAGGGTGGGACGGAGATGCGGGTGAGGTTCTCGTAAGACGTCTGAGGCAAGTCTTCCCATCTCGTTTCGTAATCTAGCCTTGGATTCCGATGTCCCGGTGGCAGCAGAGCTGAAAAACAGCCCTTTGTCGACAAGATATAGGTCTTATTGGAATCAACGTCGGTGTAGAGGAACGCAACATGGGGGCTGACAGCAAAGACGGACACCCCGACGCTGATGTCGCAGTCACTTGGTTTGTCTAGTTTCTCCCCAAACACTGAGATGATGCAAGCCTTGCCATGCATGGAGTAGCCGGCTAGGCGTCGAGCGAATTTATGCACCAGACTCTCATCAATTATGCCGTCTGTCATTAAGAACCAGAATTCGGAATCCTGAAGCACACGCCTGCTGTCACGGTCTTCGAGCACAGAGTTTGGGTTGGTGCCGCCGCTTGAAAAAATGATACCAATCTCCGAGATCGGGCAAGGCTTCATGGCTTCATTGTTCCATGGAATAATAGTGATGTTGGAGTGTCGGCTCCGTGGGATCAGTGAGCAGACACTCTGAATTGCCTTCTTCTCCGCTTCCAATACGGCGCCGTAAGTACTGCCGGAGCAGTCAACAGCGATGGAAATCTTAGACTCTCGGAATGCTGCCGACACTTCTGCAGAGGGAGGAGGGGATTCATGGCCAGGGGCTGCTGGATCATCGGGGCTCAGTGTCGGAGTGGATCCTGATGGAGCCTGACTCTGAGTACTTTCTTCAGACATTGTTGATTGACGCCGTTAGATGTTCGCCGATGTTATAGCAAGGAACGTCCTTTTCGTTGGAATCCTCGCAAGTCAGTCTTCGTGGCCAATACGAATCTACTTGGCAAAACTAACTGGCTCCAAACAAATATTTTTCACGGAAGCCTGGCGATAGAGGTATTATTTAGGTGGTGAGAAATGCAGGCTGAAGACATCTGGTGGCGGATAACACGATTTCGTCAGGCATATCAAGAGGCTCCAAAACTCAGCCACAACGATCTGAGAGCCTACGGTGGCAGTGTCAAGCTTGTGCTTTGTAGGTGCTAATGATTGGGTGGGCTTGGAAGCCACTCTAGGCATTCCCAATTTTGACGGGTGTCAAAAGCCTCAGCCTCCGCTTGGCCATCTGCAGGCGTCTCGCAAGGCAGGCATTCAACCCGGTAGTAGGGCAGGGTGCATGCTCCGCAACTCTTTCCCTGTCTAAGAAGAATAAAACTTTCTTTAAAAATTTTCGTATTCTTGACCCACCTCCTACCTCAAGTTGTCATATTCTACTCTTTGAACCAAACCGTGAGCATTGTTCTCGTGCTCTGTTTTTAGCAATCCTTTACCTCCAGGTGCCATTCCATAAAGCGCGTTGCCTATTTTTCGCTATAGGTAGGAAAAGGTGCTTTAGGTTCCTTGCGGCAGGACTGGAGGATGATATTGCTAGGGCTTCCAACGGGCCGTACAAAGTGAACAGTAACGGTCACGTGTTCAGTACGAACGTACTGAGTTCGTGAGCTGCACCGTACGTTTAATGATGCCCTAGGTACGGTACGTAGTACAGATTCTATTACCATTTTAGGAAGTTTGTATAGGGGTTCTAGAGGAGTAGGAGGGCTCTGGCGAGCAGGAGGCCTGCGGGGAGGGTTTTGGAGCGTTTCTAGGGCTTTAATTAAAAGACCTCTACACTGCGTCTCCTACCTTATCCCGCAATAGTACACTGCATGTGGCTAAAGATTAATTGCAGCAGTTTCTAGAGGACTGCAATTATAACACTAGCGTTAAGTTTATAGTTAACGTACTCTACAGGCAAGTTGCTTACACACCTAAGTTACTTACTTTTACAAAAACTTTACTAAACTACTTTTTCTACACTAATACATTTCTAATAACACTACTTAGATATGCTAAAAAAAATTAGATATAGCTTATACTTTAAGCTTTTAAATAAAATAAAACACTTTTAAAGTAATATACTAAAGCTATGTATAAAGTTTTTTTAAAAATAATAAATAACTAATATACTAAGTAACTTTTATAAGTTAATTTTATAGCTAACTTATAAAAGCTAAATAATAATAAAAAGTAAGTAATTATTAAGCATATATTTAAGCTATATATAAAGATTTTCCTCTTAGCTAGCAACTGTAGCTAATATAGCTAATTCTTTACACACTAAGTATAATTTAGGCTATATTAGCGTAAACTAGCTTAGTATATTTATAAAGTGTTATTTAAAGCTTAAAGTAGAGTTTAAGTATAACTATAACTATAAAAAAGCTTTTTATAAAAATTTTAAAGTAATTTAAAGCTAGTTTAGCTTTATAAAAAATATAAAAGCTAAGTATAGCATTTAAAATAATAATATATATAATGTCTGTACGCAGCAGCAGCGTCGCGTCCTGGATACAAGCGATCGCGCACGAGCAGGATCACGTATCTATGTCACATGATGCTTGTGCGCGAACCTCTGTGCGCGAACATCTAGATACCCCCCTTTTCCTCTGTACAGAGGAAAAACAAGAAGTAATTAACACTAGTTACCTAACACCCCTATGCAATGTTTACACTATGCAAACCTCTCTATCTTGTACGCATTTGCTAACACTAAGTGCTAGCTAGTAAAGAGTCTATTTAACACTAATTAGTAGTTTAAATACTATAAAAAAAAAAGCTTTTTTTATACCTTTTTATTTAAAAGTTTATGTATAAAAAGAATTCTTTTTCTTACTACTTTAACTATAAATTAGTAAGAGTAAAGACAGAGTTTAATTTATATATAAGTAGCTATAAATCTCTATTTAGTTACTTAAGTAAAAGTAAAAAACCTGTCTATATAATACTATTTAAAAGTATTATATAAATAGTAGTGCTTGTTTAACACTAAGAGGTCTGTTTTATCTTTTTACATAAGGCTGTTTAAAGGCAGTGTACAACAAGAAGTAAGACAGCGCGCAATAACGCATAATTAACTACTATAAAGTAATAAGCAACGCTAGCTTTATCTATAACTAGCTAACATAACATATTAACATATAACTAATACATACCTTTTATAGGCATCTTAGCAAAGACTCTAGTAGAGCAAATAAATATTAAAGATTAAGTAAATAAAATTAAACTATTAAATAACACACCTAAAAAAAAGCTTAATTTATATGTAGCTAACTTAATTATAAAACTCTACACATTAAGCATAATAGACATATGTACACTTAAGAACTTTTAAAATAACTTTATAAAGTAAAAGCTTATACACTTTAAAAATCTTAGCTAACTATTTTTATAAAAACTAATTACTACTTTATAGAATAAAAGCATTAGCTTTAAAAAGAACATAATAAAGGCTACTACACTATACAGACTTATAAAAGAAAAACACATGTTTACTGTTCTACTAAAGTATTATATAAAACTATTACTACTATTACTAGTCTTAACATAATAAAGAATGTCTTTATATAAATTACCTATAGACTTAATACTTTCTCTGTAATTAGTACAACTACCTTGTAATAGCTTACTATACAAGAGCATAACTAGGCAGCTACATATTCCTATAGCCACAGCTCTGCATAAGATTCCCTAAAGCTTGTACCTACTGTATATAATTTAATTACTGTATAATCTATACTAACTTCTACCTATATAAGATATTACAGTAGAGAACTTTACACCTAAAAAAGTTATATAATTCTAGAAGGCATAAAAGAAGAGGAACAACTATATAAGGCAACTATATAATATTCTAGCTAATAAGGCTATAGTATTTATTAAGCTCTGCTAACACCTTACTATCTTTAAGGCATTATATATAAGCATTTTTTCTAATATTTTTAAAAAGCGCGCACATATGTTTTACCTTTATAATATTAGTCTAGAATAATTATAGAAGTTACTATATAAGTAGCTTAGTAATTACTTTAATACTAATATAAACTATAACTAGTATTAGACAAATTAAATAATAATAAGCTTTATATAAAGTAAGTAGAAAAACTTTATAAAAACTTTATATAAAGCTTTTAAAGCTATAATTAATAAACTTACTTTTACATAAAAAGCTCTTAGTCTATAATTCTAAAGTAAAATACTACTTTATACTACTATTATATAAGCATGCTAAGGGCAACTTAAACTTAAACAAGTAATGTTTTTAATTAAGCCTATATATAAAGCACTATATAGTAACCTTTATTTAGCACTTTAGGTTATAATTAATTAATAAAATAATGCATTTATAAATAAATCCTAAAATATGTACTACACTAATAAGTAATATAGCTTACTACGTACACATAGCTATTAACAACATAGAAAAAGCTTAAGGGGATATAAAGGATTATTTAGACTATAGTCCTTTGCATAATTAAAGTAATGCTTTATCTATTATAAAAAAGAATATTAGTTAATAAATTATTTTTATATAAATTAATTTTATATAAAACACTAATATATCTTTTTATATAAAGAATTCTATAACAAGACACTAATATATAAGAAGGTAAATATGTACATTTAAAAGTTTAAAAGCAAACTAGAGTAAAAAAAAAAAAAGTTACATAATAATAATAACTTAAATAAAAAAAAAGGTAAGAAGATTATTAACTACTTTACTAATGCTGCATTTCTCTACTACGTGACTGCAGAGGACATCTACAGCCTAGAACCTAAAAGATACGCAGAACAGTTTATTCTTAAAGATTAATACTGTACAGTATACTAAAGTAAACTATAGAATACTAGCATAGTAAGGATCTCTACTATAGGGAAGTCACAACTTAAAGCATACCTGCAAGAATTCCCTTATATAAAAGTAGACTAGACACTAAAAAAAAAGAGTATTAGCTTTAAAAAATAAAAATTAATAGAATTAATTAGTACTATATAAATTACTAACTTAGTTAGTAATGTAACATATTACATCTTAAAGACTCTAACACTATTCCTGCTATTACTAGCAGATGCTAACTAACTTAGAGCATACTTTAATAATGTTTTAAATGTTATTATACGCAAAGACAAAACTACTGTTCTTATTATATAAAAATAAAGACACTTTTTTTTTAACATTAGTAAAAAAAAATTTATGTCTTTTTTTACTAAATTAAAACTTTACTGCCTTTACTGCTAATTTAGACACCCCTATATAAAGAGACTCTAGAAAATGCTAACTAGCGCTAGCTACAACATTAATGCTGCAGTGCTAGAAGAGATTAAGAAGTTTTGCTACCTCTACTAATTATATAACTAGGCCTTATAAAGATTTAAGTTTATAATTAAAAATAACACTTACTTTAACTATAAAGTTATTATTAATGTTATATAAATTAATAATAGGGATGTTTTATATGTTATTAATGTAGACACATTATTTTAGGCTGCTATATTCCTAAAATCTATGTCTGCATAAGATACCTAAGATGCACTGTGCAAATACTAGATTAACACTTATTAAGGACCTCTAAACTATATTATGCATAATTCTAGTATAAACTTTACTTTAAAGGATTTTTAAGCTTATGCAAAGATTATAAGAGCTACATGTAGGCAGATGCCTGTAAAAGCACATTAGGCAGTTAGAAAGGTTAAGCGCGCACACACACCTCTTTAATAAGTGTTTAACATTCTAAAGACTAAGCTAAGTAACTATATAGATAATAAGGCTATCCTGTAGATAGCAGTTAAAGCTCTAAACAACACAGCTAGCCCACACAGTCTAGTACCTATGCTGCTAGTCTTTAGAGTATACCTAAGAATTAACCTAGACTCTCTACTATTACTAGACATTATTACATAAGTAAGCGCTATATAAAAGGCAATAAAGATACTTTAAAAAGACTATGTAAAAGTAAACATTAATTATATAATTAACACTTATAATAGCCTTATAATGTATAAAGTTCTTAACCTCTCTCTTAGCTTAGAAATTATAGCATAGAGAGAGAAAAAAGGCTAAACTAGCCTATATAAGATTAAGAGTATTAAAGAGAGAAATATTATTATTAAAAAAAAAAAATAGCCTACTAAAGCTCTAATAT